GCTGCTACACTTGCAAGCAAGAATGTTTGACCCAAGGGATCTGCTGTCTAGTCAAGTTCAATAATCAGTACTACACAAAGGGTCAAAAGTCTGAAGGTGTTAAGAACCATGCTCAAGGGAGAGAGAGACTGACTCAGAGGGGCTTGGCCTCAGCTCATATGCTGTGCCCCTTACCCGAGTATGTGCCCTTCATTTCAGAGGAAGTCTGATGATGGTCTGACGAAGTCCAGAGGACTTCCGGAGACTGGTTACTCTGGTGGAGAGTGTGGGAGGACTTCTGGAGGAGCGTGGGAGAGTTCCGGAGGAATGCAGGAAGTGCTCAGGAGAGTTCCCACTGCAAGGTAATACTTCTACAGGAAGACAGGATGGAAGGATAGGAGGTCTGGAGGTATGGAGGGTGGAACATCCGAAGGTACGGAGGGCAGAACATCTGAAGGTACGGAGGGCGGAACATCCGAAGGACAGGATGCCTGGAGGTACAGAAGACAGGGGGTCCGGAGGTCTGGAAGGAATAGGGGCTACATTGGATGAAGTCCAATGTAGAAGCAAACAGGGATAGACTACCCTAAGGTAGAGTCGGAGGGACAGGAAGTGGACCTAAGTCCGGAAAGAGGGTAAGTGCTGGAAAGGCAAGACTCCAGCCTAGGGAAGCAATCCCTAGACTTGGGACAGAGACATAGGGGTCGAATCTGAAGGTCCAGAATCCTGGCCTAGGGAATCCATCCCTAGGCCTTATGGAAAAGGACAAACTCAGATGGACTGAAGTCCGGAAGAAGATTGGCAAGTAGAACAGGATCTAAGATGATATTCAGACTGAGGAGTCTACTGTAGTTGTACAGGGGTTATATACTAGAGGCTCTCTGAGAGGATCAGTAAGCAAAGGAGTAAGGCTATGTATGTATCTCAGAGTCTCTGGCTGGGGTCAATCAGCTCAATATAACACTGTGGCTGCTTGTCATATCCCATACACCAGACCTAGATCCCATAATATTCCCACGCCTTCCAGGCCTATTTCTGGACCCTACATCCAACTCATTCCCAGATCCCCTTCCGCCATGTGCTCCACACCTCAGCAGGATTAGCTCTGCTATGGAATTACCCCTGAGCTCTAGACCTCTGGATCTTTACTACTAACCTGATCCATACACCCCTATCCTGTCCTTTGGATGTTTCACCCTCCGTACCTTCAGATGTCCTGTCCTCCATACCTCCATGTCCTGTCCTGTGTACCTCCGGACATCTTGTCCTCTGGACCTCTGGACCTTCAGTCCTCCTGTCCTCCATACTTCCAGACCTCTGGACCTCCTATCCTTCCATCCTGTTTCCCATAGAGATATTACTGTGGGGTCTCTCCACTTCCTGTGCAGTGGGAACTCCTCTGAGTATTTCCTGTACTCCTCTAGAAGTCCTCCTGCACTCCACCAGAGTAGCCAGCCTCTGGTGTTACAATCGTGGTTACCCCCTATCTCTTTTTCTCATACTTGTGTATTACGTCATGACCGCACCTGGCTGTGCCATCATTAGACTAATGCCTTTCTATATCTGTATCACAGCACGACCGCCACGTGCCATCGCTAGCTGACTCACTTCCTTATCTCTGACTCACCTATGACGTCACTAGATGACTCACCCTCTTATCTCTGACTCGATTGATGACGCATGCGTACCTGCCCTAAAGTACCTACGTCTATATAAACCCGGTCATGTACCTAGATAAACTTCACTTTAATCTACTAGGTCTTACCTGACTATCCTTCGCTTAGGACCTCCAATCCTAAGTCGTCCGATAACTGATATTCGAGCCAGAGACACTCTCTCTGACTTGTCTTAAGAACCTTACATTTGTAAGGACACAATTTGGCTTCAGGCGTAACTCTTATCAAGTACCTGTCGTCGCGCCCATCCTAGTCGCCATAACATCTGGAAGTCCTTCAGACTTCATCAGACCATCATCAGACTTCATCTGAAATGAAGGGCACATACTTGGGTAAGGGGCACAGCATATGAGCTGAGGCCAAGCCCCTCTGAGTCAGTCTCTCTCTCCCTTGAGCATGGTTCTTAACACTGCTCCTACATTGTTGTTAATCCCAGATCTGTCACAGTAGATTTTGATTTCTTCATTAACTCTGTCATGGTCTTGGATAGCCTGATCTCTTGAGGTGGCAATGGCAATTCTATAAGGGGCTGATGAGCTTGGTGAGTGTCTGCTGTGCATGATGGTCTCTATTGACCCAACATCCAGTTCAGTGGCATGGAACAAGTGATGGAGTGAGGATCTGTGGTGTTTGACAAACTTCCTGGCTGCTCTGTGCACTGGCCCATGTAGAGGATGGGTTGGGGGGTGTGCAGCCAGGCGGATGGTGGCCTGATAGCACAAATTCTGTGCTTGGTGTTTGAGGGGGAGCAACTTTGCATGAGCATCCAGCATGTTGGATGCCATGGTACACATAGCTCCCATGATGCTTAGGGCTATGATGTGTTGGACTCTGTGCATGCGATTGATTGCACTGATTGAACCACATTGAGGCTTGTCTTGAGTACCCACAAAGAGAGGATGGAGCCATATGTCCACAGCATATAACATTTTCGGAAGAGCCACTGCTAGATATAATTGATACATCAGTGAGAGAGGAATTCCAGATGAGGTAGAGGAAAGATGGCACAGCTGGAATACATACATAAGCAGTTCCTTTCATGACTGCATACACAATGTGTTCTCACCAGTGAAGTGCTTGATCTATTATGACTCCCAGGAACTTGTGGGTGACAGTGGGGGTGATCATGGTGCTGCAAGTCACAGGAGGCGGGCATTCCTTGGTGGTGTTCATGGAGAAATCTACTAATGCAAATTTAGAGGTCTTGAACTTTGAATTGTGATCCCTAGCCCATCCATATCCTCCTCCTGGCCTTTCCAACATACACTTGAGGATGGCATGTGCCTCCTGGAATGATGACCCTATTGCAATGAAGGCAGTGTCATCAATGAATGCCAGGGTTTGTTCTTCCTTACCATGCCCTACTGCTATGTCCATGAGGTCAGAGTCATATATTATGTAGAGAATCATGGACAATGGGTCCCCTTGTCCAATACCATTGTGACGATCATATTCCTACTAGGCTTGCAATGGCCATCTTTTGATATAGGTGATGGAAAGGTAGCCCTCATATCACTCATCACTCCCCTATATGCGGCCTTCATTAGTTTCAGCTACAAACCATTGTCCACTCCTTAGGCCACACTTTCCTGCAATGCCTGCACACACCATGCATTACTATTCATGTTCTCACACCTTAACCCACGCAATTCCCACGCCTCGCACACTGTCAGTTCACCTAATAAAGTGTTTTAGGTGCATCAGTACATGACCACTCTGTATTGACCACTTTTTCACACTCAACCTGCTCCAGATGCGCATTCCCACGCTCTGTGGACCCACACATTCACTCCCACACTGCACACATACCTGCAGTCAATTTCCCGTGCCTTCAGATTACCTTACAGATGTCCCACATCAGTCCATTGTCCATCCTACCTCATTGGTACATATTTTGCCTTGCCTCATGTGTTGTAACAAGTGTTGCAGTCTTATTACATGTCTTTACATATTCCTACTGCCTGTCTGCCCTGTCCCTTCCGTTTCCAAGAGGGTTTAGCTGGTATAAAGTACCTAGAGTGACTACTTCGTATTTCCTTCCCTTAGGTTTTACTTAGGAGCAGTCACCATTAGTGCGCACTTTTAGCCCCTATTGATTACCTTAAACCTGGACACCTTAGCTTGACTTTCCTTACCCATGCAATCAATACCCTTGCCCTCACTTGTTACCCATGCCATTCCTTAAGACTTCCCTACCCCTTACCCTAGCATCTCGCACTTCTGCATTGACCACTCATTGACCACTCATTGACCGCACTTCCGCATTCCCATGCTCTACATACCCGTGCACTTGTTCCTGCACTCTGCACACTTTTGGGTCTTTAGTATCATCAGCCATTCTCAGTAGCAATTCCCTTTAGGGTTGAATGTTCTTGCTTGCAAGTGTAGCAGCTAGGCAGAGCATCGACCTACAACAATATTTTTGGTTATGCACTTTAACAAGTGTCTAGCCATTGTTGTGTTTGCACAGCAGGTCACAGGAGGAGTGCATGCCTATAGTCCAAGGAGCGTACTAAAGGTGGATGAGTCAATATATATGGATTTAATGATCAGCACTTTATCTCCTTTCCTGGGAGTGAGAAGAACCGTGCTAGTGATCATACGTGCCTAGTGCCAGTATGATCATCACAATGGTCTATTCCTTGCTGGTATTTTGACAGTCAATGGTGTGGCAGGTTCACTAGTAGGAGAGTGAACCCATTCTATCAGGATTGAGTGCTGGAGCATCAAGTTGCAGAGGCATTTTGATGTGTATCACACTGGCAGCATGCACATCAGCAAAACCCTAAGTTAAGGTCCCCCCTATTACAGTGCTGTATGGTGCTGTGTGGCACTGTGTGGTGCTGTATGGTACTATGTAGCGCTGTAAATGGGGGGACCTTAACTTAGGGTTTTGCTGATGCAGTTGAATAGTACTGTATGTTTTTGTTGAATTTTTGCTGACTGCATGACCAAAACAGACATTGAGCTTCCTCTTTCTCAAAGTGATTATTTACTAGTACATATGGTGCAGTTATGGTTCAAACAGGTTCCCTATAGTTGGCACAAAATGCTCAGTGCCCAAACCACAAACCTCTCCCAGCATGCAATAGTTGAACTGAACCATAACCACACTGCACCATCAGTGCAGTTCATGGTTTGGAACTGGTTCAGGGCACCCCAGCAACTTTAACATTGTGGGTGGAATAATGAGCACAGCAGAACAAGCATCCAGTACTGACTGTGACACAAGCCTGTACAATTCAAGTATCACATCTAATGAATACACAATAACACACTAGGGAATAGGTTGTGATACATAAGACGACAAAAATTCAGGAAATACCCCCACTGCTAAAATAGCCACTACAGATCCTCCTCTTGAAAGAACTCTCGGATGACTCGTCCAAAGATAGTGACCGCTTTCTTGAGGTCGGCGAACTTGGGGATCAAGACGTAAGCGAGCGCTCGGATGCATTAGATTTGAAACACTCACCTCGGCATTGCTGAAACTGACACGGAAGTGACCGGAGTCGTTGTTGGGAGAGCCCTCGGCCATCGCATTGGCTGCAAATATCCATCCTGGTCCAAACAACACTCCGTTCTCTGCTAACTTCGTCCATAATTTTGTTTCCAAGGTATCTTCATCTCCTGGGGCGAATGAGGGATGTTGATCAAGATGAAGTTTCATCTTAACAGATGAAACTCAGAATGGACACGACATGCGAGCAAACCAACCTACCCATACGAACATTCCCGCGACTGGGGGAACGAAGCTAAACATTGTGCGATTCCGGGCCGAGTATTTCTCCGTCATACTGGTGCTCTTCTTGGCTATGGATGATGCCTGGTACACGATGCAGCCTTCCCAGACGCCTGTGACTGCAGGAACTGCATGCAAATGGAACTCCTCTGCGAGGCAATCAACAAAGAAATCGCGGCGTTGCTGATACTCTGTTCGCAAACCTGATGGGAATTGCGTCATTGGTGATTCGAATAGGTGGACGCAGTTACACACCCCTGAGCCATCGGATGTAACCATCGTAGGTCCAATGCGTCAATATCTTCGTTATAACGGCCTGCAAAATTGATGTCAACTACGACCACTCAACGAGCGCCATCACAAATACTTGTCCAAAGCCACACGGAGCCTGAGTTGATGTTTCTCCTTGCCTCTCTAACCTCTCTGCAAAGACAGCATTGCACGTGAACCATCCTAGTCGACTACCAGGAGCAATGGTCTACCGAATGCGCGTTCAACCTGATGTGAGTATAGAAATGTAGATTCCATGCCTTACCTTGGAAAAGGTATCAAGACGGATTACGCGTCCCTCATAGTCAAAACTAAACCGAACTGTCAGATGAAAGAGTGTAAAAAAATGAAGGGATCATACTATAAAAAGCTCGGGGTCAAGGTGGAGATATATCGCTTAGATTCGTCGGCTGACGGTTTTCCAGAAGGGGTTGCACCAGGGGACCTGTCATCCTTGAATGTGTACGTTCCCAGTTGAAGAAAGTAATACGGATCGTCTTCGACAATTATCACGTCTAAGCGCCAAGCTCATTTAGCTAGCCGATTTAGCTGTCCTCTCAAAACAGTGTGCTGACCGTATTTGACACAGATATCATAAATCTGTTTCTTACGAACAACGCTCATCGTCTGTATGCATCAATCTTGAGAATGAATTCCCAAGCCGATCTGCAAAGAAGTATGCTTACCGAGCCACTCGGGTTCTGTCCGACAGGCACGATATACATAACATGAGGCCTGGGATAGGTTCAGATCGGGCGAAATTCTGCATTGTAATCCATCTTGCCTTGGCATCTGACGTGAAACTGGGTCCCATTGCGACAACAAGTTCTCGAGGGCATCACTCTTCATGCCTAATCCATCCATGGCCACAGGTACAGGCTTGATATTGAAAGGGAGCATTGATGCCATAGCGGAGGGATAAGTCCACTCTTCACACAGTACACCCTCACCAGGGTTGCACAGTGTCGTAACGGCTCTCGACCACCTAAATGACCATCGTCACAACAAAGATTATAACATGACTAAACTGGCGCACCCGTCTGTATTACCAGTGTCGATAAGGACGGTCCAGTCCTCAAAAGCAGGACGATAGACCTCGGAAATGAACTGTTTCAAGAAATCTTGCAACTGTCCCTGTGCGACTGCTTGACCGTATTGAAGAGAGGTGGCTAGGTTGATATCCCCTTTAATGGCAGGGTACTTGGGAATGGTGACAGCCTGAGTCTTCTCCTTGGTTGCATTGTGGCCAGCGAATAACTTCCACAGCCATGACAAAGAGGTAGACGGCTCGGTCGGAGAGAGAGCAAATGATTCTGGTACCAAAACATTTGCAGAAATGTCGGAGACAGGGAAATACGCAGGGCTAGGTAAACCTGCCAAGTCAAATTAGATACATTCAAATTGAAAGACGAGATGTGCAAACCTCCTGCGAAGGACAGAATTCCTGGCTGTGCGAAGTACTTCATGAGCCCCTTCAATGGAGACTCTACCCTAGCCTTTGATAGGTCGGAAAGGTGGTGAGAGAGATCAATAGACTTCGTGCCATGCTTCTCGATACTCATGATAGCAGGATACAGTCAGAGCAGGGCTGGTGTGGTCTAAAGTGAGGACGAGTCTGCTGCGACCGTCAGGGTTGCGATAAGCCTGACATTAGGACAACGACGAGCTATACTTAAGTGAGAATAGCATAGTAGTAAGCAGTACTTCCCACACGTGCATGAGGTACTTACCTACTCATACCTGTACTGAATGTCCCCAATGGGGACTCTCGGTACAAGTTATTTGCATAATATCTTCCGGTGTCACGAAGTTCCGATTAAGGATGTCTAATGAATTAATAACCAGCCTGTGGGCAGCAAATATGCCCTAAGCTGACATTAATACTACGTAAATCAAAAAGAGCTAGTTTCACCTGTTCGTCTTGTCCACTGGATGCCAGGCAAAAAATAAAACACAATGAAACAGACACAGTCACGTACGTATACGTGGATTGTGTGTGAGTTTGGAAGATCCGTCAAATTCTCAGAGAGAGCATGTACGGCGCCGAAAAGCCGACCAGACACGCTTGTGGTGACGTCGCTGCCGCAAACATGGACCAGCGAAGACTACGGTTGGCCTACGGACAGCGAGGACAGGCCAAAACATATCGGCTGGCAGTCAACTGGTAGGCCCTCCTGTGGGTCTGCGACAGGTTACTAGTGGTCTCCCCTAACTAGTAGACAGTAACCGATAGGATAGCCTAAGGAAAACAGTTGATCGCTTCGCAGCAACTGGTCGTCCGCTGGTCACAATGTCAAACAAATCACCACTTGACCTGCATTTCTTATACATCAGCTCAACTACAGCTGGTGTGAAGTTGCGCGACTTAGGCGTCTTTAAGTGTGCTTAGTCCCACGTTCACGTGCGCTTTTAATTTACGTCGAGGTTACCAAAACACAAGATACGTAGGCTTTGTACCAGTAGCCCAAGGCGTGTGTAGAGTTAAACGTGGTCAACCCAACTGTAAAATGTAGGCAGCTAATTATGTGCGTGTCCAGATGGATCAAGGCATAGGCATAAAGCATAAAGCATAGACTTATGAAAACGGGATTGCGGCATGAAACCTGAGAACGTCATCACCGGTCCCCCTCCCATACGCTGAACCGTGCTTAGGTCGCTCGATACGCCGTTTCTTGTGGGGGCGGGGAGGGGTGTCAGAAAAGAAGGATGATGATTCTGCGTGGACTATTAGTCCAGAAACACAAAATACATCAAGCTAAGTGAAAACCTACCTGAACGGATATCCCTCAGCGCCCATACAAGAAGCGCGATGCGCGAGCGCGCGAAGGTCGGCTACCCGCTGGAAGGTCAAGACTACAAGGTGGACTTGTCAATATGATAAGATCGTAATGTGTATGGCATTGCCGACCTTAAATGTTGACTATCCGTCAGGTGAGAACTGTGGGTCCTAAGGAGAGAATAGGCTTGCGCATCCATGCTTTTATAAGAACCGGTTGCATATGTAACCCTAGATCTCGAGAGACAGGGCAACAACATGAGGGAGGCATTTGTTGCTATCGATAAGATGGCGTGAATGTTTCAAAACAGTGTGCCCGCCAAAATAGGCCAGATCGCATTTGGGAGTTTGCTCAATAAGTGGCCAGAATTCTGGTTGATTTGGGATAAGGATGAGCACCCCGGATCGATCCAATCAGTTTGACCTACTGACAAGAGCACGAAAATCAACCTCAGCGCTTCATTTTAAGAGGCGATCGTGCCGCACTGAACGTGTTACCATCTACTGATGACCCATTAGGAAGCAGGTGACTCGGAGACGAGAGAAGCCATTCGCAGAGCCTCGAAGTAATCTGGTGAAATTAGCGGATTAAGTACGAGGTTAGGTTGCGCCACAGGGTCCACTGGGGTTACTGACTGCTTCAGGGCAGGTTGCAAATACACGGATTACGAAATTGACGTTAACGCTCATATTAATATCGAACCAGTTCCTCATCGTCACCCTCGTCCTCGTCAAAGTATACAGGTGGGAAGAGAAGTTTAGTGGTTCGCTGGAAGAGGGAAGTGTTGAGGTGCGAATGCATTTGCTCTCTTAAATAATTTCATCTCATTTTTCGATTATGTTCAGAAGGATCTGAGACTGTAGATATGGCGTATCAGTTTTCCAGGAAGGGATGCTTCAAGTGCGGAAACTGCAAGTTCTTCCTGCGTCATCGCTCATCTTTTGTACAATCTAATGTTGTTCCAGTGGGCCACATTGCTGAAAATTGCTCTTCTGAGCAGCGCCTCTGCTACAACTGTCGTCAACCTGGTCATGAGTCTTCAGCTTGTCCGTCGCCTCGTACTGTTGCTGCAAAGCAGTGTTACTCCTGTGGTGGTGTTGGTCATATTCAAGCAGAATGTCCCAATTTGAGGGTTCAAAGCGGTAATCAAAAGTGCTACGTACGTTTATAGCTCGTCGAGAGCGCTGTTGCTTGACGCCCTGTTGAACCTATCATATATCAGAATTGCGGTCGGTTTGGACATATTGCTCGCGTTTGTCCGAGTGGGGCTACTGGAGTGTCAGGGGCCGGGACCGGGACCGGGTTTGCTTCTCGTGCACCTCCCCCGGGACGTGCTCTGAACACATCTACACTTCCTCCGGTGAAATGCTACCGATGTGGAGGACCCAATCATATGGCGAGGTGAGGAGTCTCAGATTTATCGCGAATCGACACTAAATATGCTTAGGGACTGTCTTGCCGCTCCGGGCTCGACTTTGGCCGACGGAACATCTGGAGCGACTAAGAGCAAGACTTGTTACAAGTGCTCACAAGAGGGGCACGTGCGTCTTATTTGTCTTTTTCTTTTCTTTTTTCAGTGCCTGATATGTTCCCCTGAAGATCGCAAGGGACTGCCCAGAAAATACCGAGTTGTTTGCAACATGAATTGCCTCGTGCGATTCTTGGAGGTATTAAGAGATCGTCTACTCCCTCTTCCGTATATGTGTGCAATGTTTATTTTGCAGTTAACTTATCTCGATATTTTTTGATCTTCGCAAGCTTAGGATATGACTTCTTGATCTGCATGAGCACGGGTTAAGATCAGGGCGAAAGCTATCAGTTACTTCTAAGCAACTGACGAGCATATGGGCAGTGGGCACGGTGCTAGTACTAATCCATGCGGCACAAGGGATGAGTTAATGATGATCGAGAACGGGGACGGAATACCCCACACCCTTTGGAGCGCCACGGGTCGAGGTATGCAAAAGGAGTAAGCAAAGGCCAAATCCCACTGATCACACACGTGAACCACGAGTTGTAATATAGCTCGTTGTCATACATTGAAAACGATGTATGCGTATTCTTTGCGACACGCCGTACTAATGAGCTGCGGCTCCTACATAAATAAATACATATAAGATCCTCGGGCGAGTGAACGAGAATTCAGAGATCAGTGAGATCAAACCCCGGGATAAACCCCATTTCCTGTGCGCTTAGCGATTAGAACGTGGACTGCTGATAACAGAGCGCCATACTTCCATTGTCTAGAAGGGTCCAACTGATTATCTTTAGAGTTAGATGGAAGTAACGTCCAACAAGTCAACAGGATGGATCATCTGTCCCCGGAAACACGCGTTGGTGCACAGCTGCGCAAATATTGATATTAGGAAGAAACTACATAGATATAAGAAACCATGGCGTGGCATCCAGTGTTACGGCATCAAAGTTCCATCTGAGGTCGTTTACTGGTGTTTCATCGATCATCACTGCTCACTTGATGCTGCGACTCGTGCGACAGCGATGTTTATACGTTACCGGTTGCAAGGTCTCTCATCAGAGAGGCTTCTTCACCCTTCCAAACTTCTCGCCCTTCTCGCCCTCATCACCCAACTCTGATGAACAGCCACCAACACAGACTTACCACGAACGCAAAATTTTTCCGTATGTTATCCCTGACGATCATATCCACATTCACCGGGACTGATTGGTGCCCAAAGTTACGGACGCATAGATTTATACAACTTAATTGCAGATGTTGGTTCATATCCTAGTTTTGTGCCATATTGCACTGGTTCGAGAATCTTGGAACGACGTGTGAGCCAGGATGGTGTGGTCACGATGGACGCGGAGTTGATGGTCGGTTTCTTGGCATTCAAGGAGAGTTATGTTAGCAGGGTGACATGTCGACCTTATGAATCCGTCCAGGTCAGTTTGTCTCATCATTCTGGTGGAGTGTACAATCACCACTTCTTGAAATTATAGGCCGAAGCATCAAGTTCAACCCCTCTCTTCAAGACCCTTCGAACAACATGGCGCTTCCAACCAGCTTCATCAATATCACCTCACCTTTCCAGTGGTCTACCGCCTCACGGTGATGCCAGGAACACCGTACCCGTGGATAGCCATTCTCCTGACCTCGGACCCACTCTTGTCACACTGGATATCGCCTTCGCATTTGAAAACCCGGTGTACTCTGCTCTCTCTGCCAATTTTTTTGGAAAGGTGTCTACCCTGATGGTGCAAGCCTTTGAAGAACGCTGTCTGGCTGTGTATGGATCCGGGGCTAAGTAATGTACAAACGTGCAATGAAAATAGATGTTTAAATGCAAGGGGATCAATGTCCGCCTTGGTGGAATGCACAATTTTGGTATGTGTGAGTAGAAGTGAGAACTGTGCGATCAGATCTTCCTGTGATAGACTGCTGATACCCTAGATGTACGATTGATCGAGAGACCTAAGGCGATAAGAAGCCTTACGACGCTCGGGCGCATGACAGGCCTGGACCATGGTGCACATGTCAGTTCGGTTGCATCGGCAACTAGACATGACGCACGATGAACGGATGCAGGTTCAAAGTGTTCGTGCTGAGCAAAATTTGCTACTAGAGGCCGAATGCAGGAAAGTCAGGAGCCTTAACCCTTTTCGCTACATCGTTGTCAGTTTTGATCCCCTCCGGCACGTCCAGCTTTCCGGTCTCCTTTATTGGCTTTTCATGTTTCCTGGTCTGTTGTAAAACCACACCGCTGTCAGCTTTCATTCCCTTCGGCACATCCAACTTTCCGGTCTCTTCCGTTGGTTTTGCATATTTCTTTGTCTGTTGTAGAACCACAGAACCTACGGTCCCGCGAGCTTTCCTTCTAGCTTCTTTCTCTCCCGGTTTCCAGAGGATTTTCTCTATTGGAGGTTCGGGGTAGTTATTTATCTTGGTCTTGTAGTCCGGTGTCAACCTCCAGTGCCAGGTATTGGACATGGGCATATTTAAGTCACTCGTAATTTCTGTCTTGCCATATGCCTTAGACACGATAGATATATCGCGAGTACCGTCTTCATGAAGTTTTCCTCGTTTTATGTGTACCTTTTCGATTTCGTGGGCCATCGCCATTTCCTCAAGGATTGTCTTTTTCAGGTATCTGTGTACTTGTTCAATTTTTCGTTTAGATGCCAAGGGCATGCTCACTTTACTGAACGAATTGCGTGATCTAGTTTAGGAGGGAGAGGCACAGCTTTAGCGGGTTTAAACCTGCCTCCATGGTTGCGAAGGCCAGTAGGGATCGGCTTCCCTGCCGGTATATCTGTAGTCACATCTGGGAACTCCTCGTGTGCTTTTTCGTAGATCTCGTGCATCTTGAGCCCAAGTTCACGATGAGGAGCTGAGGCAAGTACTTTGCGTACGATGCTTCGAGCTTCTGGCGTGCTAAAGTTGACCCAGGTCTTCAGTTGGTGGTTGATCATGTCCCCGAACCACACGTGGCAAGCTTGGTCCTGGTAATTTTCAACGGCTGAAAGACGTCAAGCTTGAGGGCGGAATTAGATAAATGGGTTAGGTGCGGTTGTACCACTGCAGACTGTGACCAAGCTTCCGAACGGCTAGGGGGATGATCAGAGTACCGACTCCGGCAAGGTACTTAGAAGTTACAACTTCGAAGATTCACACGGGGTTGATAACTCTCCGACGAGTCGGACCCCTGTCACGGGGAAGTCTGCTGGGACGTCAAGACTTTCAGAGTCCCATAGGGCGCATCACACCCAGGCGGTTCACTGTTATTATGCCGCCAGGGCTGTTGGTTTAGGCCTAATTTTTTGTACAGGTTTCAGGACTTGGTGGGTTGGCTGTGTACATATGATATTGTGACGGTGTGACAACATTTTGGGATGGTTGAAAGCGCAGCAGTTGCATCAGTAGTCACCATCAGCGTTGCGAGTTGCAACCCTGAAAGTTTTCATGAAGAGGATAAATGTTCAAAGGTATCGGCCAAATTTTCTGCAGGTGGGTAGCATCGAAACAACAGGTGGAATTGGGGGTTCTCGGGCTACAAGGTCCACCGATGTGCCCAGCTGTGCCCGCTGGACCTGCACTCACGAGAAGGAAGGACCCTGGACACCTCGCGATGGCTCGTGGGCAACCACCATCAAGTATAAAAATAAGCCAATATCTTTGGCAAGTTTTTGAGTTATCTAGATCTAGCTACCAGCTGGTTCTCCCTAGATTTATTATAGTCGATAGTTGGGTGCAGGTATCGTAGGGTTGACTGATTTTCGGAAGTCGAGTGCCTGAGGCTGACGGAGAGGGCAAGGGTGTTTGGGGTCCAAAGAAGCTGTGTATATCATCGCCTGCATTTCCCTTTTTTGACCAGTACAAAACCGTTGCTGCCTTGTGTTCATTTACAACCCTCAACATTTGCCTCTCTCCATTCTGCCCCTTCAACTATCTGGGCATCCTCCAAGGCATCCTCAAGCTCTTGTTTACAGCGTACTCCACCTGGTGTGATACAGTATGACGTCCCCGAGGCCCCGTAATGATCAGTTATCCGGCGACCCATTTGCAGATCGGCCACGCCAGACCCACTTCCAGGAGCCCGCGCCTCATGTTTATGATAGCGCGTCTGGCTCGCCCTTCGAGAGTACTACAACCTTACCCCGCGAGTTCGGTGCCAATTATGTAGACGAAGACTATGCTGAAAAGGTTCCGCTCACTGGAGGTGATGGCTATAATCCTGGTGGCTTTTATCCACCCGGGTAAGTCGAATTAATATCTCGATTATTCGGCGCTTCTCTTAAACTTCTTTTCTTCATTAAAATTTTACTCACAAATCATATCTCCTCTACATAGACCAGTCGATCCTTCAGCCTATGGCGACCCGTATGCTCGCCCTATATCTACTACGTCATCCTCGACAAATGGTGTAGACACTGCTTGGAGGCGTCGTCAGACCATTAAACGTGGTGTGACACGCAAAGTCAAGCTCACAAAGGGTAACTTCATTGCGGAATACCCGGTCCCAACGCCAGTGCATAGCGCCATTGAAGCAAAATATGCCGCCACCAATACTACTGAATTCTCGTAAGTTACTTCACAAGTCAATATGAAATTGAATCGAACTCATACGGACATCTCCCAGTCACATGCGGTACAGCGCAGCAACATGTGACCCGGACGATTTCACAGAGGCCAATGGCTGGTCTTTGAGAACCAAGATCTATGGTCGGCAAACTGACCTCCTCATCGCCGTCACATCCTATAACGAAGACAAAACACTTTATGCGAGAACACTTCATGGCGTCATGTTGAACATTCGCGACATTTGCAAGACCAAGCAGTCCAAGTACTGGCGGCGAGCGGCTGAGGAAGGCATGCCTGGCTGGCAAAGAATCACGGTTGCCCTTATTGTCGATGGACTCGAGCCCATGGACAAGAGCGTACTGGATATCCTGGCCACCGTCGGCGTCTATCAAGATGGTGTCATGAAGAAACAAGTCGACGGTAAAGACACTGTCGCACACATCTTTGAGGTTTGCACCAGTCATTCAATTATCACTGGCTATATCACTTATATCTTGACTACAGTATACCACTCAATTATCGGTTGATGCCAAGCCACAGCTTGTGCTTCCTCATGAGAACGATCCCAACAATTTAGTACCTGTGCAGATCATTTTCGTCCTTAAGGCCAAGAATCAGAAGAAGATCAATTCACATCGGTGGTTGTTTAATGCCATCGGCAAAATTTTGGAGGTGAGGTGAATCGCAAGCGCATGTTCGTTTAACTGGAACCTTTTTAGCCTCAATTTTGCGTCCTCATTGACGCCGGTACCAAACCTGGACATAAATCCATCTATTATCTTTGGGAAGCATTCTATAACGATGCTCATCTTGGTGGATGCTGTGGTGAAATTCACGCTATGATTGAGGGTGGCAGGAAGCTCCTCAACCCTCTGGTTGCTGCCCAGAATTTCGAGTATAAAATGTCCAACATTCTTGGTATGTCATTCGTCCAGATCTTGCATACTGTTATCTTATTACATGACAGACAAACCACTTGAAAGTAGTTTCGGCTATGTATCAGTGCTTCCTGGTGCCTTCTCCGCGTACCGTTTCCGGGCGATCTTGGGTCGGCCACTAGAGCAGTATTTCCACGGTGACCACTCGCTGGCTGACCGTCTTGGTCCCAAGGGGATCTATGGCATGAACATCTTTACCAAGAACATGTTCTTGGCTGAGGATCGTATCTTGTGTTTCGAGCTCGTTGCCAAGGCTGGTGATAGGTGGACGTTGACGTATGTCAAACCTTCAAAGGCCGAGACAGATGTGCCAGAATCCGCCGTCGAGTTAATTGGTCAACGTCGTCGATGGTTAAATGGTTCATTCGCTGCTTCAGTTGTGAGTATCGATCACGTTGTTGAATACAAGTTTGTTTGATTATTTTCTGCCAGTACGCCTTGGTCAATTTCTTCCAACTCTACCGCTCTGGTCATGGCATCATTCGCATGTTCTTCTTCCATATTCAAGCTCTTGTGCGTCTTGTCATTTCTGGTTTGTATTCTGTCGCTGACTCAGGTGACAGTACAACATCTTCTCATTGTTGTTCTCGTGGTTTGCATTGGCCAACATTTGGTTGACGTTCAGCATCATCATCGACTTGCTCCCCTCGCAAGCCATCATTATTTTCGGCACTGCGACAGTCGTATGTACACAATCGTTGCTCTTGAAAGATTGTCATTAAGCATGAGCTCGCAGACGCACTGGGTGAACTTGGCTTTCAAATGGATCTACCTTGCTTTCCTCGCGCTACAGTTTGTGCTAGCTCTTGGTAACAGACCGAAGGGTGAACGGACGGCATATGCAATCACACTATGGTTTGTTTAAGTCGGAGTCTATCCTACTCAAGCTGACTTATGCACAGGGTCTACGCCTTCTTGGCCGTTTACCTTCTCGTGTGTTCGTTCTGGCTAACCGGCAAGGCTTTCGCTGTGAGTTTTACTGTTCTCGGGTCCTTGCGTAGATTATCCTGACCATGCACGTTTATGGTAGAACATTCCTAACGAGCTGAAGAACAAGACGGTGTCACAAGTCATTATGACCTTTTTCACGCCCCCTGTTGGCGCTTTGATTGCTGCGATGGTCTCCACTTTCGGTATGTGATGCCTCGTATTTTGCAGTGATCCCTTAGCTTATTCATGAGATAGGCATCTACCTCATCGCATCGTTCCTCTATGTGAGTTGCATCTCTGTTCGAAATGACACTGTCTGACCTCGTGTTTCAGCGGGATCCTTGGCACATCTTCTCCAGTTTCTTCCAATACCTGTGCTTGGCTCCAAGTTTCACGAATGTACTCAATGTTTATGCATTCTGTAACTTGCACGATGTGCGTCGCTCTCCATTATTTAGAATTCACCTTTCGTTGACAGCTATGGTTCCAGGTGTCCTGGGGTACAAAGGGCAGTGACAAGGCAGAAGCTCTACCATCAATCTCGTCGTCTAAGACCAAAGACGCGGACTCTCCTGTTGTCGAGGATACGCACCGCATCCAAGAAGATGTGGATGCTGCATTCAAAGAGACCGTCACTCGCGCAGTGACCAAGATCGATGTCAAGGAAGCCATTGAGAAGCCGACCATGGATGATCAAAACAAGACGTTCCGTACGCGTCTCGTTGCCTGCTGGATGCTCTCGAACGCTGGACTGGCAGTTGCCATTGAGAATATCAACGGTCTCACAAGTGTCCAAGATGCGGCACTGGACGAGCAGGAGCTGCAGTCGAAGCAAAACACTTATTTTGCTGTCATCCTGTACTCCACATTCTTTCTTGCAGCTGTGCGATTTACGGGGGTGAGTTATTCTAGCCATATTTTTGTCGCAACGCGACTCACGCATTGCTTCAGTGCTTGATTTACTGGTTCAGACGCAATCTTTTCAGATGCTGCAGGAGGAATTGAACCGTGTACCAGATTCTTTTTTTTCGTGCTTGGTAAACAGATTTTATTTTGTGCATGGACTTGATGAAAACAGCTATTATCTACTCTCTTTCGTATCACTCCCCGTATCATGCAGCTGGACAATCTGAACTTCATGAGTATCATCTTACACTACTCGGGTTGACGCCCCGCTCGTTTTTATTCACTTAGCCTATCTTTGTCTGCGCCAGATGAGTAGTTGATAGATGGTTACTCGATGAATGAATTACATAATGAAGTGGGGGTTTAATCTCAATCTGAGCAAGGAATGCATGTAATAAAAAGCTACGAGTACATCCCAGAAAATTCATCTCGACTTTCTCGTTGCTGGGCAGATGGATGTCCGCCCATCGCCATCGAGGGGACGCCCAGGATGGGCAGCAAGCCTGCGCCGTTAGACTCTCTGGCAACCATCGAGCTCTCAACAATCCACTCGGTAAAATCATCTGGTAGAGAAGTCTCTTCCGTCTCACGCCTGGTCACTATCACCCGCGCCAGTCGTAAGGAAAGCCCTGCGACAAGTGGGGCAAGACTCGCGCTAGGGAGTGGCGTAAATGGAAGCTATCGAGTACAAAGCTTGTTAACTTACACCGTCTCGTATCCATTTCGTGATACTAATCTCGCTTGTCAGTAACGTTATTCAAATGAAGAATATCCACTCAACTCTCTCCGGCAGAACATATGCCCGCATGTTTCGTGGAGCCTAGTCACGCCCAGTTCCTCCACTGGATGCGCGGGGGAGTCCATTACGAGTGCCATTTCTTCTTCGGCCAGGATTGCCAAGAACGTATTAAAGCATATGGGGCAAACAGACTCTGTTGCGCCTATCTAGTTTGGAAACTTATAATATATGAACGAACTCGCCAGAATGTCCCAAGTCTTTGAGCTCAGTTTCTGAGATCTTAGGGAGACTTGTAATGAGTTCTTGTATCCGTTTGTGAGAGGAAGGGTGAGATCTCCCTAGGGAGTCTTGTTCAAGCATTGCACGTAAACCTGCAACACTCATAGAAAACTGAGGACGCTCCATGGTCACCTCGTTTACAACTAGAAGGGAGATGGGAAACGAATGCAATCAATGTATTCGTATAATAAGGCATACATACTAGCCGCGACGCGTAACACTACAGTAAAGCGTGGGAACATCCTACAACCTCCTACAACACCACTAGACTCTACACAGGCAAGCAAGATTTAGCGACACAGACAAGAGCACAATACAGCAAACGACGTGAGGGTATCATGGAGGTGCCAGACTGGGCCAGCTGCATTTCTGTCTTAGAAGGGATTCTCGTCTTCTTCCATCAGTACTTCTGAAGACGTGTCTTTTGTAGGTTCTGTGTCGTTTTGACTGTGATCTTCTTGCTCTGATGGATGTGACTCTTTAGGTGGGAAGAGGGTACCCATGGGTTTCGCGCCCCTGCATCACAGGTCGCGTCAGGACTGAGTACAAAGGTCCACGGGGATAGGCAACACGTACTTAGTGAAGTGTTTCTGCTTCGCAGCATTCAGCTTCTGCGTGACGGGTGTCATCAGGTTATCCGTCGGTGAGACAAACTTGGGATTGCTGGAAAGAACGCGTAAATAAGGTCAACATCTGCCACTGATCTACGCGGCGTTCGTGAACCCACTTGCTCTTCGCCATCTTTTTAGCCAAGAGAGCTTTCATGCCCATTCCAGGTATAGTGTTATTGGTACCGTTTGCAACCTGTCCAAGCGGTGCTTGTGGGACGACGACGTGAGCGGCTTGCGAGGGATTGTGCATTGGCTGAATGGGAGCAGAGACAGGAGAGTCTGTAGGCGTAGATGTGGCAGACATTTTGATGATTGGTTTCAAAGTAGGAGCAGAAGGACTTATGAAAGACAAAGCAGTGAAGTGTTGAAGTCAAAGTCGAATCCCTTTGACCATTTGGTCGCGTTCGAAAATCAACTGGACGCGTGACTGCACGTGACTTAATAATCACGTGCTGTATGTGGGCTTGGGAAGGTCAAATGCTGTTGTATTCATAGCTACTAGCGAATCTCCAAATATTCTCACCCATAGCATTATTTTATACCAGGAGCAGTCCATCCCTCGGACTTCCAGGACATCAAGTCAATCTCCGACCCTCCGTCATAGGAATCTCGCAGGCAGTACCGGCCGGCAGTGGTAATTCCGCGCCAGCCAGTATCATAGAATTGTTTGTAACTGCGTACTACGGGCCAATACTTCCTAAATTCTGGCTTCGCTGGCTGTAGTACGGGTGTGGTGGCGTTACCTTCCACGACCATTTATTTCCACATATGTTGTGCACAGGCTCCTCTAGGAGCGCTCAAGCCCCTGGTTTATGAATTGCTATTCTTCGTCTAAGCAGGAAGTCGTGGAACCCGCTTTTGTCGATCGCACGGTGAGGTGGAGCTGGTCGACAATGTCACGTCCTCCCACGTGCCATATTACGTGTCACTGATCTCTTCGTGGCCTCATCGAACCTCTAGTGGATACCGTTTCTATGTGATAGATCTTCAAGCAAGAGAGGAAGTCGCCTCTCATGCTGTGGTGAGGATCAGTATGGATCATTTGTCCTTGTCAAACCTTACACCTGTGGCTAGCTCGATTTAGTGCTTGTCTCCCGGTCTGCGCCACTGAATGGACTTTTTCCCAAGGTCTCTTACGTCCTGTCGTTTGGGTTGCCGATGCGCCGCACAAGCTCCCCTCCCCGAGGGGTTTCACATAGTGCATCCGTCATCGCCAGCAGTCCGAATGCTTGGTATTTTCTGCTTGGCTCAAAGCTTCGTATTTTGCCTTCTCGAGCGTTCTGATTCCCCTCTGAGAAGGATAATACACGAGCATCTTGTTGTGCTCCAGACCAAGCGACGTAATGTTCAGGGCATCAGTACGTGATTTCTACCTTACGGAAGTTATCTCCAATGTCTGTTATCTTCGCGCCCAACGGCCATCAAGCAATCAATCGATCTCTCCTACGGTTTTGTCCTTACCCTAGGCAAAAGATATCTGCCTTGAGCGGCAGTCGTCAAAAATGTCAAGTATACTCCGGAAAAGACCGCTGGCGTGCAAGTACTGGTCACACTGCGGAGGCTGTAGATAGTAAATTACTCATTGCTATCTGCATTTGTCTGACAATGGTTATAAGAAATGATGTAGTTGCCGAGAGATTCGGGCCGTTTCCAGCGGATCACAAGACCCAGGAGAGAGCCATGTGGGCTCTTCGGTGAGAGCAGTGACGATAGCCCGACGGTTAAGAACCGAATGTGCTATTACTCTCAGTAGATGGGCGAGACCTTCGACGTGGACGACTCGTGGACAGTGTTCCTGAAAAATGTACATTACAATCCGAATAAAGTTGCGGTCCGTAACCTGCGCTGGAACGAGTAAGACCCCGTATACAATATGGTACTAGTACAGGAGTTCCTGCCTTTTCCTGCCATGGAGAATCCAATTACCTCTATTTCCCAATCGTATTTATATAAACCTAGCCTACACTCACCCAGCTACCGGAAAGAAGACCCACTTGAGTTTCCGAGAGTCACGACCAAAGGTAGCGCTCGCTGACGAAGTCTTGTCACGGACACCTACGGCTAAACTTGGGGTCACAGTTCCACATTGCCACAACTGTTTACATTTTTTGGCCTTTTCATCGTGTTCGCCTTCTTCGTCTCTCTCTTCCACTTCTCTCGTTTATTTCATATACAATATCTTGTTAATATGGCCGCCAACACTTTGAGAAAGAGAAAAATCGCAGTTCTAGGTTCCCGTTCAGTTGGTATGTTGATCTTATTCTCGACGTCATGATACTCACCCGCTGCAGGCAAATCTTCTCTTGTCATACAGTTCATTGAGAACCATTTTGTCGATGCATACTATCCAACCATCGAAAACACCTTTTCGAAAGGCGTAGCTTATAAAGGCGTAGAATATGACTGTGACATCATTGACACCGCTGGCCAGGTGTGCATTCTCAAACATCGTGCATATCCAATTTAATTTGCATTGACAGGACGAGTACTCGATTCTTAGTTCTAAACATGCAATTGGTATTCACGGCTACGTCCTCGTATACTCAGTCGCCTCAAGACGATCTTTTGACATGATCAAAATCGTATATGACAAAATCGTTGATTTTTGTGGCAAAAACGATATCCCATGTGTAATCGTTGGCGCCAAAACCGATCTACAGTCGAGGTAGGTCATCATCCTTCTTTGCGCTTAGCCGTCCCACACTTGCGCTTTTTGTCAATGCTCTATTTTCATGCCTTACAGTCCAAATAGTAGACAGGTGGCTCCAAATGAAGGGGAAGAGTTAGCAAAACTCAACAACGCTGCTTGGGTCGAGACTAGCGCAAAGAACAATGTCAACGTTGGTAAGGAATTATCGCACTTCTCAGTATATATCTTCTTTACGCGGCCTTATCACAGGCAAAGTCTTCGAGCTATGTCTTGCGGAGATTGAGAAGCGATCACCGTCCAGCAAAACGGATCAACCAGAGGCAAGCAGGTGTCTCATTATGTGATAGACGCGACTCAGTCGTCGGTGGTCACCTTGCTGCCATGCTCTTCGGTTACCCAGTCTCCTTTCATACCCTAAGCCGCTCGTTTTCCCTTTCACGAGTATTTTCCTCCGCTCCCTAGGAGTTCTTCATTTTATCCGATTTTTCTATCGGATTAGACTGTTTCTTTATAATCCGGTACATTGGTCAATATCTCGTTGCGACTTGTACAGCGTGTAAAATAATGCTTTCCTGGGGTCTCTCTGCCTGGTTTTCAACAGTACTAGTGTCTTCCCTGGTGGTTCATAATTCATATTCATATCTCCACAATTTGTCCATTCCGTGAGGTGCTTTGATCCTATATTCGGTAGGTCGATTGGAATTAATTCTCATCTTGTTATACGTAAGTGTATATCGATATGAATACATGGTGACCTTATCATTTACGCCGTGCCATCGCCAAGGAAGCGGACCTTCACATCTCTACCCTTCAACCCAACGGCCTTCACAATCTGGGGATCTCCTGGAACCAGATCGATGGCCTGGTCGCTCCACTTCACATCCTCGCCTTCAGCATCTAGAATAATTCCTTTTATAGGTTTTTGAGTAGAGAGTTCGACGGATTCGCCGTCGCTCCCGGTTTTGACAGAAAACCCCAGATCTTTGATGGCAGGAAAGTTGATGAATTTAAAAGGTTCCGGCCTATAACAGTGTCAGGAAACACAAACCCAGATAACCTCATACGTCCTCACCAATTGGAATGCCTGCCGAGGACAATTCCAGATGCGTCGAGGAGACGTGCTGAGATGATGATCGCACGAGGAACTTCGCTCTTCTTTGTGCGCACTGGTTGACCGGGAAGGTCACCCGAGTACAGTTCAGTGCTGGAATTTGGAGCGAGCACAATATCCTTGGAGAACTGCTCCGTCCAGGAGGAGCGAAGGTCGAAGCAAGTGACTTCGAGTTTGGCCTTCTTCTTTGATAGAGTGCTGTTCGTGCCCCAGACCTCAAGAACTGTTGTAATTGTGAACTGAGCGGCTGATAAATCATTTGCAAATGTTTTCTTTTCCTTGCGCGTCATCCCGACCGTGTACTGACGCAATTCGCGTGAAATAGCGAAATACGCTGGTTTGGGACGTATAAAGTAATCGACGATGGCCCACGATGTGGTCGGCCAACAGTCATTGATCTGGTTACTGTTAACTTGAGAACCCGACGTTTGTCCGATGACTCACCTGCCATACGAGAGCACCAGCGGTGTGCTCCCGACCCTTTCCACGCCAGTTTCTGCGCCAGAGTCGGTAAGCAGATGCAAGCGTCTCAGCTTGCATGATTTGTGTATAATACACATAACTAAACAGGAGTCAATTGAATCACACTAAACTCGTGATACTAACGGCCGCTAACCTCTCCATGTCGAACGCATGCTTGAAGTTTTCCACGAGGTAAAGCTAGCAAAAGAGGGTAGTGAAGCTTTGAATATCATAATAAATGTTATCATACTTCCAGCCGGCGTTCGAAGCCATCGGCCTTGTTATGGTTGTTGTTGACGCTGAGGGGACCTTCGGCATGACGTACGGTGAAGTACAATTCGCTTACCGAGATTGAGGATATCGCTCTGACTTGTCGCCAGCAAGCCAATAATCAACTGTGCGAATGTTTGGGTATCCCTCCCTGGCGAAGCATGAACAATCAAAGGTGCCAGCAGGGTCAGAACCGCTCACATTCCGAACTCAGATACGAAGCGACCAGCGAGTAAATCCCAATTGTGCCACGGCTCTTGAGACCCATGCCATACATTCCCTGAAAACCCATTGGAATGATAACATGTATCGCCCAATCTTTTCACGTACACTGGTGAAGGTCCCCGAGTGTTTGATCTGTGGTCACTGTACCCGGGGCACTGTAGGGAGAACTGCGGTGGTAGTAAATATCGCAGAATTTTTGAACGATGGATGGTAGTGTCCGCTCATATATGTGCCGAGCAGGGAACTTTGTTTTTCGGAAGTCCGAAGTTTCATCAGAGTAATCCACGATATTTATTGACTCTGCAAGTTGGTAATCCTCGTTGTTTCCGGCTGCAAAAAATCAAGAGTCAGAAACACTTCACAAAAGTTTATATTTACCAAATATAACAATAGATGGGTGGTGCCTCAATCGCTTGACGTTTTGTTCCGCTTCAAGTTCGACGAGCCTCAGGAAAGAATCATATGCCGGATACTAGAATACCTTTGAGCCTGGACGAATGGTGCAACAACAACAACCTACTTGACCGCAACCAAACATAAAGTCTTGCCAGACAAGAACTGCAATAGGATTTAAATAACAGGACTGTCGACTTGAACAAAGCCTTACTTCCGAGTTCTGATGAAAGGAAGGTTATGAGTCAAATGCGCGAGGGCTAAGAGGATAGTACTCACCATCGCAAATATCGTAAAAAATATCGTACTCATAGATGCCCCCTCCCCAGACACGGATCATGTTCTGATTACCATCCACGAGCAGTTGAAGCCATACACGATACCTTCCCGGAGTAAGGCTGTAGTAAATTTGGTCAATAAGATGCTTTGATAAAGGTAGCGCCATACTAACGTAGTAAGGAAAGAGTCGGCAGGAATCCAGTTAGAGCCTATAGACATAGTTTCACTTGTACATTCCCTCAAGAAAGAGGCATTGTTTACCACCACAAAAAATTCTGATGTTGTTGACTTCGAACAAGAAAGTGAGACCTTCCTGATCAACAAGAGGCTCCTGGACAACTCGAACACGACGGAACGATACCCTCTGAGTTTTCGCGTCCAGAGTGTTTCCTTCCTGTTGAACTATGCGTTAGGCCACATGGCGTAATATATGAGGAAGGATCGCACTCACCGAGTCCGAAATGGTTACCTCGACTGTATACAGAGGTTGCTTGCCAAATCCAACTGGATACCACAATTCGAGCACTCCGGGCGAGAAGCGGAACTCAGCGCGGGCACTCCCAGAATCGACTTTTATATTACTCTCTGCAAGGATCACAGAATTCTGTGCATTTTTCAGCACCACAGATGCCAACCCGCCGGGAGCCTTCTCAGACAGCGTCAAGGTAACAGTGACTCCTACGTCCAGAGCCTCCGACACATCACTTCTGACGTCAACATCCGTGAGGTGAACGTTGTACGTGTGAAGAGTGATAGGTTTCCAAGGGCCAATGGTCATTAAAACTGGCCCCCAGTCCCAACCATAACTTTGGTGCACGTCAACACCCTTCCCATTAAGATCAACAACGATACTCACTTGTATTGTGCCTTGCGTACATGTAAACGACTGGAATCGCCATTCCAAAGATGCAACTTCCCGTGAGCCTGCTCCAGTTCCCTCCCCTAACCAGCTGATGTTCAGCATTAAGTGTCTAAAATATTGAATTGGCTCACTTTCAGGAACGCACTCGAGAAGCATATAACGAGCTCATTGGCACCCAGTTTCAAGTATTGCTTTACAGGTGCTCTGTATGCGATAAACTGATTTTCCGTGCTAAATAGCAATAAATATCAGAGGAAGAGACGGAGACAGATCGAAGCGCGCTGACTCCAAAATTCTATGCCCATTCTATGTCAAAGTATCGTTTTAGCACCTGGGTTGCCATCATGTGAGATGACAAAATTTATGTAACGCACAAACTCCACGCTTGCGAACGTATCAAGACCGTCGAACATGAGGTCAACATTGACGGCCGCAAGTTCTTTCGCAGAAACTTCAAAGGTATTCTTGAAAGTCCAGTCGGACTCTCCAACCCCTAGTAGTTACACACCTCGGTCAGCCCCTGAAACACAATTAAGACCAGCATGGCGCACATTGAACCTCCCATTCATTGAGACCCAGAAACTGTGGAATAAGCCGAGTTTAAGTTAGTCGATGTGATGTTTATCATGATTGGACACACTGGATCTGGAATGCGCTCTGCCTTCAGAAGTTCGACGTGTACCGTGGTTGGGAACTGTGATACCGCCAACCATTCGCCATTCTTCGTACCACGTCCGCCGCCTACTTGGGTGAAAGACCAATCTTGTGTCAAAGATCTGGTGATGCTCATGGTCATGGTGGGAGTAGTAGTAACGAAGATATTGATGCTATGATATGATGGAGCAGCTATAAATCCTACGACATGGGGACAATCGAGATCACCTATATCTTAATCCTAAATATCATAGTTCACGACGGGGATCATGTGTTACCGATATTTCTCCGAGTAGACACGTATAAGTACTCGACCCGTCCCCCGACGTGCGTTATTGTAGTTCCAACCGGTACCTCCACTAAGAAACATGGCAAGTAATGGTAATCGACAACCAAACGACGACGATTTCTACGCACAAAAGAATGTCGATTACTACGATGCAGTGTGTAGATGTAGTTATTGAATATTACTAGTCGCCTGCCCACGATGAAATTAATCACAGCAGATATGTGAAATCCTTCGGCCCTTCTTCTATCTTCTTTGCTTCGATCTCCTGATTCAACCGCACCAAGTGTCGCCTGAATATCCATGACATTATAATGCAAAGAGCACCGCTTCCTATACAGATAGCATACGAGTTCCAATAGGAAGGACCCCATGATTTTGGCCAGACGTAGCTGATTTATCCGAAAGTGCGCATGAGAGATTTTGAACAGTCACAAGACCTGGAGCACTCACGAGCCAGTGATATTTCCTAATGATGAGAATGCATTGATGAATGCAAGGGCTACGGCCCGCTTTGATGTCGGACGGGGAATAGAGTTGCTCACCCATGCCCAGTACACGACAAATGCCGTATAAGACTGAGCCATCAGGAATCTGCAAAACAGTCTCAATCGGTCGACGAATGGAGTAAGAGAGAAACTTACAATGAGAGGTATCTAACTGCGGTATTCATGGTCGCCATGGCCATCATGAACCCCGCGATCCCGACAAGTAAAGGTATCAAAATGTGGCCAAAACGTTCACCTGTTGCATCAGAATGTCTCCACATGATGTCAGTGGGGACTCGAACACGAACCAGAAGATAGTTTACCTTGACATCAAAAATGCCACGCATGTTGCAAACAGCCAAGGTGGGGAACAAAGCAACAATGACACAGTCGAACTGTAGCCTAGCGTTGCACTCAACGTTGGAAAAAAGGCGTTGAATGATAGCAAGACATTCAAGGTCGCCATCGCAAGCGCAAGCCACCAGACCTTCCAATCTGAGAATGCCTGCTTCAGACCTGATTCCCCACCTTTGGAACACTCAGTTTCATCATCTACACCGGCATCTTCCTCCATTCGTAATTGAGCAAGAACTTGTTCTTCGGCTGTGAGCCAGGAACACGACGTGGTAGTGGCAGGGAAGTCGGGAAGGATGAATATGGCGCATATTGCGACGCAAATTGTCATAGAACCTTCGATGTAAAACAGCCATCTTACGAGTTGACGCTAAGCACCAGGTCGGCAGGAAACCAACATCACTTACCTCCAAGCTGCGAGGCCCATAACTCCGTCCATGCCGTCCAGAATAGCTGATGCCAAAAGTGACCCAAAGGCATTACTGATCATAATACCTATACTACCAACGTTGGGTGCATCAAATTTGATATGAAAAGGGACTGACCACAGCTTAATACTGCTGTTCGTTGTCCAAGCTCTCTTCGCTTGTACCTGAGCGATATCAGTGCAAGGAAAAGATGCCTCCTTCCTTTCGGTACTCACCATTTAGATAGGAGAAATAAAGCACCAGGAAAGAATGCGGCCTCGACGAATCCCAGGAAAAACCGAGTGCTTACAGCTCCAAGGAAGCTTCAGAACTTCTTCAGTTTGTGTATTACCCAAAAGCTAGAAAACGTACCCCTTTGTCGTTCCTGTTTTCTAATCAACATCAACGATCTTCATGCTCAGGTGCTGAACTGACCCGTTAGGACTGATATCAGACCCCATATTGTCATGCATATCGGCAGATATATGGAGGGCCTCCCTATCTCGTTCAAGTACATATTGCTTCATCTTCGTCAGCATTACATTAAAAGGAGTCCTCAAGTCACGTACGATGGAACCTGCATTAGTGTGTAGCCGACGTAAAGAATACTTAATATGGTATTGAATTGTTGCCCTTCTAAATGAAGATCATCCTCAAAGCCGCGTAATCTAGCTGCACTGTTACGTGACGAATAGAACCGCAACTTCAGCTATGGTATAAAGATCGACATGAAACGTGAACCCACGCTGCATTATTGCGATCGATCTGGAGTTATTAGATTATCGGGCAGAGCTAGTAGGTACTAACTCGGCTCACGTAGTTCAAGATATAAATGAGGACGAGGATGGACATCCTGAGGTCGACTTTACGGAGAAGATTTTTCTCCACACGCTGTCTGTCCGGAAACTCGTTGCAAATGGCATTCTGCAAGGCAATATCGCTGTCCAGGCTACCCTCACACGCACTGTCAATATCTTCACATGCTTACCAAAACAAATGGAGGGTCAATGGCTCGTTTGACAATTGTCCAGTCGAACTCACGCAAACGTTCGTATGCAAGCCCATGAGAAGTTCTGCTCGACATATGAGATGGTCCGGGACAAAGAACGATACCTGTTGGTATTAAGATGGGCCTGAGAAATCACAATGCATGCTAACTAACTTTGTACCTGGATGTCCCAGGCAGCTGGATTAACGAGACGTGTGCTTCAACCCGAAGCATTGCAGCAATCCCGTTGAGCCAGATATTTTCGTAGGATTGACCATTCTGGACATCCTAGCTATCGTAGCGCTGTCATTGAACGAGCCAATTCGAGTATTTCAAACTAACCAAATGAATCGGGTGTAGATACCATATTTAACTCACATGGATCTGGTGACTTGAAAACCTGTCCCGGGCCGCCAATTGCCGCTTCATCGTCGTCTAACGAGAACAACTTCGACAACCGACCGCGTGTTTTCTATTCCATTAATTTACATAATATTCTCGCTGATTTTTATACAACTTCCCCAGTACAACTTGTCCTCGTGAGCGGTCTGATTCGATGAATGACCGTTATCACCACATATAACCTCCCACATGTAAGCACGCTGGCTTACTAGATTTCCCATAATACTGTCCGCGATACTGAAGCACAAGTTTTCAGTATCACTGCCTTTTGGCGTAACAGTTAGGGACGATAGTCTTAGCTAAGTTACACCACACCTCATGACATTCGTTCATGTAGCGTCAGCGCGCTCGGAGTCCTTCGGTGAGCAGAGACTCGAGAGTCAATTTATGTATCTAATTGTGTGACAATGACATTTGCCTTGCAACAGTATTTGCCCGTGATAAATCACGCATCCAGTGTGCCCAAGCTCGTACATTCAGTAAGAATATCGTTTATATTGCTAGTAAGCCTATCTTTTGGCGATTTTGGCTTGATCTCTCTCGCTGGGCTATGACTCTGTACCCACGGAATTCAGTCTCTTGTCTTTGTATTAGGGTATATATTCGTCTGTTTAGATGATCATGTATCAATTGATCAGGCAGGCAAATTTCACCTTGGTTTAGATTTGTTCAGCATACAGTGCTCAGCTGGTGTAGGTGACCATCCTATTTCTGTCACATCCCCTCTACTACAAGCCTGAGCTCCACGACTATGTTCGCACAATCATTACGAACATCTATCCTAGTATTCAGAGACACTGGAGACACCATCCATCCACCAGGCACATCCTCTTGCGTCACCTTCTCAAACCCAAACACCATCTGCGTCCCAGGCGTCTCGCATCACACCGTGCCATCGCCGTCGTCAATTCTAGAGAGCACAACGCAACCCATCGCCGATAGCGTGCCTCCAGCTTTTGGCATCCTTCCATGGGATCATGGCAGCTTGGTTCTTCGTAGATTCACTGGATTAGTTCAGTTTCACTACTTAGGTCTAGACGCATGTTTTCAAATTGTAGCTACTACCAATCAGCCGTTTTTGCTATTCTTTCTGTGCGATTCCTCTTTTCTTTCCTCTTCGAATTTATTTCAATTTATTTATTTGATTGTGGTGTGAACCATACATCTATAGATGCACCGCCCATTGCTTCCCAGTCGCCCCAGTCGAACAGCGAGTACTACAGGAGATATCTAAACCCTTTGGGTAACCCCAAAGCGTGCTCTTCGGCTTCAGCAGCTCCATTGCACCGAGAAAGATGCTGTCTGAACGCCCAGCACATCGCAATAGATATGGTGCTTGTCAGGATGCAAATGAGATATGAATTCACGTATGAAGGTCCCCAATTGGACGGCCAGAAGTACCTGCGATGGCGTGAGTGAAAGCATAGAGAGTGGTTCGCAGTAAACTCACGATGCACCAATGTTGCCAAATGTTGCCATCGAGTTTATCAGTGCGATGGCTGCAGCACGTTTCGACCGTGATTGGGAAAAGGTATTCAATGCCCAAGTCAAAAAGATGACATAGGCAACTGAGGACTGAGTCATAAAGAATCTTCACGAAGCCCATTAGCCCGTAAAATTTCAGAACGAGGATTGAAAGGTTCGTACAGTGACAGATATCGAACGGCCGTATTCATGGTAGATATGGCAATCACAAACCCGACGATGCCGAGAAGTAGCGGACCAGTGATATGCCAGAAGCGATCGCCAGTTACATCGGAGTGCCTTGTTTATCGTTAATTTGACTTTCGAGCCTGTCAAGTAAAGACTAACCTGGCCACAAAAAATGAGGTCGCAGTTCCCAAAATCCACGGAGGTGCGCAGAGCAAGAGGCTGATAGTTGCGTTGTAACCCATTGTGGCGGATAGTGTCGGGAAAAAATTGCCAAATGATAAAGAGGCGGTCATGAAACTAAGGGTAACTCCAAGCCACCATACTCTCCAATCCATAACAGCGTCGGAAAGGCCAGAAAAGCCCTCAACATGCTTGCTTTGGTCCTCATTTCCAGCTGCAGCATCCTCCTCCATCCGTCGTTTCGCCAGTATTTGCTCATCAGGCGACAACCAGACGCTCGGAGTTAAAGGAAAGTCTGGTAAAATCCAGATTGCACATACTGCAACTATGATGGTCAAAGTACCCTCCACGAGGAAAAGCCACCTGCAGCATCTAAGTCAGCATTACTCTTGGGACATGCAAATCTCGCTTCAGACCTCCAAGCCGTGAAACCCAGTGTACCGTCTAGGCCTGCCAAAATTCCTGACGCTATAAGGGCGCTAAAAGCATTACTGACTGAGCTCCCGCAAGTAAGAAGCGCTGTGCGTAACCCCAGTTCGTTGCGCTTGTACCTAAAGAGATATCAATATGAAGAATTAGGAGGGTATGGAACGACTATACCATTGCGAAAGAAGGAATACAGCCCCGGGAAAGAACGCTGCCTCGACAAATCCAAGTAGGAAGCGCAAGATCAGAGCTGCATGATAACTAAAGCAAGGTTAACTCGAGAGTGGACAATACTGCAAGAGTGGCAGATACCAACGTTTGTACCGTACCTTCACGACCCTTGTTAGGCGATGTTGACCAAACGAAAAATATATACATACCAATGAACAAGGTGATAGCGCCCCATATTGCCATGCAGCTTGAGAGGTACAACGATGGCCTTTTCATGCGATCTAAGAAAATGTTGCTTGTGAATTCTCGGAGATGCCGCACAGGGATAACAGGGTAGCACATACGAAGGAGCTTGCATCAACACATACCCCACATAGAGGATGCTAATAAGCGTATTGAACTGATTCCCCTTCATGTCGAGGTCCTCCTCAAAACCACGCAACCTCGCTGCACTTGCGAACGGGAGGTTGAGCTACAGTATTCCAAGTAATTTCGGGTCACGTACGCTGCATTACTACGGTCCATCTATGCAGGGAATTTAGGCAGTAGCGGGAGCACCAGGTGCACCAACTCACATAATTCATAATGTAGATCAGAACTAGGAAGGCTACTCGAAGGTCCAGTTTACGGAGAAGCCTCTTCTCCGTGAAAGCTCTGCTCTGCTCATCACTGTATGGGAGTATGGGAGTATCATTGTTGTTGCCAGACTCAGAGGCGCCATAGTGCGGACTGTAGTTGCCTGCATTGAGCAGTGGACGATTTGACATTCCTCAGTCTCGCTCTTCTTTTAATGCGTCGCCGAAAGATCGAGTAGCTTCAGCTCAGATACCAGCGGTCGTAGCAGCAAACCAACTTAGCACTGTGCTAGAGCGGCGTGACAAGTAACTCGCTTTAATACTAGTAAGGTTTGTTACATGTTTGTGGTCTGAAGCTGCGAAACGTATCACGGCATCGGCATCCTCAATTTCCCTCGACTCCTGGGATTTGCTGATAGATTCTCAAAGTACCTCACACAAGCACCAGCACGGAACCCATCCATCTACCACGATTATGGCAGCAGCGGTGATCACACTATACCCTACGGTGACCCCGCCGTCCTACCACAGAATTGTCTCCCCAACCTTGAAGATTCCTGCAGATACCCAACGACCAATACCCGTGGGTCTCCTGGCATGCCAACGTGAGCATCTTGGCCTCACATCTAGACATTTCCATCTAAACTGAAGTTCAGGTGATCCGCTCTTGCGCGAACTGGAGACATCAATCATCAGCTGCACGATCTCACAGCCTGCTTCCTTTCCTAGTGTTAAGAAGGGAAAGAAAGCATCGGCAACAGCACCGGCCGATCAACCTACACTTGAGATCATACTGCATGATACTGTCATCTTTCCGGAGGGCGGGGGACAGCCATCAGATACAGGTATAATCAAGACAGCTGATGGACGTACATGGACGGTGACTCAGGCTAAACGACACGGTGGACATGCAGTTCACTACGTCTGGGCTGACCAAACTGAAGACGGTCTTGCTTCTCTCACCCCTGGGACCAACGTTATTGTTGCTCTCGGAGAGCTTGATTTCGATCGCAGATATGATCATGTACGTACCCAACTTCTTTATCCTAGCGAAATTATTAAACTGCAACCCAACAGATGTCCATGCACACATCGCAGCATCTTCTTTCTGCGGTGCTCGAGAATCGTCTCAATATTCATACCCTTTCTTGGTCGCTTACGGCTGCACCAGCACCTTGTTATGTCGAACTCGCCAGAAGCATGACCACGGAGGAAATCTTGGCCATGCAGAGCGAAGCCAACAAATTTGTATTTGAGGGACGGAAAGTTCATGTAGAGGTGCAAGAAATGGATGATAAACCACAACCTGCAGTACCTGTATTAGAAAGTGGTCGTGCCGTGGGCAAAGGAGTCCCGACCGACTACACTGGAGGCATCATGCGAACAGTAATCATTGACGGAGTAGATCGTAGTCCGTAAGTTCCTCCAATTTTGACGGATTACTTTAGAAGCTTAACATCAATATTACAGATGCTGTGGCACGCACCTTCCTACTCTTCACAACCTTCAACTTTTCATCATACCCCAAACGGAGTCCCTTTCTAGGTCGGCTACCACGTCTGCTCGTTTGTATTTCCTTGCTGGACCGCGGCTCATCACCTACCTCACATCTACGCACTCCCAACTCACTGCTGCTGCTACCACGCTCAGTTGTGGCACTCCACAAGTCCCAGATCGTATAGGGCAAGTCGTGGACGAGCGGAAGCGAGCTGAGAAGAGAGTCGATGACCTTGAGTTCGAACTTGCAAAACATGTCGCACGCGACGTTTGGCAAGAAATGATGCCATCTGAATCAGTACTATTTGTCAAACATGTGCACCGGACAGATGATTCTGTCAATCCTCTCGGATTTTTGTCAGCAATAACCACTGCTTTCGCAAATATCATTCCAGCAGAGCGGTCGTTCTTGCTAATTTTTTCATCTTCCCCGTCGTCCCAGACGAGCTCAAGCGCGAGCGTGCTGCTTGTCTTCGGATCGGACGAGAAAGATGTCAAGCCGGCTGGGGACTTGCTCAAAGGCAAATTGAACGTCAAAGGAGGTGGTAAGGGCACGAGATGGAGTGGTAAGTTTATTGGTGTCTGGAGAGAAGGACGCGAGGACGCTGTCGTTTCCGAAGTCCTCACAGCAATTTCGACGTAGAATCCATATATGCTCTAGAACATTGCAAACAAAACAACCTAAAAGAAATCAATGTACATCCATAAGTTACCTCTAGAAACTTATTTATCGCGTGGAGAGGGATCGTCGCAAATAGCGTCCGCTTCCACACCAGTGTCAACATCAGATGTGCCACAGACTTGTTCTATTGCAGAGATATCAGTGGACTTCGATGAGTAGGTCGGGTGACACACCGTGATCATCTTCGAGCAGACCGTTTATAACCGGCTCAGCATGCTCTTTCTCATCGTCAGACTCATCACCACCATGCAAGTCAACATAACCCCAAATGTCATCCAGGTCTACTTCCATCTCCTCCACCTCCAGTTCGTCGTCGAACTCATCCATTCCGAAGAAGTCGTCTTCTTCATCTTCATCATCGTCAGGAAAATATTCATCATCAGAGGATTCTGCGTCAGATTCGGTGTACGGTTTTATATCCAGAAAAGGATGTCGACATGTTGGACAACTGCCGTGCTGCAGATAGGAGTAGCGGAACGCTCGACTTAATTATGTACCACTGAAAGATGGTACTCACAAAATTTCGTATCCACTCTGATAAGCTGCGTGCGATTGTAGCTTAATAGAAATTTGATCAAAGTAAATCACGCACTCCTTCCGACAGAACAAGTGGCCGCAACCCACTACCTTTGTCACACCATCTTCAAATTCTCCTTCTCCTTCCTGGGGCACCTCACCAGCAAGTATGGCATCAAAGGGAGTGAGACATATGGCGCAGGATTCGTCCTTTGGAATGGCGGAATTATGCAACACAGGAAGATCGTCCAAAGCATCTTTGACACGTTGGAATAGCGCAAGATGACGTTCGGAGTAGACTGGAATATCTCCGTTGTCGTCCATGTTATTCTTGTGTCTAAAATGTAGAGTCGCCACGTCTTTAAATGTCGACCTCGAGGAGATGATGCTGTGGTCCCAAGCTGATCCCGTCAACAAACACGCGTTACGCGCGACATCATCACGTGATGACAAGGTGATGGTGTAGATACCAAACATAGTATTCGCCAAAGCACCGGGACCCGGCGGGTGCCACATGGCCAAGTATTATTGAAGTACTTATCACGATGAGCTGGAACCAAATGATCAGTACTATAGTCTCAGGCGACCTCTCTCCGCTGCCCTTGTGACCAGCTCTCCGTTATCGCTATTGTTCCTTTTGGCAATGTTTCCGCTTGTCAGAAGTGCTTTTAACATGAAGTGCAGAAGACATCACTTGTTCGGCTTCCCGCCACTATTGACATGTCAATTGGCCAATATTCAGATTCTGCGTCGCTCCCTCCCTCCAAGGAGCATGTGGATCCCGGAGACACCGATCCTGACGCGGAATTTGGTGGCCTAGCGGCACGTAAACAACTGGAGCGCAAACTCGTGCGGAAACTTGACCTCCGCATGTCGATCCTGGTACTTATCTACATCCTCAATTATGTGAGTGACTTTGTGTCAAAGTGTCTTTTCTCCATCTCACTTTTGTACTAGGTCGATAGAAATAATGCTGGGTACGCCCTTTTCATGCATTCCTGACACGTCGTTTACGAAGCAAAAGTGCCGCACGCTCCCGAGGGCTCGTTGCTGACCTTCATCTCACTGATCAGCAATTTGCGACGTTGTTGTCCATTCTCTATGTCGGATACATTATTATGCAGATCCCGTCTAATATGTTTCTTAACTTCACCGGCAAGCCGTCACTTTATTTGTCTGCTTGTATGGCCGTTTGGGGTGTGATGTCGGCACTGACTGGAATCACGACCAAGTATGACACATTTTCTATGCCTGAAAAACAACTCACCGCAGTCATTTGTAATAGTTTTACCGGAGCCGTCTTAACGCGTTTCTTTCTTGGCTTCGTAGAAGCAGCCTTTTTCCCTGGTGCCCTATTTTTAATTTCCAAGTGGTTCGTGAGCAATTGATCTTATCAGTGGACAGCCTCACGTCTTATATATATGTACAAGAGAACAGAGATAGGTTTCAGAACTGCAATTCTCTACTGGTTAGGGCGCCAATCTATGGAAGGATCTTTCCATTAACAGAAACATTGCAGCGGAAACATCGTTAGCAATGCCTTTGGGGCGCTCCTAGCATCAGGCATTCTTGGTGGCATGAACAATGTCCTCGGACACGCCGCATGGAGGTATTTCAACCAAGTTCTTTTTGCCGAGGGACAGGGTCTGAATCTGGTTTTTGAGGTGGCTTTTCTATCTCGAAGGATCTCTTACTGTCTTTGTCGCAATCTGTGCCATCTTTATTTTACCAGACTTTCCATCAACGACGAAGTGGCTGTCTGATGATGAGCGTCGACTTGCATTGAGGCGTATGGAGGAGGATGCAGGTGTCGGTGACCAGAAAGAAACCGAGCAGGGTGGCCTCACTTACGGTCTTTACCTCGCTGTTACCGACTGGACAGTGTGGTGGTTCGTGATGGCAATGAATGCAATAGTGATATCATTATCCTTCAATGCGTACTTCCCCACTCTTAGTGCGACACTTGGGTACAACCCAACAGTGTCACTGCTCCTTGTTGCCCCTCCGTTCGTCTTTGCGGTCATTGTCGCATTCTGTCTGTCCAGGTAAGCTTCTATAACATTGTGATCTAGGAACTGACAATGAAGAACTCCCCAGGCACTCTGATTGCAAGCAAGAACGCTTCTACCATATTATTGGTTCATGGATTGTCGGTATTATTGGGTTCATTATTGCAATAAGCACCATGAACACGGCAGCGCGATACGTGTCCCTGTAAGCGCAGGATCTCTATTTGGGGCGTATTGCTGATTGTGTCCAGGTTCCTCATGGCGCAAACAGTACGCAGGACTCGTTGTGATGTATGCATGGATGAATAACTCGTTCCCTCGACCGCCGTCAAAGCGTGCGGTATGTGTGGCGATCATCAACGGATTTTCGCAACTCGGGAATGTTGCAGGGTCGTGAGTACAATCCACCTATCAACGTGGGATTCATTAATGAAGCCTGTTGCAGGTACATTTGGCCTTCGAGTTGGGGCCCTACCTATCGATTCTCATACGGTATCTGCATTGCGAGTGGCGGTACCGCGATCATAATGGTCTGGGTTTTCAAACAGCATCTTATATCATTGAACAAAAAACTGGAGCGTGAAGAGCAGGAGAAGGGAATCAAGGAAAAAGGATTCCGATACCTTCTGTGATTGATCGCGAGGTGATCTACGACTTTTAGATGATGGACACGAAATGCCATTACCATGACTCGCACTGTGGATATTATGAAGCCTTGAGGCCTGAGGAGCAATCGATTTGGAAACGTTGCTGCCTGCCGTCGGATGGTCCATGATATAATCGTCTATGATACGCAATTAGCGGAAGGAGCTGGCCATGCAGCAACAAAATCGGCTGTGATTGGATGTGAATAGTAAATGTTGTTGACAGTGGGAGATCAAAAGCTAACATTGCTCTGACTGGCAATTAAATGGAACCGATATACTGATTTCGTGAGGTCACGCGTTTGGTTGCGCGCTGGCAGCACCTAAGCCCAGTACTTCCATCATCGCAGTAAACCTCCCTTTAGTCTTTCAACTTCAAATCTGTTTCGTGAGCTCGATTTCACTAGCTCGTTAATTCGAGTCTGTGTAAGCTGCGCAGCTCAGCAATGAACTCTCTAACATACATCTCACGTCAATTCGATGTATTCGCATCACCACGAACTCCCCCGTCGACCCCCACAGGCGATAAGGCCTCTTTTTTTCGTAGGGCCCCGTCTACTCGCAGAGGATCAGATTCCAATACTTCTTTCAAGCGCACGAATTCGTGGGCAAATAAGTCGCTCCAGCAGCCTCATGGCTCGGACTCGCAGAACCTTCCAAGACCGAAGCGCTCATATTCCTCTCCTTCAGGTTTCTTACCCATCCCAATTCTGAGGCCATTTCCTCCTTCACCTCCATCAGAGGCTGGCACAATACATTCCAAGTACAGGTTCAGAGTAAGAAGCGCTCTCAGACGGCTGTTCCTTGTTCGAGCCTTTGTTCTCGTTTGGAACACCCTCTGCGCTACATGGACGCAGGTGACGCCAGGGGAGATCGAAAGCAAAGAGGAAGAGGTTTTGGTCGACAAACATTTTGAAAAGCCCCTGGGCGAGGCTACTGATGTGTTGTTACCTGAAACACAACCGCCACTACCATCAATTCCACCCCCATCATCCCCATCAATTCCATCTCATGTCCTTCAAGTCATCTTCGCCAAGCCAGATATCGCCACTTTACCCACACCGCTGCCTTCTCCAGGCCCTTCGCTTCCACCCTATCAACACTCGCCTAGAATTCCTCCAACCACCGTAACCGATACCGCATCGAGATCACCGACACCCATTTTGACCGCTACGCATAAGACACCGTTTCATTTGCCAAAGACTCTCGTTCTTGATCTCGATGAAACTCTCATACATTCGACGTCCAAACCAATCGGTCATCTTTCTAGTAGCTCTGGGCTTCTCGGTTTCGGACGCAGGAACAAGGGACACACGGTTGAAGTAGTCTTAGGCGGCCGGAGCACCCTTTATCATGTATATAAGAGACCGTTTGTTGACTATTTCCTTCGCAAGGTTAGTCGCGCGCTACCGTTATCAAGCTATTAGAGCCTGACTAACGGTTGTCAGGTTTCTGCTTGGTACACACTCGTTGTCTTCACTGCTTCTATGCAGGAGTATGCCGACCCAGTCATTGACTGGTTAGACGCTGGACGTGGCATTCTTGCGCGCCGTTTATTCCGAGAGGTAAGTTTTGTGATATCTTTACGATATCCGTCTCCTCACCACCACGCTGTCACACTTGTCCAGTCTTGCACCCAACTTCCTAATGGATCTTATATCAAGGATCTGTCCGTAGTAGAACAGGATCTCTCTCGTGTCTGTCTGATCGATAACTCGCCGGTTAGTTACCGTGGCAATGAAGGTACGCACACTTCTATCCTAGCAGTCACAATCTAAGTGTGCTCTTGTAACAGCGAATGGTATACCCATAGAAGGTTGGACACATGACCCACTCGATGAAGCCTTACTCGATTTGTTGCCCATCCTGGATTCGCTGCGTTTCACGGGGGATGTACGGAGGGTATTAGGCATTCGCGGGTTCTCATCATAACACTCCTCTAACACCCTAGACCATCCTTAACTGACTTTTTACCTCATGGTTCCGAGTTCAACATTGCCGCACCCCATCATTCTGCATGTCACAATTAGCATTTTGCACGCACGTCTTGCTGCATAACGAGCTGATAACTTAATACAGGCAGTTTCGTTACATAATTTAATTTACTGCTTATCCTGTACACTATCTCAATTTCACAAGAACACGACCAGCAGCCAGGGGCGAAATCCTAAACAATCATCTGTTGCAAGAGGCTATTATGAGAAGGGGTTTGGATATATGTATAAAGTCAGATCTGAGACGCAATGAACGTATCGACCGGGTGCAGTAGGGGAAAGGGGACTCTAGCTATCACATTGCTAGTGCGGCCTGCAGTTCCCTCAACTGAGCCTCCTCGTCGTCCTCCACTGCCACTTTGGCTGCACAAGAGGTTAGCTGATTGAACGTCAAGTTGATTTGAGACATCTTACATCGCTCTTCCACCCGACGAGCTCCTGCAGGAATGTGCAAAGGAACATGCTCTGCTCCAGCAAGGCGTTCATCGAGTGTCTCTTGCTCAAGCTCCGCGAGCTCTGCCTTGAGATCATCCTGACAAATCATCAGCACAAAGGTACCCATCAAGTCAAGAGATAGACGCACCTCGTCTGCATCCATAATACCAGTAGGATTTGATAAAGCATCTGCAATTTCATTAGCAATCTCTCTCTGCTCTGTGATCTTAGTCATGGTCGAGTCGACCTTATCCATGGTCCTACGGGAATCAAGGTTACCACTATACGCGTGATCAGCAATGTAAGGAGGATACACACATGTTACCATGGATCGATGCCAGCACGTCTGAAGCCTTCTTCATAGCAGCCATTGTCTCTGCATTCAGATTCGCAGACTCTAGTGTGTTGATTTGTAGTTCCAGCTGCAGTCGTTGACCCGCCAGTCGATCCATCTCAGATTCGCTCGCCTTCTTCCGTCGCAGAGCCTGCGTAGCCACTGTGCATCGTGTGTATAGAGGGTGAGCGTCGACGGTAGAGTGCGGACCTACCAGCCTTGTTAGAAACAGCGTTCGCCTTCGCTTTCTTGAGTTCCTCGTCAATCTTCTTCTGTAGGTGCTCCTCCTTCTTCTCTATCATCTGTAGTTGCTGCCTTAGCCCTACGATAGCATCTCGTGCTGCCTGTTTCGTGTCTCGCCTCCCGCCAAAGTAAGACATAATCCCAGCCATCATGGTTTAAGTACAGAAGCAGATCAAAGCAAAGGAGATGCGTGCAGAACAAAGGGTAGGGTTGGTACAAGTGCTGTATTGCCGCTGCAGGCTAGAAGCTCTGACTGGCACGCACTGATAACTGAATAAGGCAACTCGCCTCCTCGCTGCGCCTTTACTCATTTTCCTCGGGCAACCCAGACGCCGCTATATGTGCACTTTCTCATTGCATCCCCCCACTGAGACTTTTTTTGATTCTCATTATAATACTGACACGCTTGTTAAGTGACATTCAAATATCCTATCTTTGGTACGTGGCTATATAGTTTTTCACTTACATTGCAACAGACAGGAAAGAATTGATCACTGCATCCCCTATTCCTGCACACTCACAACCTCCGAGGGACCACACAATGACCGGCAAATCATATACCGTGATGGTTGTACTCCCTAGCAGGAAGACAGTCATTGCGGAGCAATTTTAACGGCATCCTGTTGATGTCCGTGAGCGTCAATTCCCCTGCAGTAGCATTACGAGCACAGGAGTGTTGCTTCAACGATGCCAGGAACATTTTCTGCTGCCACCCAGTGATAATATGTCCACCTTATCATCAAAACTTAACACAAATGGAAACGTGCCCGCGTCGAAGTCCCTGTCTCCATTATGACCCTTGAGCATGAAGACGACATCGTTCAATATTCTAATCCCTTACCAAGAGACGATCGGGTACACTAGCTCGGGCACGAGTGACACGCTGCGAGGCAGCAATTACGATCGCGACCACAAAAAGAATAGCGAGCGATTCTGGCATGATTTTGTTAGCAAAATTCCTGCAAAGGATACGATCGCTAGTACTAACGAGAATTGAATGTGCACGAGCAATGGAGGCATAATGCTCGCGAGTCATACAAGGAAAATTCTCGATGACAATGAGGGCAGTACGTCAACATATTCCCAACAGCATATTGATTACGAACAGCTCTGCGAACTCGAGACCTCAAAAAATACGAGGAACTTGCGTAAAACACAGGAAGACATGAGAAAAGTGCCGTCGTCGGAAAGTTCCTGATCAGACACGACCAGCGAAACTGAAGGTGCCAACAAAGATAAAGATAAAGCTTGGGAAGAAGATCCAGCGGCCATGACAGATTGAATGCGATAGTATATTGATCTGGACCAGAAAGATGAAGTAGAGACTCTAGACTCTAGTGGAGGTCGACGACAAGAGAGATGCGGTGACCAATAACACACAAACAATGGCAAAGTCCGGCTATGAGCTCGGCTCCGTATATCAGGTCATTTTTTTCGTTATACCAGTACCCTTTTCGGGTCCCGGAATTCGGTGAGCTCACAAGGAAAGTATCCAAAATGTTGAATTGTATGATAGTTGAGTCCAGAAATGACTAGATATGCAAAGGCCGACGTGTGGCAATTAAATCATCGATGACAGAATATCACGCCCCTGCGTCTAATGTACTAGATCATTGGCTCTTCTTTTCTTCCTCGCTGCAAGACACATCATCAGTTTGGATGGAACACATATATTTGGGAATCTCACCTTTCGTCGTCGCTACGATCGTCCGAGGCACCTTGACCGCTGATCACGCGCCATGCAATGCGACAAATCATCGAGAACCAGACGATTTGGATGACCTTGAAGGACCTATCAGGTATGAACGTTGATAGGATTCCTGACACTTACCTGTAGTGCCACCAGCAAGTAGACAAAGGTATTGTAAGTCCGCTCAGAGTAATAATGTCCCAATTCTGGCACCCAGCCCACAGAGATCAACCGCGGGCCATCGAACCAGGCCGACTTTATGACAATGACGAACAGAACGTGACGTGCCACGAACCATGATATAAGGAACCAAGTGAAAGTGATGTCGCAAAGGGTATATAAACCAATGTATCGAAACATTTTGGCGACCTATTGGGAGATGAATAACTGGGCCTGGATCATTAAAGAGCAGGGAGAGCGACTTACTGGGAGAAAGATATCATTCCAGTCCATCAATACCATGATGAGGCATCCGATGCGGGTAAAATTGCAGAAGTAACTCATGACCATGAGGAAAATAGTGAGGACGTGGTGGGTCATCATTTGCACATGATCTTTCCTGCGAGCCTCCGCATTTAGAATAAGGACTTGATGGATGTAAAAGGCGGTCTGGGTAAGATAGTAAAACTTCAGAGGTCCAGCAAGGGGAATATGGGGGTAATTCGACCATAACTCCGTCGGGTTTAAGGCTTGAGTAGGAAGATTTCGGTGAACATACTAGAAATTAAGATTAGACATGACATGTCAGCTGCATGAAACCACGTACAAAGCCAAATGACCATTGGAGTGTGTAATAGATGGCCGACCAGCCTTGCTCTGCGAATCTCAAAACGCTGCGATGAATTTTGCGAGCATCCCGCGCAGACATTACGCTTTTTGGCTTGGAATCACCATTGGCATGCACAGCATGTCCGTTTCCGTTTATGAGATCATTTTTGTTGCCAGTTCTGTTGTATGTGGTGGGAATTGGAACGCTCCCAAGTGCGAGTGAGCTTCCACCTAGCGAAAGGTTCCATTACGAAGATGCGAACTATGTCACGCAGAACTGCCATGACGGCAATGCAAGTTATTATGAGGCAACCATCTAGCACGCCAGTCTTGTAGTACGCGGAATGGTGGAACGAGTCGGGATTGACGGGTGGAGGAGTTGGATATGAAAGTGAAACGAACGGAACGAGGTAAGATGGTAGCCACTGAAGGATATAATGACTATTCATCGGTAGACGCGTCGGGAGATGTTCAAGTTAACAGAAGGTCGTCAAAAATTTCATGAACCGGGTGAGCAACGTGCGATGGTGCGTTTTTGTGCCTGTTTGTTAAGTCTTACGTTTGACAACGCAAAACGCGACTACAAACTAGCAAAAGCTCTTGCGAAGCTAGAGAAATGATCCTAGACCGTGTTAGCAGAGACCTGAAAGACTCGAGAACTGAAATGAGGTCCAATATAAGTTTAAGTAAATCGCGCTGCCTCGCTCATCAACCTGTGAGAATGTAATACCTTTCTAGGATAACAACTATCGTCCTCCATGAACGCGACTCAAACAGTAGACTCGGAATAATCATGTCTGCTCAACCAATTCCTACCCTCTACATCAACAATCTCAATGATAAAATCAACAAGGATGAAATGCGTACTCAACTATATGCCCTTTTCACCACATTCGGCAAGGTTATTGATGTCATCGCGTCAAAAGGTCCAAAGATGAGGGGTCAGGCATTCCTCGTCTTCACAGATTTAGCATCCGCGACTACCGCTATGAGAGCCTGCGAGGGTATGGTGTTTTATGACAAGCCAATGGTAAGCTTAAACTTAGCTTTCTAGGAGACGATTAAACTAATTCACTTATGCAGCGCATCACCTACGCGAAATCGAAATCATACGCTACTTCGCGAAGGGAAGATCCCAACTTTGTCCCTCCAACATCTGTTCATGCAAACCAGGATCTCGCTATGCTTGCAAAAGTTACTGTTTCGACAACTGATAAGCGCCGGCGCGATGGGGATATGGCAGATGGACAACCAAAGCCCAAACGTGAAAAGTCAGAGGACGATAGTGATGGTGAAGAAATGGAGATTGATGAAGATGAGGAACCCGCTCCACAACTAAAACCTCTAGGTACGTCATGACATGAACGGTGTTCACATGATTTCAATCATTCTTCCCAAAGCCACCATTCCGCCGCCTACACAACATCCATCCGCAAGATTGTTTTGCACGAATCTCCCTCAAGAGGTCACAGACGATGTACTCTCTGTGCTATTCCAACAGCGAGTACTCATTCCTTTTATATCCAAGTCATTCACGAATGCTGCAAACAGGTACAAGGGTTTTCAATCAACACACGTCGCTCAATCACCAACTCCAAATGCCGCTGGTGCGAGCGTAAAGATGGCTCAAGTTTTCTTCGACTCCCCCGAACTTGCATCGACCGCAAAAGACGCCCTAGATGGCTTCACACTAAAAAGGGGCTGGAACATGTCTGTAGCCTATATTTAATACAGTTGTAGGTTGTACCCGCGAAAATTTGTACTAATTTTTAATATTCTCGTGCATCTACTCAAGATACGACTAGAGTCCGCTTTCAGAATGATTCTACTTCCACTTATTTCTGCAAGGCTTGGAGAATGGCCTCTGCAATCGGATGAGCTGAAGCCGGGTTTTGCCCTGTGATCAGGTTACCAGTAACGACGACCCTGGGCTGGAATAACAGTGGATGAGTCAACATCCGGCCAAAGTCAAACATAATACTGACCTCCCAAGGTTCCGCTGCTTTCTCATATTTGCCCCCAAGACTGGAAATCTTGTCTTCCAACAAGAATGGTATATCCTGTATCCAAAACACGTCTGCAAAAGTACCAAACACTGGCTAAGTGATACTCGCCTTCACTTTGTCGACCTGCTCTTCCTCAACATTTGAGAAGCCAGTGACAGGTTTGCCAGCAAAAATGGATTTGCCAGACTCGTCAGTCGCGCCAACAAGGGCACTGCAACAAAATGTCAGCAGCATTCGTGGTAGAACTTATTGTGCTATAGCTGACGCTGGTCCATGGCAAACAGCGGCGACCAATTTTCCAACACGGTAGAACTGTAGGATCAGATAATTATCACTGGCCCATCATACAAGGAAGATTGGCAGACGTACTTTAGACGCAAGCTGGATATTGACAGGATCCACTGCCAAATCCAAGACAGGACCATGGCCCCCTACATAGAAAATCGCATCATAATCATCGGGATTAACATCGGAGAGCTTTTTAGCTGTCGAGAGCTTCTTCTGGGCCTCGGGGGTTTCGAGGAATTTGCCTATGTCGTCCGGGAACATCTGAAGGTAAGATTACAGCATCTACTCATTAATGACCTGGTCTTGAACTGAACACCCACCTGGACGCTGGATTCATCCACAGGCGGATTAGGACCCGCAGGAGAGGCAAAATCGATAGCGAAATGAGGCGCGAGGACATAGTAAGGATGGGCGGCTTCAGGAAGGTACCATCCCTGATCAAACGGGGTTAGAGGACTGATGCCAAAAACAAGTGCAGGGCTCTGCTGACCGTATTGGCACCTGTCAACGTTTGGTTTGCAGATGTGAAAACAAAGAGAATGCGTTTTGTCATGACGTTCGATGAGTGAGATGGATGTGTGATTTAATGGCCGTTATAGCCTTTATATATCTGTGAAAGTTCTCGTCCCCCGGGCGGGGCTCCAGTTCCGAGTCGGTAACATCCCCTGGAGTGCGCTCGTCCTTAAAACCCCTGGAACAGGATGATCTTCGTGTGAATTGGAAGCTGACCGAATCTGCATCGACATCGGGCGCAGACTCCAGTAAGTGATAACGAGCACAGGCTGGGAGCATGTGCATGAGGCATTTGATTTTGATAAGATAAGACAAATAAATTACGTAAGTATTATCACCGCGAAACTCACTTTCAAGCGGCGAACCCCAGGCATCTTCGGCACTCTTGGGGTTATAGCATTCGAACACAGCGTGATACCGTAGATCGCATCCATCGGCGGCATGTCTTCATTCTTCGGACTGTCAGTAGTCCTTCCAACAGCAAGACCATGAACTAACGCGTCGGCTTATCCAGAGGCAAGACCCGCACGTTCAAACCTCGAAAGGACGTCCCGGAGGGCACCAAACAATATCAACTGCGAAAGTATGCAGAGGCAACCTTGGTAAATTACACCGATCAGTACTAATGCCAGGATGACGTCGAACTTTCAAATGCAATCTAGGGCTCTGGCAACTTGAGGTTGGCTGTCAGGCTGCCTGAAGGTGAAGATACAAGTGAATGGCTTGCTGTCCATGGTACGGGCCATCTACACTCGTCTACGACGCGTCATCGTATTCACATGAGCAGCTGTTGATTTCTTCAATCACTTGAATATGTTGTACGGTACTGTTACCGAGTTCTGCACGCCGCAGGAGGTATGGCGTTACTGATCACTTGCCGCTTGATCTGAAACGCTGGCCTTAGTGTCCTATAATGTCCGCTGGTCCACGGTGAGCCTCTGCCTGTAACATATATAACTTTAAACTTACTGTAATTCGGTAGCTACGAGTACCTTTGGGAAGATGGTGTTAAATATAAGAGACCCACGAAGCTGCCTGCTCCCGAATATGTAGATGCATTGATGAACTGGGCTCAGAACATTCTCGACGATGAAACTGTATTCCCCAACAAGATTGGTGTGTACCACGCGATAAATCCACTCTACGGTGGTAGTTGACGAAACTTAGGCGTGCCATTCCCTCGAAATTTTCGCGAAACAGTGCGCACGATCGTACGCCGATTGTTTCGTGTATACGCGCATATATATAGCAACCACTTTGACCAAATTTGTGCGCTTGGCATCGAAGGTATCATTTCGTTTTGCTTTCGGCTTCGATTATGAGAGCTTGACCAAATTCTGCAGCTCATCTGAATACCAGTTACCGGCATTTCTTTCTATTCATAAATGAGGTGTGTTCACAATCATCTCCACAGTTGCCTCATGTCGTTTAATTATGAACTTGCTAGTTTGACCTTGTGGATAAGAAAGAATTAGCACCCCTGGATGAGCTCAATGACGCCATCCTTGCCGAGGACAAGGCCCGATAACCGAGTTCTATGTTTAACCGTTCACTGTACATGCCTATCTCACTGCCTTGACGCCAATCTGCCACCAAGTTCCGAATCATGATGTCATTACCCATTGGCTATAAGCTATGCATGTGTGGATCGCCATGGAGTACAAACTTGTGAAGACTGACTATTTACGGAAAGGGTAGCTAATGAGTACAGGTCGTGTATGATGGACTCGGTGGCAGTGTTCACCGAAGTGAACAGTTCCAATTGATGTTACAAAAAGTGAGCAGTGTTACACGATGAATGCGGTGAAAAAAATGAAAGGGATGAGTGATACGATCTATTGAAGGAATGAGAGATGAAGTGCGCGCGCGCATTTCCTGGGGTATGTCCGTCCAGAGTGAGAGATATCTCTTCCGAATGATGCCGTTTTACAAGTTAGATAGTCCTCTGCAGTTCCAATGTAAGCGGAAAGTTCGAAGGCCTGAAACGGTGGGCGTACCTTGACTGCCGACCATTGTATAATCAGCGTCTTCAGCCGGTCTCGAAGTGCTTTTCGACAGAGCTCGCATGATAGCTGATCACCTAGAGGTGCCAAAGCAGATTCAATCGCGTTTGTGGACAAGTCTTGATTAAACTAAGTTTAGAGCAGTGCTGGTGATCACGTATGAAACGTACCTGGTCTGGCATCCCAAGCGAGATATGCGGATGCGAGAGCCCAGGCCCTTGTGAGCCTCTTCTGCTCGGTGAAATCGCAGTTATTGGTGGGGGCATGTGGATGAGGTGGTGGTAGGAGGAGACGTTTCAAAGCATCTGCGCGGCCAAAGTGGAGAAAAAATAATCGTTTCAAATATATTGCGCCAATTCTGTCCGCCATCTCATCTGTCAAGGACGCGAGGGAAAAGGAGAGCAAATGAGATGAAGTTGGAACGGCGAGGTCGTAGAGGTCGTGTGAAGCAGCTAATGCGTAGAGTTCCAAGGGGTAAAGAGGTGCATGCGAGAGAAGTAGCGAGTGCAGGGCAGAAGAAGGGCCAACGTGGCGCTTGAGAGAAACGCCATAATCTGTCAGTGCCGATAATGCTGTTGCAAGGGACTCGAATGAAGGAGAATAATGGGAGCATGTCATGTCGTATACGGCGTGAAGTACGATATTGAGAATGGTAGAAGATTCTGAGACCACCAAGACTGGACCCAGCTGACCGGCCGTGGCTTTGGATGACATTGGTAACAGACCGCCAAAGTTATTTTGAGAAACTCCAAGCAACGCGCGCGTGTGGACATAAAAGAATATAGAGTCGGATGACAGCAGCACGAGATCTGGTGGGTGTGAGCAGATGTTTGCTCCAGGAAAGAACGTTGTGGACACAGAGACGAGTGCGTCTTCCTCTCCCGGTGGGTCAACCGGTGACGAGGTAAACGAGTCCTTTGTAAGTCATGGTCAATACCATCTGCCTGATATAAACCTTACAGTCTAAACCACGTACGGGGGGTGTTGGTACCTGCACAGGTACCGCCGAATGTGTACGTTCTGCGACGGGCCTTTCAGGCACATGAGAAAATTCCATCTCCAAAGGCTCTGAGACGAACTGCAAGACGAAGTCCCAGTCTGTATTCTCCATACAAGTACTCATGACTGCCTCAAATGATGGACAAACTGGATGCAGGGATGCGAAACAGGACGATTTAAATAAAAATAAAGGTTGTCAGGGAATAAAGCTAAAGGCTGTTGAGGGAGATTATTAGGACAGCACACGGGCGATGGCGAGCGCATATAATGTATAAAAGAGAAAGGGGGGCAGCAGTTCAGGAAATCTAAAAACACTGATAAACCAATTACACGCTTCGCTGAGTTTAAATAGATACAAACTCTAATCGCCATAGTCTGGAAGGAACCTGGCCCCCCAACATTGCTTTGCAAATGAATTCACGGCTCTTCCTTAATTGGTCACTTTTTATTATATTCTATTCCGCAGTATTTGAGCTGCTACGGATCGAGAGCGAACTCCGGGTGCTTCCGGTCTGCTTCCAACTCCTATTTCCAGAAGTGAGACGAGACCAAGCATCCGAGGTTGCCGTGGAGTGGGAAAAGTATTACGGACACAGGTTCACAACTTTGACCGCGCTGTCAGCCGGGGTGAATACAGCGATCAATCATGCATCCGCTTTCTCTTAGACTTCAGTTTATGTATTTCTTCTCGTTGGCCAAAGTTTGAATCATGTAATTCCTAGGGGCTCGCGTAAGAAACAGAAAGTGCGCTGTCCTGTCTTTAACACGCACCATATTTGCTAGCCTTTTCGCTGTGGATACGGCATTCAATTTTTCTAAAACCTTGTTTTCCAGGCATGGTCATAGCCTCTAGTTGGATTCCTGACGGAATCAGCAAACTCTATCAACGACACCAAGAGTCGAATAGCGTACCAATCCGTGCTTCTATTCGTGATACCCGCTCCTCATCCTTTTCGGTCACAAAACTAACAGCAACACCACCTTTACCAGCGCGTGCAGTTCTACCAACTCGGTGAGTGTATTCTTCGGGCTCATTTGGCAAGTCCCAGTTGATGACCATTGCCACGTCCTCAATGTCCAAACCACGGGCGCCAACATCTGTTGATACAAGAACCGGAATGAAAGAGGACCGAAAAAGTGACAGTGACGTCAACCGTTCGCGTTGCGTCAATCTTGAATGTAGCGCGGTGCTGCGAATAGACAAGGTCTGAAGTAGATGAGTAAGATAAGCAGCTGTCCGAGGCTTCGTGCAGAAAATGATGGTAGGTGGTGGTTGGATGGGTATACCCTCCTCATCCGGACCGGGTTTTCGCGATGCTCTGGTCTTTCCCCGGTGTCTTGGATTTCCTCTGGGTTTTCCCTGTTTAATTGATTCTGGGGTTGCCCTCCGGAGTGATGCGATACTTTCCGGAGGATTACAGAGTATATGGTAAAGATATGGCTCGCGCACGTGCGAAGGAACCAGGACGTAATGTTGCTTTAGCGTCGTGACTGTTTCAACACTGTATTGAAGATGAATTAGAACCACGTCCTGGCGTCGAACACGATGCACATCTTACGTTGATAATGTTCTATGCACGAAAGGTTTCGCCTTTCCAGATCTCGGCGGGGCTTCAACCAAGGACTCAATTGCTGGTGTCAGGGTAGCAGTAAAAAGACAAGTTTGCCGATCACTTGGGAGAGTCTCGAACAAAAATTTGAGTTCAGGGGAAAAGGTCGGTGTAAGAAGGCGATCTGCTTCATCCAATACCTGATTCAGTTCGACATGAGTGCCAGCACAAACTCACATCAAATTCTTACTGACAAGAAACTTGACACGAGACAAATTCCATTCGCCGTTACTACTCCGCAAGTGATCAACGATACGCCCGGGTGTGGCTACTACAACATGGGGATGGCCGCCCAGTTCTAAAGCTTGTGTCATCATATCCATGCCACCGACAACGACAGACTGTTCGGACGCCTATTGCAGCACCAAGCACCGCAAATTGTTCAGATATCTGAAATGCCAGTTCCCTTGTATGATGTTATAACGTGGAGAAACATCAAGAAATGAGTGAGCGAACCTCGTAGGTGTCAGTACTAGTGCGAATATCCCATATGGATCCTCAGACAACTTCTGCAAGATTGGGATTGCAAATGCTATGGTTTTCCCAGAGCCAGTCTTTGCATTTCCTATGCAATCTCTCCCTAGAAGCAGGTTAACGATTAGTTCGGCGTCTATAATTGTTGTAAGACAAACCTGCGAGAAGGGGAGGAATACAGGCAGCTTGGATCTCGGTTGAAGTTCGTATAGACATACGCGCAAGAGCAGCAGCGAGAGGAGGCGCTACGCCCATATCAGCAAATGATCCTATGGGGTGCATATGAGCAGCTGAGGATTTTTTTTGAGCAAGCGAGTCTGTTGATCAGGGACTAACACCGTCTATGTACAAGGAACTTTAAGTTGCTCACTTGAAGGCCGAGAATGAGACAGTCACGTGATTACTAATACCACCGTGCGGGGTACTTACTGCCCAAATTTGTTTTCATAGTCGGGGACCTCAGGGACGGGAGGCAATAACGAAATGGAAAGGTAGGGCCTGGAGACTGGGATGGGCGCTCCCGTCGTTGCCATACTGACAGTAATACACACGATAACAAGTCAAGACCCCGGCTGGATTGAATCGAGCGTCAGAATTGAGAGAAGGTTCTATTGATACATACATCGAACATTGGTGTGCTACGAAATACAGCGATCAAGGTTAAGCTACAAAGGGACGTGACGGTCATGACTATATCAGTATTTGTGAATGTTCTAAATATCTAGGTTCTTATCCATGTCAAGCATCCACGAGGTATTGCTCCACTCGTCACTTTCATGGTCAAGCGGCATTGAGAGAGCACACTTAAAGTCGGAGAACATTGAATCAGAGGTGCACGATGGAGCCCCACTAAAAGCGTCCGAACACAAATAGGACTGGCCTGACGGCTGATATCCGTCTATCGATCCAGGAAGTAGTGGAGACAGACGATTGACGTCATAATCCATTGAATTGTGGGGAAGACGCAGTTGCTCCATTCCAAGGAATAAGTCATCTTGGGACATAGAAACATCGGGCTGGGGTATGTCACCATTCCGTTGGAAAGTTGCTGCAGTTGGCGTCTGATTGTCAAAATGAAGATCAGATGAAGTAAATATAGAGGAGCATCGGAACGTACGGCGTCAAGATCTAGGACCAAACCGGAGAGCATTTCAGCGAGTTCTGATCTTGGCGTAGTGGGTTGTAATGGCTGTGACGAACTCAATTCCAAGCCAAGCGCATTCGTGCACTGAGACTGAGGTAGGGGTAGAATGGCGTTTGGCTGCTCGTTACCACACATTCCCTCAGGTAAAGAAAAGGCTGGAAGGAAACGTGGAAAATGTAAAGGGGAGAGCCTAGCAGGGGACGAGAAAGCCGATGGAAACTGCGTTTCTAATGCACCGAGGAGATCATCACGCGTAACACCCTGAGGCCGGACCCTGGACGAGCGAGCACGTCGCACTGGGCCTATGGATGGCTCCGCACGGAGCTGTTCAGTAGGCTTCGGGTAGTAAGCGCCGCTATGAAGAGTCTTGGCCGACTTAGCGCTCTTGCGGTTGGGCTTGAATTTGTAGCCAGGATACTTCGCATAGTGAGCGGCTTGGACTTCCGCTGCCTTCTTATGCCACACAGCTCTGTCTTCTTTACTCATAGCTCTCCAAAGCTGCCCTGCGATGCGGCTGAGGTTCTGTTGACGCCTCTCAGGGTCAGCATTACCCCGGCTCTTGAGCATGTGTGAACGGTAGAGCATGAATGCATTCGGTGGGCGAGGAATATGTTCCTTTGACGAAGAATGAACGCTACTGTATGTCGAAGCAGCCAACGAGAACACGTCGCAATTAGGAAATGGCTGAGGAATGGAAAGAGGGGAGTTGAAAATATTATTTCCTTGCTCCAGGCACGGAGGTGCTGATTGGGAACGATACAAATCATCCAACGGAAGGGAGATATCACTGAAAGCGGGGGACTGGGAAAATACGAAGTGCTGTGGATAGTTCAAAAGGCCAGGACCCAGATCGACGGGATAAGAGTTGAACATGTGCCCGCCATTGGAAACTGGCAAAGCAAAGTCAGCTCGACCCGACCTGGTAACCACCCGAGGACAGACTGACCGTTGTAATCCATTGTATTAGAAAAAAAAGCTTTCCTCAGAGCTGTAAAAGGGATCTCAACACTAGTCGAGAGTAGCGAACACTGAAGTCAAGGATTATGACCACTCTTATATGCGTGCGCTCAGCGCAATAAAGGGAGCTGGAGATAGTCCGACTACATGGATCCCTGTCAGGCTTCGTGAGCTCACCGGAAGGGCGGCATAAGAAATACAAAGGGAACAGCGTGAGGAGGGCAATAACATTGGGTTCAATCAGTTTGAAAGAAGGGGCGAGGCGAATATCACGTGATCGACACAGAGCAACTTCGGAAGCGCGCGAGAGCACGTTGTAGAGCACGTTGTCCGGCGAGCCATGTCTTCGGAGTCATTCTCCTTCTGCAAAGCTCTGTATCATAGAACTTCCGAAGGACAACCCACGCATGTAGGAGCCTCCAGAAAATTGTGACGATTGACCCACAAGGGTAAGAGCTGCCCCAGCATTTTGATTACATGTGGTCTGATCGGGCTCTCATCTATCGTGTAGACGAGATACGGCACGAGGCGGGAAGCTGCAAAAACGTGGCAAGATAAGAGTGGCGTGCGAGCGTAGCTCCGCAGGGAATGACGCCGTCTGACAATGATAACACTCGGTACCAGAAATTCCACAGCATGTGCCGCCGATCTCCTCCCGCGAACATCATCATGTGTAACTGTGTGCACTGTGCAAAAGGCTTATTCGGAGATAGCATCCGTTTCTGTGTACTGTTTCTGTCAATGTCATTAATTTGAGTAGCAGGTACAGCCTTACCAATCAATTCTGTCACAATCGTAGGCGTTACCGCATGGTGCATGTCATTTGAGATAAGGTCACGAGTCTTGTCTGCGATGTCGACTGGCGGGGAGTGAAACACACTACTCAGCCTTTTAATTGCATGTCTAGTTTGATTAAAATTATAAGCAATGTAAACACAGCCACATTCCTGCGGCGTGCTGTGAGCGAAAGGTGAATGACAGAGACAATAACACCTACGTGCGATTTCTAGGGAATAGTGATCCACTGCGAGCTTCCAGCTGCTTTCTTGACCCGATTCATGATTGCCAGGCCCTCATTTTCTTCTGGAACTTCTTCCACTAATATCAAGTCCACTCCATCCCTTTCTAATGTCAACAGTCCATCAAATAGCCGCCTTGCAATAATTGCCGGCTCCGAAACCAGCCCCAAAGGAAACTCATGCCACTGAATGGTCGTATCGCTGATGAGAGATTTCATCAAAATAGAATCCGAAGGCATCAATAACCCGACGCGGAGAGTGTCAGGAGAATGTGGTATTGAACGCTTGAGATCCTTCAGAAAAGCGGAGGGGCTAAGAGGTTCTATTCCAAGGGGAGCATCGGATATGCGCATCAGCGTCACTGGCACTGAGGGAGAATAATGACGATATTTCATGCCAGGTGTAGTAGGTGCCTGTTCCAATGCGTCGTCACGAAAATCACGACGATGCACGAGGATCTGGGGTATTGGTCTATCGACATCGGAGAAGCCATTAACGAGCACTCGTTTAATGTCTTCTACTGTAATTCCGCCAGGTCGCAGGATGCGAATATTTCCATCTTCATGTAGACCGTCCACTACCGTACTTTCTAGACCAACTTCACATGGGCCACCATCTAGAATGACTGTGATTTTGCCATTCAAGTCATTCAACACATGCTCTGCACGGGTGGGACTAGGTTTTCCGGAGGAGTTGGCGCTTGGAGCTGCGAGCGGTGCATCGGTGACAGCAATAAGTGCTCGTGCTACTGGATGTGATGGCATTCTGATTGCGACAGTTGGCTGGCCAGCAGTAATGACATCGGGTATCAGGCTATGGTCGCAGGGGAAAAGTAGCGTGAGGGGTCCGGGCCAAAAGTGCTCTATGAGCAACTCGTAAGAAGGCGAGAGCGCATAATTTTGTGGAAGCAAAGTCTGTAGCATACGCCGCGAGGACACATGTACGATGAGAGGGTTGTCAGCTGGCCGGCCTTTGGTAGAGAATATCTTCAGGGCTGCGGCCGCGTTTAGAGCAATAGCACCCAGCCCATAAACGGTTTCTGTAGGAAAAGCGACTGGAAGGAAATCTTTGAGGCAGGACGCTGCGGTACGCAAGGCTGCGAGGGTTTCAGGTGAGCTGATCGCTACCTGGTCGTCTAAAGAAAAGACAATAGATGTAGAATCGCATGCAAGCACCTGTGTCGCCGCCGCCATCGTGCCTTGTAGTTGCGAAGACCTTTTCAACGAGAACTTGAGGTATCTTTTCAAAACATTCATTAGTAGGATTATCGATACACAATTTAGTTTGCACGAGTCCGGAACGGGTATTTGAATTATCATAGCAAATCGATAGGAAAACATGTATTATAACTTTGAACTAGTCTCACTGCCCGCCGTGAATATCTAAAATGACTTGGTATCGAGCTCGGGCATCATGATATACTACGCCTGACATCCTTTTGTTGAGTCGATACTCCTGGTGAACAGAAGTTGAACAATGCACCTAGTAACTCAAGTGTTACTACGTGTCCTGGGAATCAGGCGCATGGATCTTGGGCATGTTCAGTCCGACTCGTCGTGCGGTCGCTTCTATCCGTTCCTCCGCTGTTAGGTCGATTAATGGGTTATATCTCTCCAATAAGGCCTAACGCACATCAGTTGATGTGTAATATTTTGCGTGAAACCAGAACGCTTACCTTATATTCTCGCTGAGATCGCAGGAAAGTCAAGGCATTCTGCATATCGTGTTGAAAATGCTGCGCATCCTCGGGTTGTCCACTCTGTGCGAACAAGGCTCGGAAGTTTGAAGCAATGTCTTTGTTCCGAGCTAACCGAGGTTTGACAGTCTAAGCGTCACTGAAAGTTAATACAAGCAACACAGATGAGAGGAGCGGCAATGTACCGCTTTGGCTATCTCTCGGACTACCTTTCGATAGACATGTGTGTGATGTGCAATCATTGGGTCCAAGCAAGCGTTCACCTCAAGCGTTCAACGTAATGCACAAAGCTGTGGTGGAAAACCATGACACCGAAGCTGAATTCCTTTTTTGGACGATCGATCAATCCACTATCATTATTTTACATTTCGTCCACAAGCTAAACTCTCTGCAGATCTCATTGTTGATTGAAGCCACTGACACAAGGAGTCCCCGTCCATAATGTTGTGGAAATTAACGTGCTTGGGCCCTCTTCCATTGCTCGATACTTCAAAAGGCCGCTCAGTCTGACACCTATTCGCCAGCTCAACCCACAAACTTCGACACCCTAGGTTCATTCACGAATAACTTATCATCATGGTTTACCACTGTCATAGCATAAACTCTGATGACTCTCCTTCTCACAACCCAGAAGCCAAATCTATGCCCAAAGTTAGTGACATACCGTGATCTCCTCCTAACCATGTCACTCAAGTTCTTACCGTAGTCAAAAAAAGTAATGAGCTCGCGGAAAAATGACGCCAAACCGACGCGTACCAATCCTGCACGAACTCACAAGCAGAACCAACGTGTTGCCCACGCCATCAAGAAGCATATCAAACAACGACGACGTAATCCTATGCATGTGTTTGTTGGCAATGTAAGACACCGTAAAAACCAACACGTTTTGGAACCTGACTTCGATGCAAGCTTGCTAAAACAGTCGACGAAGACACTATTGAAGAGTACTTCAGTCACTGTGGTGAAATTCTCTCTGTCGAGATTCGCTGCAGTGGTGGTCTGGCAATGACGACTGGTCGCCCGAATCCAGCCTATATTGCCCAATATTCTGTTAGGCAGTACGCTATGATCACGTTTATTGATGCATCGGCTGCCCAAAAAGCTCTGAATCTCAATGGGTCTCGTCTTCAAATAGGCGATGAATCCACGGAACTCGTGGTATGTCACTTGGACCCCAATTTCAGAATGCAACTCAAAACTGTAATTTAGGTCACACGCAGCGCCGCTGATCTTCCAGAAGTAATAGAAAAGGTGCAGCAGCGTCTTGAAGCATACCGAGCTCGCAACGGCTTTACTGATGCGAGGCGTGCTCGACAAAGCGCAATGAAGTATGACAACCATTGTTGACTTATAATTTCATTGCTGACTCGACCGTTGACCTAGGGCTCTGGACCTCCAACCCACCATTTTATTAGAAACTCGCGGAGATAAACACCCGCGCGGGAAGATCTTTGGGTTTTCTTTCCCTTTGCCCCTCTTTTGACTCTTTCTTGTACCTTTGTTTAAATGATGTCGCCTTTCTTTGTTTCTTTCACGCTATCTTTGACTCTATGTACCTATGCCGTATGCCCAACATGCCATATTGAACGTGTACTATGGTTGGCGATGAGATGCCTTGAATGTTACTAGTGAATGAACGAGCTTAAGCTTAGCTTCAGTTACCACGCCTTCGGCCGGATTAATTTGTGAGCTTTATAAAGCTTTGGACCTTTGGCAACGCCTCTGGAAACATTTGCTTCAATCGAGTACCTGCTACTGCGTCAACAGGCCGGTTGCAGGTGTTTTTCTTGGCTTTCTCATTTATACTGCCTGTATGGAATCGGATTGACAAGACATTTCTTCAGATCCTGAGGTGAGATCAACTCAATGCTTCTAGTGCCGCCAAACTGAAAGCCTTCTTACGTTCAAGTGCTGCCCTTCGTTTGTTCACCGTTCGTTGGAGCTAGTCACTGCCATGGCGAGAGGCGCAACTCTGAATCCGACCTCGATGCCCTTCTTCCCTGGCAGTATGCGAAATAATGAAGAGGATGGGGCCACTGGGTTCGTATTTGGGGTTCCCACACTTCGGGAGCAAGATGGAGCGTCTGTGTCATCTCAATCAGCTTGTTCCGCTGATCGCAGGTCTTTGAAGTCGTCTCCAAGTCCACCCCGATTGCTGGAGCACGCTGGAGCGCCCGATAGTCTCCCAGACGCCCGCTTCCAGCTGTTGCCCCCGCACGGGGATAGGCCCCCATATCTCCATCAGGTTGAGTCTGAGAGGCAGCATATGTTTCGTGCGCGAGACATGAGTAAGGTTGGCAGTTTAGAATCTCTCCCAGAAGCAGATGATACCCCCAATCCAAATACCCATGACGAAGGCATGCACACCCCGGGCGATTCGTCTCCATTTATCTCGGCTCTTGTGCAACAATCTCGGAATCGCAATGTAACACCTCCGGTCAACATTATGAACACCTCAATACGTTCTTCATCATTCAACATCAGTGGACCATTCCCCTCATCGTCTCCGGTCTCATCTTTGGACTCGGGCAGTCAACTCGCCTCCAGTGCCGATTTTCATCATAATCTGGAGGCACAACTCAAAGCTTCTCCAATCATACGCGACCTATTAGACCGGCTCCAGCGTTGCGAGTATAACACGCGCGAAATCCAGCGCGACATCAGCGACATACATCGCAAAGTCAACATCCTCATTGAAAGGACCATTAGCAGTGCCACCTCTTTCAATAACGCTCAGCCTGAATTCAAGGACCCCTTCGCACCTGCTTCTGGCATGTCCACACCCGCAGTCAATATCCCGCGGGCCTCATTTAGTGCAAACATTGCACCAAATCAATCTCCTCCTGCGGATGATATTACACAGATCTCTCAACGCCTGAATACGTTAACTACATCCGTTGGGCAATTGTTGGCTCTTCAAACACAGCAGCATATCCAGAATGCTACTACAGGCATTCTTCCTACCCAGATGGGACGATCTACCCCGCAGATGCAGGATATGGCCTCGAACCAAGCCTTTCCCCACGGCATGGGGTCTAACCCTGCTGCCCTTGGTCATGGTATACCGAACAGACCAGATATGCGACCATCACCACGCGCACCCAATCCCCCGATGCGCACTTGGTCGGCGGGAACGCTTGATCTTCCCATGCGGACCGAGAGTCTCGGCAATTTGGGACGACTCGAACCCCCTCGGGATAAACGTCGTTCTGTGACTGGGGGCTTGATACGGCGCGAATCTGTTGGCGTGCGTGGTTCAATCTCCTTAGCGACACTAAATCGACTCACCTGTTTAATTACTAGATGATTGATGCACAGGGTAATGAGCTATCTGGTAGTTCAGGTCGTGACAACGGTCCCATGGTTTCCAAGTGGGAACAGTTGAATCTTGCGCCAGATTTGCTTCGTTCTCTCAGTAAATTTGGGTTAGTAGTAGTCCATCCGGACCAATCCTTCTGCTAAACTTCATGATCCTAGCGTCGGCCCCCCTAACAAGATTCAGCAACGTGCGCTTCCATTTCTTCTGCGAGGTGCAGATATCATTGCCCAAGCTCCACCCACCCAAGAGCGGATTGCAGCATATGTGATACCCGCTATTCAGGTAGCTGTGATAAACACTGCCGGACGCCCCCCTACCAGGGGACCTCTAGTAATCATGATATCTACCACGGTCGACCAAGCTACTCAGGCTCAGCGTATGATTCGTGACCTCGGGGGTCCGATTGGCATTAGATCTGCGCTAGGCGTAGGTGCATCTGCTTCGCCTAGTGACCTCAGCCAGGAGCTACGCCTTCTGCAGCAAAACATGCCCCACATCATTTGTGGGACTCCGCAGAAGCTACACGCCCTCTTCACTGCCCCTGGAGGTCTCGTCGGATCGGAAGTCCGCTTCCTCGTTCTTGATGAGGTTGATCAGCTGATTGCCCGCAACTTGCACGAGTTTGTCTTCAACATAGTGAAGCTTCTTCCTCCGCCAAGGTCTCGACCTGTTGGGAATGTCACGCCAAACTCTACTTCTGCCCCACCTCAACCATCTTTCAATTCCTTTGATGCAAACAGCCACCCTGGCTTGTCGACTTCTAACACAGGACGCAGGTTCTCTGCCATTTCCCCGTCCCCTCCAAATGAGCATACTACCGGCTCGCCGAACGTTATTGAACGACAGACTGCACTATTTTCTAACACTGTGCCGCAGGATGTGCTCAATCTAGCTACGGCCATCCAACTCAAGGAGCCTGTGCGCGTTCTAGTCCGCCGTGATGGAAATGTGACCAGCACCGAGTCCGCTCAAGGGTCTCGTGGTCTTAGGCAATTTTACCTTTATCTTGCTTTCACCGCTGGTGTTCGCACAGACACATCTAACCCTGCTGCACCGGGTGGTGGACATGGCATCATTGGTTCGGGCCGTGGGGCATCTAGTGCTGAAAGCGCTCAAGCTCGCGAGTGGAAGCTTGACGCGTTGGCAGATATATTCGATGACGTTGAGGTCAGCCAGGCGATCGTGCATGTCGGTGGTATGACCTCTTTGGATTCAGTTGTCCACAAGCTTGCCAGCCGTGGGCTCGAAGCTGTACCTCTTGTTAGTATCCGGAGCATTCTCTCTTCCTCGATGCTTAAACGATTCTCTTCTAGCATGGTGACATGAACGCAGGCACAAAGTTAGCGGCGCTGAACAAGTTCAAAAGTTCAGCTTCGGTCATGATGAGAGAGCCTGTGACGAAAGTGTTGATCGTGAACGATGTGCAAGTGAAGACCCCAGAAGTGTCCCACGTTCCTCTGATCATCAACTATGGTAAGTAATTGGCCATGCCATGGGACGAATTGATGCTCAACTTTTTGTTAGACCTTCCTAAAGCTGTAGAGGAGTACGCGCACCGGTAGACCAATTAATTACCTGCGTCAAACACGCGCTCACCTCCATTACAGCGTTGCTCCAGCCATTGCTTCCAATTATGCACGTGCTGGTGTTGTAGTGAACTTTGTCACTGCAACTGGGGGTGATGTTGAAATGCTTCGCTCTATTGAATGTTTTTACAAGTATGCACTTTTTTTCTAAAAAAAAAAACCTAGTATTGACGATTGACTTTTTTCCGATCCAGAATTAAATGCGTACGTCCTCCTGTTGAGATCGTACACTGCAAACTAACTTACTTTCAACAGCCTGAAGTCCCACTGAGCCTTCGCGACATCATCTAAACACGCACTTGGCGTTCATGTATCTCTATTTTCTCGGGCCCTGCTTCAGTCACTTTCCGATGTGTTCTTATACCTGCTAACGTATCACTTACCCAGGCAGGTGCCCAGCCATGGCACAAATCTGTTTTATACCCATATATTTGGCATCCCTTTAGCGATATCAACTCAGATGTTTCTGTATTGACACTGTTTCCATCACTACTTGGTATCCAGCCTTCTCGACACTGACCATTGTATAGCAGTCTTTCCTTCCTGTCTTCACTACGTTTGCCTTACGAATCGGCTTACTGTGTTTTATGTCCATTCTCTTTATGACAATTTGTTACTGTGGAGCTTAGTGTTTCTACCAACGTACTTTAGTCTATTTCAAACTGGACAATCAGTACTTTCAGTGTACCATCTTCACTGCAGGACGCTAGCTGCTTCCTCCGTGGGTCATCAGTCGCTCTCCACGCCAAACGATTGATTTGATCAACATGTGCCAAACTTTGAACTCATGAGCACATCTCTCTTTGCAAGTCACAACCAAGACTTACTTCGAGTCGATGGTCAACACTGGTGTCCACTGATCTGGTGTGGACATCAAACTTGAATAAATCTTGATCTCCCCTGTCTCTAAACCAACCGCAAGCCAGCGCCTGGAGAGAGTTGTCATCGACACGAGACACAAAAGGGTTTTACTTACTCTTGCGCATCGGCACCAGCAGAACAAAACGCGACAGCAGTTGCTGCTTCCTCGAATTTCATCGTCATAATTGCTCCCCATCGAGCAGAATCCGAGTGTTGCTTCCATATTTTTACCTGATGGACGGTCGATCAAGAATCTTTCTCCGAAATCAGAAACACTTACGGTCTTATCACGAGATGCGGTGGCAAAAAGGTCCCCTTCGCAGCTCCATGCGCAATCCCAGATGATTCTTCCATGCGATTTATCCGCAGCGATGGGCATATAACCTAGTATGCAGCGGTATGGTCAGTCGTCATTCTGTTACATGAAGGCATATAGCCTCATACCATTTTCTTTTTTCTCAAATAGCCTCCACGTTCGATCCCGGCTTACGGTAAGGACGTATCTATCGTTTGGCGGGCTGAATACTATACGGGTAACTGTCAGGCTATGGCCTTCGAGAGGGACACCGAAAGGGTGGTAGCCGGCTGTGGTGTACACGCGAATAACGGCATGCTGTGGGGAAGTTGCACGGCAAGCAGTCGCAAGAAGGTCAAGCGAGTTAGAAGCCGAAATTGTGATTGACTAGGTCGATGGAGTTGCATCAATCGCATTTCACATAAGGATCACAGATGGGCTGACCTCATACCCATGCCCAAAGACTTTTTCGATTTCGGGCCAGAGGGTGATGGAAGCTAACTCTCCTTCAAAAGGGCGCCTGCGAGATCTGCTACTGTCTAGTTCTGAAGGTGCTTGAATAGAAGATGGTCTGTCAAATGGCAAATACCACGCATATCATATGACACACCATCACTAACAGCCTTATTCGAGAGTCCGAGAGGAGGTACACTAGCCGTTGCCGGTCTATCACCCTTTATTTTTTCAGAAGCCCTGAAATATAACAAGGAGCGGTCCTACCTCGCTCTGGGCTAGGTCCTTTACTCCTAGTACCCGAACCTCCTCGACGAAATTTCGTGGAGCTTCGAATACTCGTGCGACCTTCTCATCGGCAACGCTTGCAAAAGTCCACGGGCCGAGCCATGCTGCGCCCATTAGGTCATAGCCATGTACCTGAGGGCGTGACAGCTCATGCCAAATGCTCTGTTCAGGGGCAGAAGATGTAATAGCACCATGAATGCGTGTCGTCTGGTCCAGACTAACGGTGCGCAGTTAGCATTTAAAATACAGCATTGATATCAAACAACTCTTACCCCACAGATACCAGATAGTCTCCTTTTGGGCTCCAATCGAGGCCCTTAACTGCACCACTGTGTCCGCTGATCGCACCAACCTCTTCCCACTCCTCACCAGCCGTTCCTCCGTGGTTATCACTTGTGATACGGCGCCACCGTCGCCAGCCTCCACTCCAACCCCATGCCATGGCTTCGGCGCCACCGTTTGACCAAAGACCTCCAGTAAATCCACCAAGACGTTGGCCTCCCACGTCACCAAAGCGCTGTACATTAATCCAGATAGACGATGTTGATGATGAATATGCAGTGGAGACGATCGAGCTAGGAGCCCATATAATGAGAGAGGAGTCCGTTGACGTAGAGAGTAATGACGCATTCGAAGGAGACCAAGAAAGCGACGTAATTCCTGCCTCATGGCCGATCAAGAGAGCATCGAATGTGATAGAATACTGTTGCGTCCTGCCCGTCATAAACATAGTCATCAACTCGATCCAACAATTTTCACTACAAATTCGACGCACCCGGAACTCGATTTGACGGTAAGAATATGCCGTTTGAGTGAAATTTGTCTGCCGCCTTCCTCTGCGTCTGCACCCAAGTCTCCTAATGAAGCTTCAAATGCGTCCAGGAGATCGTCGCTGAGATCATCCCCCGGGTGTTTTGTACGAGTTTGTGATTGGGCCTGCATTTTAGTGAAGGATTCCACATTCCAAAGTCGGATAGTTCCATCCTGTGAACCTGAAGCGAGCACGAGGGGATCATTTGGCGTCGATAGAACTCGGAACGCCAGCGCACGTATCCAGTCTTCGTGTCCTGACAGGGCGACTGAACGAATAAACTTAAAGAAAGAAGTGAGCACTTGATACCTAGCTGAAATATGTGAAACCCACTGGTCCGTCGGAGTGTGTCCAGACGTGCACTTTGCGATCGGTTCCACCAATGGCAAGTATTATCGCTTTGCCAAGGTAAGCGCCTCGTCGTCAAGATACTGAGTCTCTCACCTTCAGATGATGGTAGGAATGCGATTGCTATTGATAAAGGATACCATCCTTGAAGCGAGATGGTTTGGAACTCCTTCACCTCGTCTGTCACAATTAGCCTGACTCACTGCGCAAGTGAATAAGAAATTTACCGTCAACGTCACCACGTTGCACCTCCCATATTTTGATGGAAGAGTCTGAACTTCCGGTAAGCAAGAATTTGTCGAATTCACGAAGTACAGAAATGGCTTTTTGGTGTGCTTTCACGATCGCAGTAGTCCTCCACTACGAACATTGTGGGGACGTTTGCACACCAGGAAGATTAACATACCTCTGTCCCAAATAATCTCCAGTAGCGGACAGTCCCCCTGTCATCCGCACTAGCAAATGCGTCAGACGCCACAAAACGAACGCAGGTTACTAGGCCATCGTGACCAGGCAGCGTCTGGAAGATGCCTCTGCCATCTGGGTCCTTCGAAGAGATGTCAGGTGCGTCATGAAAGTGATGGCAAAATACTCACTTGAGTGTTCCACAACGCGATTAATTTGCCTGATCCACAGGCAATCACGGAAGAGGTGGAGGCATCTGCAGCATGGTTGAAACGATTGGTGGACGCTGAAATATATGCCGTGCTGACGGATGGCTTTGACATCGCAGATCGCAAGCTACAGACTCTAAACTTGAGTTTGGAATTAGTTTAGATATTTTGCAAGATGCACAGATTTATTATACACTGATCTCGGGATGCGCTAGTGTTAGTACGAGCTCTGCAGCTAAGTTGGGTTGGCTGTCCTTAACGTTTGATGGTCGTTGACTCCGACACGGATGGTATGAGGCTCGGAGCAAGTCAAGTCACGCCTTTGGGTCCGGACTCCGGCATACTCGTTCACTTTGTCACGTTCGTCTATGTCTTCTTCGATGCACACCGTGACGGGCATGGCACACTGCATAAGTGTGTTGCACCAATCGTCGTCGCTCTGTTGTGCGATGGTAAGGATGACAATTATAAACTAGTTCCGCTCTCTTGTCACACTTCGCTCGCGGAAGCCAATCACAAGTGCATCATATCTGCCCAGGCCCCAGCTGCTCGACTCGTTCACGAAAACCGACATACCTTCCATACCGCAAACTTGGATCCCTGAAAGTTTATTCATAATCCATTCACATGCCAATCCTTGGCATCGGTATCGATATTCTGTACCTTCCGCGTCTCATCAGTCTATTGAGTCGAAGGGGATCCAAAGCTTTTGCTACAAAAATTTTAAGCTCCCAGGAGTTACGAACATTTCAGTTGCTCGCAGAACAGCATGGAGAAGATAAGACAGGAAGGATTACACAATTTCTGGGTGTGCGGTGAGTCTTTTCCTCATCTACGTCTTGCTAGACATTCATGTAACGTGTCACGGTGTCTAGATGGGCGGTGAAAGAAGCTGCGTACAAAGCCTTATATCCCATCCGTCCTACCTGGAAGGAGGTCACATACTCGTCATTCAATGGAGCTACTGGCGTGAAACCAACACTTGTGTACCGTCCCGTCAACGATGATGTTGGACCAGCAAATAAATTGCATGTTTCAGTGAGCCACGACGGAGATTACGTCTACGCGCAGGTTATCGCGGAGTCGACGTGATTTGACTTCTATTATCTTTCAAGAGTGGTGCGTCTAGTTTGAGATGATACAAAGAATCCAATCCATGATCCTAAATTATGCTAGGCTGTTGAGGTCATGTACCTCGTCAGGAGGCTGCTTGGGCCACCAATCCGCCCACCAAGGCTCCACCTTCCATGACTGTTCCTCCTTTTCCTCAGTAACCAATGCTATATCAGGACGCAAATGTTCTAGTCGCACCAACGCCAAACCAACGCTTGACCCTATACCTGGAGCAGCTATCGTAGAAAGGAGCGTGGATGACCCGCGCAGGCGGGGTGTTTTTGCTGCGGCGTTATTTGTAGTCGATAGAAGGGACGGTTTAATCAACGCGTATGGTGGTAATGACGCCGGAGAGGAAATGTGAACTGGAAGTATACGTTTCCGAACTGCGCCCGTGTGATATGTGCGCACTGTCAACTCTTGACCGACGTAGCATCCCTTCCGGAAATCCACTGCGCGTGTCAGTATGTGTATCAGATGAAACAAAAAGGAACATACGTCCACCCATCGCGTCTAAGTTTGATTCAATGGGAAATGCATGCATGGGTTGAATATCCACACTACCCTCAGGAACACCATGCATGATCCGATGAAGTAAATATGCATCCTTACTAGCCAATTCGTGTGTAGATGCGTCGGCAGCTGCAAATATCAATTTAAGCTCAATGCAAGAGACACCCCAAAAACAAGCTCACGTGTTTCGCCTTTGCGAACGAGCATCCGTTTCCCCATCCCCGGAGCACGTCGATCGAGTATGGTACCATTTTCAGTTCCCCATGGCCATTCGCTAGTCCGCCAAACTGGTTCGACAGCGCCACTCCGTGCCCAACTCCACTCCTTGGTTTCCTTTGCCTCTTCCGACCCCCAAGCGGCCCAAACATCCCACTCCTCCGATACGTCCCGTATGCGCACCTTTGAGCGAAGGACGTAACGCTTGAGAAGGCTCATGAGGGTAGGTGCCTCGGATGGAGTAGGATCATATTCTATGAGATATGTCGGCCCAGTAGATGAAAGTGATGGCGTCGGGGAGTTATACAGGAAGGTGTCATACAAGACGCGTCCCTACGACCACAAACTGCATGGTTATATTACATATTGCCAGACACTCGAAACTGGGTCGCACCTGAGCGTGTAAGAACGTCCCATATGTCTGCTTGCCCTGCACATTACATGCTAGCAGCCCATTGAGGAACTCAGATGCTTGTGAACCGGAAACAGAGAGGACTGCGCGATTAGATACAGGCGCTAGTGTCGGAATTGTTCTTAAAAGCGTACGGAGTGATGGTGGTACAGGCATCAAGAGAGCATGAGAAGTTTATGCATGATTGCAGCCTGCTCTCCTGAACCACCAAGTCATCCCAAGCCTGGCCTCTCATCACATCACTCAGACGCTGTACGACAGCTTACATAGGTTTACAGCGAAAATTGACTTCGAGTGTGCCGACGGACGCTGCTACATTGGTCATGTCCTCCTCTTGTGACGCTATCCTCAAAGCACTCAAGGAATGCCTTCTCAATTCCGACTGTGTCCAAAAGCAAGGACATCTTCCTTCGGAGTGTCTCAAGCAACACAGTAATGAGTTACCGGAACAATGTCAGCTACTCAGGAAGTCCACTTTCGAGTGCAAACGCAATATGGTGAGTGACTGCTACACACGTAGGAACATGCTCTGATACGCCAAAGTTGGATATGAGGACTCGGTTTCGAGGTAACACAGTGGGAATGGATGCTGAAAAGCTGAGACAGCAGAAGACTCCTCCACCTCCTGCACAATCATGACGTGACGGGGGTTCCGAGTTCTATCACGATGACGACTCGGATATCCGCGAATCTCGCTCCAAGTGTGTATCTTCTTCCCTGGCATTGTATCCCCCTCAAGGAATAATGTTCCCAGTGTATCCATTGGGGGTCAATAGAAGTTGTGTCGATCACACTTGTCGTTGTAGCACTTCATATTCTTTCCGACGAAATCAAAGAAAGCGTTCACTACTGCGAGCCATGCTGCTTATGCATTCATCAGTCTTTCTAAGCTCATTAGAAATTCATCAAGCAATTCATCAGTGCTTAGCAAGCCTAATCGCGCAAGTGGTTAATTTTGGACCTGATGCATGTCAGCTGAACTACTTATTGGTATAAGAAGGTGCAAGAGTACAGGTTAAATTCACAGTTCTTCTCCCCTCTATCAGACTCCTTGCAACAAACAATTCGATATGTCGAAGCCTCTAGTTCTCTACACTGCAGCTACCCCCAATGGCCACAAGGTGTCCATCATGCTCGAAGAGCTCAAAGCAGCCTATGGAAACATCGACTACGAGTAGGTCTTTCGTCGTGCCCCCCGGCCGTTGCTCATATACCTTGACAGTGTCGAGAAGGTTAACCTGTCCACGAACGTCCAAAAAGAGCCATGGTTCATTGCAATGAACCCAAACGGACGTATTCCTGTTCTCGTTGATCGCTCCCATCCGACTGCCGCCCAGCCGAATGGATTCGCCGTCTTCGAAAGTGCAGCGATCTTGTTGTACCTCGTACAGAAGTACGATAAGGAAGGGAAGTTTAAGTTTGAGAGCGGCAGCGATGAGGAAAGCCAGATGTTGCAATGGATCTTCTTTGCTGTACGTGTTTAGATTGTCTAGTTGAAGTAGCTGGAGATGCACGCTCACACCGTACAAACCAGCACGGAGGAGTCGGTCCTATGCAAGGTCAATGTAAGTTGAGGTCACTCATATAACATTCTCGCATAACAGCTGAATGTCACAGCGCACCACTTCAGACATTATGCCCCTGAAGACGTGCCTTATGGCAAAAAACGTGTGTACTTGTTCAATTTTATTTGGTTTCCATGGTTGTAACGTCGTGCGTCAGGCTATGGGGATGAGGTCGTCCGTCTTTATGGTGTGCTCGATATCGGTCTTCAAGGCCGCGAGTACCTCGTGGGTCCAGGGGCTGGGAAGCTCAGTGTTGCTGATGTGAATGTCATGACATGGTTCGCATTTTCATTCAGATGAATATCTTGCTTGGACACTGATTTGCGAAACAGGGTGAGGCTTCACAAGCATGCAGGTGTCGAGACCTTGGATGCTTTCCCGAACCTGAAGGTAGAGTCATCATCATTTTGTGGCGGAATATACTAAATTGTTTGCTTTAAGGCTTGGCTCGACCGGCTCTTGAAGAGGGAAACTGTGAAAGCTGGAATAGCTATCCCTTAGAGTCCTAGGTGTTGAACCTTTCTCGCTGTAGCTAAACTGTCAATCGCCTGTAATTCTACTTGTATTTGCGTACTTGTGACTAAAATTAGTCTTTCGTTACCGTCCTTGCTCACTTGCAAAAAATCTTCATTAATATTAACATCAGTGACGTACTTACTTCCGGTCATTATGGTTCATTCAACGTGACATGGATTGAAATGCTCAAGTAACACGAAGCTGAATAGCTACTCGAAATCAAGTAATTCAATGATTTGTTCATTTTCATGCTCGACAAAGGTCTGTTCACGTCCATGCGGCATCGTAATCGTGCTCGTGACTTCCAAGGCCAGCAGTGTCACCCAGTCTGCTTCCATGGTCATATCGGTTGCAAAGAACTTCTGCTGAGTGATCGTCTCGAGATGCGGGAGACCGAATATAAGTGGCTCCAAGAACAGACTCGAACACGGCGTCTCATCCTCAATAAGTCGTTGAGTCCATCCAGATTCTAGTTCCGAACCCAGCCTTGAAGTTCACTCGATGAGAATTGAAGTTGTGTATGCACACTGGTCGCCGAAGGGACCCGACCAAAGATACAGTTCGGAGCCAAGGAGGAAGTGTTTGCAAGAATCGTACGAGCTCTCTCCTGGATCGGGTGTGATTTGGGCCCTAGCTGGACCAAGGCAGACTAGAAGAGTTTTCACTTGCTTTCCACGGCAGCTCGTACAGGTAGACTCGAGTTCCAAGAGGATGCTGCGCTCGACGTAGAATATGAAACAAGGGGACTTTGTGGCAAGGAGCCACCCTAAATATTTCATACCGATAACGATGATTTGATTATGCGTGCGGGTCCGGGCATTAACCGAATTATTCTGCAAGGGACTAAAATTCAATAGATAATTCGGAGACATCGGTGTGCGTGATACAAAATGGAACGTGGATAGGATCTTCGGCGCTCAGGATAATCAGGGCGTCACAGCTATACTGACTGGCATCGATGATGATGACTAGGCCTTCTCCGGCTGCCTCCTAGAGGTCAGAAAACAGTGGAGATAGAAGGAAACGAGAAAAGTCAGGCAGTATGCGAATGCGTGAGACGACATCATCCCATTGCATGGTCAATTGTTGAATTCGGGAGGACTGGTCTTCAGTAGACTAATCGAACGCGACAGCCGAGCCGCTTTAATTCTTCCGCTAAGGATGCGCCAGTGCTACCTGATGCAAAAAGTTCATCGAGGGGTGGACGGAAGGGTGCCAACTGGGTTTAGAATACTGCACGGTCTTACTCCACCAGTTCTACGGTAGCCGTTAATGCACCATGACGAACACTGCACGAGAAAGCATACATTGCAAGGGGTGATATATCATCCTTGATCACATCGAAGTGACGCGAGTAGCAATATGGTGATCGAGGAATTTCAATGTGGTCTGATAGGCGATCAAAAGCAGCGCCGCGATTTATTTCCTGAGCAGAGGTTGCCCATGACTTGGCAGTACAAATATCACTACCAGAGACTGCATGAGATACTTGGGAGAGTTACTCGAAGGACTCGTCCAAGGCCGCTGATACTAGGCCTCAGTGTCACTGGCAGAGTCTGCCGCCGTGACACGTGACGGTAACATCTCTCATGTTCTGCTGAGCTTGACTACACTTTGTTCTGAACACCAACTGACTTAGATAACGTTTTCTGTCAACTAAATGCAAGGATGCTGAGGGTCATCCCCCGAATATATCGTTGCCGATCGCTACCACCTTCGACGCCAGAGTTCAATGGAACCTCTTGTACCACTATATTACAGAGGCACTATAGCTCTACCGGGCAACCCATCACTGACCCTGTAGATTCGTTGTCACAGCCAATTTCAGTGTCTGGCCCGGGTTCAATATCCCTTGCTCATCCAAAAGACCCAAGGTCTGGGCACGGGTACTCCGACCTCAATCCTCCCCCTCCGTCATCTTCGCCTCCGCCCGAGGACGCCTCGTCTCTTCCTACGACTCTTTCGGGTCCACCTGCACGCACTTACCAGCCAGATTCTCAACAGTCATATACAGCCCCTCCATTCCACACGCATGCCTTCGTCTCCGCGCTTGAGAAGTCATTCCCCACACCCACAGCGCGAAGTCTGATGAGAGCTACGCGCGCTTTGCTTGTGGACAGAATAGATCGCGTAAGGCGAGAAGGCCTTACGGTTAAAGATTTGGATAATGTGCGCTGGATCATTCGGGACATTGTCATATTTACTGACTCAAATGCCGAACAGCAAGCATATTTATTCCGTGCAGCGCTTTCTGAACTTCGTGCAGAGCAAACTGCAAGGTCTCGTAATGAAAGCGCGACAATACGATCTGCCACAGCTGCGTTGCGCCGAGAAGTCGATCGTCTAGATGTCAAGATGAAGGAAGACCTTGGTACCTTGACACATGAGTGAGCCACATTCGTCAAATCAGACGATTTTATTTTTCATGTGATTATTAGGATACAAATGGAGCTTGACACTCGCAAAAACGAGTCAAAGGCACAGTTGAAACAGCAGACGATCGCAATTGAGGTTCGGATGATTCTCATCTCCGTTGTACAAATTGGTAATGTTAAAATAGGAAGTCCTCAATAAGGCGATTATAACGCTCAGCGACCTCCGCGCAAACATGGAAGAGGTAAAATGGAATAACATGCGTCAAGCTGTTGGTACGTTTTGCTCATTTACTTGCGTCAAATTACCATTTCTTAGCAACGGTATAGCTGCACTGGGCGCTTTTGTTTTATTAATTGTTATTGGCATGGAATTATATACATTCAACAAACCGAAGCCGCCGCCACCGCCGCCCTTGGCTGTGCTGAAGGAAAGACTACCTCCACCAGATGGTGAAGCAGTGTCTCAGGTGTCATAGCACACAGCCCCAAGGCCCAGGTTTTAATGGACTCCTTATCGCTCACACGGACGTGCAGATAAGATAAGTCACTATCTTACAACCACATTCACCTATATTGTCTACAACTAGGACATCTAGAGAAAGGAACAGCCGCATAGATTGTTGTACATATAACGATACTAACTTTATGCTGGCCATAATCGTAACACCTATTATTTGTTACCTGCCACTCTCGTTTCAGCCTGACATCCTGTACCCCCCAGTAACCCTAGAGACATTCCAAATCAAAGAACATGATCATTTGACTTGTAGCTTCTTAAGTTTGTCCGAAAGCTCAACAGCGCTCTGATTTGCTGATGATGGATTTAAATCTGAATCTGGTGCGGGGGTCCGGTTCGGCTTGTCTTCAGTGTGCGATCCTGTCGTTGCATCGCTCGTGCTACTGGCCTTCGAGCTTCCCTCCTTCGACTCCTCGGTGGCCACTTTCACATCAGCTGCTGCTTCATCTTCCCCTTCCTCCTCATCCTCCCAGTTATCTTTGATAATAGCTGCCTTCTCTGCATTTTTCTTAGCTCGAGCATTTGCGCGCTTTTTCGCGTTCTTATTTGGAGGTGGCGTAGCGGTCTTGCCTTTCGATGGCGCAACAGAAGAGGGCGCAGCCCAGCCTAGTATGTGGCCCTTTGGAAGGGCTGTGGCATCCATCGCCTGCTGGCGTGATCCACGGAATCGAGAAACATCTTCCTGGGGTGTGAATCCCGGCCTAATCTTAAGCTGCTTCCGCACACTGGTGATGCAGTAGAGATCGAATTATGAATGATTTGTAGATGCTGGGCTCAGGCGGACGTACGTTCCATCTGATCTCTTTGATTCTGGTATAACACGTTCAAGGGTGCGTGGATCGACAGCTATCCCAGCTGCGGACTGATCGGGGAATAATGGCGGGCGTGCCATGCCGTAGAATTAGTTGTATGTGTAGTACTGGAACTTGTAGTTACTTGGTTTCCGACAGGAGGGGTCGGAGTTTGAAATTGTTCCTTGTACCTCATCTGCTATGCGCTACGCTGTTCTCGTCACTGGTCCTGCTGGTGCGGGCAAGTCTACTTTCTCGACTGCTTTTGCTACCCATCTTCGTGTCTCAAAACGCACGGCCCATATTGTAAATCTTGATCCCGCTGCAACTGGCGATGCTTTCGAGTATCAACCTGCCATTGACATCCGAGAGCTTGTGACACTAGACGACGTCATGGGTGAGTTGAATATGGGTCCTAATGGTGGTCTTGTGTATTGCTTTGAGTGAGTAAGTGATCACGCGTGATAGTCCCTCAAAGAAATCATGCTGATAGTCTCTTTCCGTGTTTAAAGGTACTTGTTGCAAAATATGGATTGGCTCGAGGAAGAACTTGGCGGTTTTGACGACGACTACTTGATAATTGACTGTCCAGGTATGATTCTATGTATATGACCGCGCACATACTCATTGCCTCTAGGTCAAATCGAGCTGTACACACATCATCCGTTCCTCCCGCAACTCGTGCGGAACTTGCAGCGAATGGGCATACGGACTTGTGCTGTGTATCTCTTGGAATCCCAATTCATGGAAGATCGGTATAAGTTCTTTAGGTTCGTCTCAGTTCATCGTCGCTTCCTGTCCAATCTTTGAAATTAGTCCAGCGGTGTGCTGTCCGCAATGTCCGCGATGGTTAATCTTGAAGTACCCTGGATAAATATCATGTCTAAGATGGATCTCGTCTCCGGACCATCATCAGACACGTTTGAACCAAGAAATGGGAAACGTGGAAAACGCGATATCGCTCGGTACCTCGATCCAGATCCGATGCTGCTTGTTGCTGCGAGGGACGGGAGGGATCAGCAACGTGACAACAGCAGATTTCACGACCTAAACCGGGCCATTGTACAACTAGTATGTTGCAGCTTAGGGCTTTATTCCAGACTGACCGCCGCGTAGATTGAGGACCATCCTCTAGTGTCGTTCTTGCCGCTGGATCTAACGTCCACGGACTCACTTGAGATAGTCGTCAGTCATATTGATTTTACTATGCAATATGGTGAAGACGAAGAGCCAAAAGAGGTAGATCACTTCCTTTGTCCAGCATGCTCCAAACTCACAGCAATATATCAGCCACATGATCTAGACGAAGGCGACTTTGCTGATATGGAATAGGAGTGTACAGAGTTATCCAAATATCGCATCCTGTGTTTATACACGACATTTAGAGACAACTGCGCCCAAAATTTCTGGAGAGCGATCTCACATGGTGATCGAACCTGCCATGTTGACACACTAGGAGTTCGACTGGGTAAGTTGAATAAATATAAATTATTTAGTGCCAGAGCTTACAATGATATCACGCCTCTATCTACGTCTAAGCCAACTATTGGCATTTCACTCGTTGAGGATTTACCACGGCATTGACCGACAACGGCACCATACCGATTGGACTATCAGAAGTACTAGCCCAACAAAACTCCGTCGATGACTCACCGTTTTTTGACAGCGTCAATCATTATTATTATTCATCTCCGGTGGGATCATTATATGATTTCGGCACGTGCCAGACTGTCATTAAGAACTTGATTCCCATGCTGTCCCTTCACCTTTTGGTATATGCCTGCCTAGGGAGGCGTAGAACTTCGATCGTCAAACCTGACATCGCGAAGCTAGCCACACTTGGTCTTATCAACCCAAACGCAGGAATAACCTATGCTACTTAGGTGTTACTGTACGCCACTTCTTCGAAGATGCCCAGAAATTCTTGCACAGGACATAATGAGCGGCATCGGCCAGTACGTTAGCTTACACGCCGCGCGGCTGGGATGGACGACGAGTTATGAGTTAGGGCTACACTGATCGGTAATAAATGCTTGACGTGTCTCTGTATTTTGATTAGGTGTGCGACCAACTTTTAAGTTCGACAGCTTCCTGTATACCTAGATGATCCTTGGCTATGGTGGCCTGATATCATGGGGCTGCGCATGTGTCTCCCTTGTGTGTTAAGGAATGAGTATTAGTGAGTACAAGGTTTACTTTCTAATCTGATTAGAAACAGATGTACTAATTAATATTATTTGTTATTGTTTAAGTGGCAGATCCTGTGCCATGCAATCATTGTTTGATATTCGGCACAAGGCCACCCTGGGTCTTTGTCGCTTGTCCTGTGGTTCTCATGTGCATCGCATTACAATGTTGTTCAGTGCTCTCGAGCATAAAAACGCAATGCAATGCAGGCCCGGTCTGTATAATTTGGTGCGCTCCAATTGTCCACTTGCTGACTCCAACCGGGCAGTGCATTCACATTGATACCGCAGCCGCCCGTGACGCAACTTTGTCAGTCCGGGTCATAACCAGTCCGATATAAGATCAGAACGTGTCCTATCTCCACATTTATCACGGTCAAGCGCCCCCATTTTTATCCTTATCTACTCCCCCCTGCGCCCACCGTTGCCCCACAAATAACAACCACCAGCGACCACGCAATCACCACATCGTTGTCCACTCCTCTTACTCACCGACAACTAACCAGCAAATCGTCGCCGGACGATGACTCAATACGCCTTTCCGTCTTCCCATTCTCCCTACAGTACCCATCAGCCTATTGTCTACGCACCTTCTTCGCACTCTCAACACGGTCATGGAGGTTACAACAACTACGGGACGCCCCTGAGGCGGGCATCAACCGGGCATGCCCACACATCTAGCCCACAATATGGGTACCCCACTGTAGTCCAGGCGCCACAGACTGCTCAATACCTGTCTGTGCCTGGCTCACACCACCGCAGCAGCAGTCATAGCGGACACAGTCATAGCAGACCCAGAGCCAATAGCCACAGTCATCACGGGCATGGGCACGGGCAAGGGCAAGGGCATGGGTACGGATATAGTACAGCTGCTAGCTACCCAGTCACATACGCGACATCTGCTCCCTTATACGTCGTAAGTCTACATTGTGCTTTGTCTCAGTCTGATAGCTAATGACGTATTGCTATTTTTAGCAACCTACCTCAGGACATCATCGCTCTCATTCGACGTCACACAGACACCGTTCGCACTCGCGCCCTTCCCATGCTTATACAAGCAATGGTGATTACCACAGAGGTCGAGCGCCCTCAGTCGGGGACCGCGTTCGGCAGTTCCTTGGAATGGAACCTTCATCCAGCTCCTACTACAATTCCTACGGAAATCAGGGGCACGGGCGCTACAACTCTTACGGTGGTATGAGAGATGAAGGGAGATCCAGGAAACACAGTGGTTATGTGGACGAACACGGGAGAGAAGTGGATAGTCGTGGACGGCGGATCCATCGCTTTTAATTCAGGTGGCTGTGCTTACATGTAGTTTATGTAGTCGAAAGAAAGGACCCGGTATCATCTGACCTCTATGTTGTTCAAACTACGCTTTGTACATTACTGACTTGTGTGCAATGAAATCTAATCAGACGGAGTTCATCAGTGTCAATTGTTCGGGCGTTCATTGATTGCTTGGATCTGTACACTACAGTAATAAAAGCAACGACCATAAGCTAGCTAGTAGAATGTACAATAGGAATGTCAAACAACGATAGAAATACCAAGCAGAGAGATTACAGAACAGCTATTAATGTACCGTTAACGAAAGCACTAAAATTCCTTGTATGAGAAGCTGTCGACATGCTCTAAAAATGAAACGATGATCCATTAGGATGCAGTAGACGTCTTCTGCGCTGCTTTTGACCACATGTCCAACTGATCGAGCAGCTTGGACACAGACTGGATCATTTGCAATCGAGCACGAACTTGATCAGGGACATCTCGCGTGTCTTCCCAGAGGACGGCAAGCGACACTTCAATCTACAAGAGAGCATAAACGACGCCCACGCCAAGATGAAATCAGAAGTCTGACCTTTTCCGCAAGTTCTCGAAGTGACTCGTTGAGAGCCTTCCCGATAATCTCAGCCGCAGTCGACAGCCGACCCATTAGGACCTCTGCCCCGCCATTGAAAATATCGTGCTTGTGCCCATCAATATAGTTATGGAACACGGCCTGCATTCAATCAGAAGAGGTTTTAAAGTGATACATGTGACAAACCTTTTGTCGCGCGACACTTCCTTGGCCTCGCTCTTCCAAGGCGAGATTGTAGCCATCCATCAGTTCGTTTTGAACATGAGGGGCGAGACAACGTGATACCTCCTTCTGCTCCTTTCCGAGCGCTTCCTTCACAACCTCCATGGTTTGTCCTAATGCGTGACGCGCCTCCTCTTGCGAAACAGAACTTTGTGCATGTACGCGGTCCTTTAGTCCCGCCGCTGCACTGGCCTCCACATCGGTGATTAGTTTATTGATGGATGTCGTAATGGCGTCCGATAGTGAGGCGAATAGATCGGACTCAAAGAGCGTCGACCAAGAAGAAGCAATGTTTCGAGTGAATGGCGTCAGAAGTTCGACATTCAGATCCCGGCGCCAAGACCCGTGGCGACGAAGGGCTAATATTGAGTATAGTCAGCGAGAACTTGCATATGGACTGGGTCACCCACTGGCTCGATAGGTCGCCCAGTGCATGGACCCTGCAAACTCGTCGACGTGTTGAACCGCAACCTCGGCAGCCTATCGGGACAACATCAGCTGTGGTAGTTGCCACAATGGAATAACACTTACATTGACTGCTCCCACTTGACATTTATCTTCAAGACCATCACGGAACAGGTCTTGCAAATCCGAGACGCATTTTTCAACATGTGCACCGAATTCCTGCAAGGAGTAAGAAATATGAGCCGTATAGAAAACACAAGTCAACACACTTTCACAAGCCGAGGAGTCACTCCTATAGGTTCACCGCGAGCATCCACCTTTAGGGATGCCTGATTGTTCATCGAGAAGAATCTAGCATCCACGAGTTCCCTAGACACCATGCCTCGAAATGCTTGGAAGGGATGGACGCTCATAGGTTCAGCCGAGCTACGCCAATAAGGCATGCCTTCATCATCACTATCATACATCCCCTCTCCACCCTGTGGTGTTGACTCCCATTTTTCACGAAGGGATTCACGGTCTGCAATGGTTACATCACCAATGCCATCGACATAAACCCGCACCGAGTTCGCAAATGTCTTCAAGTGAGTGTGGAACTGCTTTGCAGCGCGTGACCGGCTACTGATGGTCAATTGGTGACACCATTGCCGTAGGGAAGGAATCCCAGTATCTTCGACGTTGGAGAAACATGATGGGTCCCCATCACCCTTGACTTGTCCCGTGATGCGGACGTAGTCGCGGGATGAGCAGGTGAACACAGGAAGATCAATCTCATCATAATCTGAGTAAAACATTTTCAGTAGGTATTTTCAGGACGAGATGGAAACTCACTGCGCAGATTCTGAGTCGGATCGAAAGAATTTGGGTTTCGCTCCTCGGCGGCGGCGTCTGTGTTTTGTGACTTAGCCGATCCTTCAAAGACGGGAAGTCAACCAACCGTCAAGATCTTTTAGACCAACGCGAAAATCTTCTTTTAAAACGTCGCGGGAGAACTGGTTGACGCCGGGTGAGAAATGTGGTAGGGAACTTGACAGTGAAACAAACCTCTGAACGCTTCAGAGAACAGAATGCGTTCTTGTCACGTTGCGCTTTCATCTCTTTCTTTTTGAGGATGCTGATGGCATCTACGGCATCCTTGCGTGCCTTGCGTGCATTGTTGAGTTGTTCGCGTCCAACTTTGATAGCTTCCTTGGCGTCGCCAATCTTCTCCTGGAGGATCTCGACTGTGACCTCCTCTTCTGGCTTGTCCTGTGTATCATCCTCCCCGTCTGAGTCGTCCTCTTTCTCTCCATCCTCTTCGTCTGACCCTTCATCGTCATCATCCACATGGATGTCGTCACTGAAATCATCGTCAATATCGTCTATCTCAAAATTGTCGTCGTCGTCGTCCCCAAAACTCTTGTGACGCTTAGGTGACCCAGATTTCCCCCTGCGAGTATTCTTCCGCTTCTTGCCCGCGCTCTGGACCTTCATGTGTGCAGTCGTGGTCAGCTGTGGTGCAAATGTCTCGCCGTTCTCCAGTGCCGTCTTGTGTTGCTCATACTCTGCTAGACAAGCTCGAACATCCTTGAGCTGTTTGTCGATAGCTGTGAAATTAAGCTGAGTACATTGCCGCACGAACGAAATTCGCATACGTACCTTTCATCGATGACTCTGCGCCAGTCTTCTTCTTTTTGAGGTCAATAGTCTCCTCTTTATATTGTTCAATGCGGCCCTCAATCTCCTCTAGCTCAGAGTCGTCCTCGACACCCAAAGCGGGGATAACCTCAGAACAAGATATATCATCACACTTGCTAGCTGTGCCACACGATTTAAGTGAGAATCAAACCAGGTAAAAGAGCTGCAACAAACCAATGAACGTGATCGTGTGGGCATCATAGCTAACCAAATTAATTAGACACTCACAACCGAAGTCAAGGGCAGATCACTCACTTGCCGTCTGATGGACGAAAAGGGACCCATAGTGGACGGTAAGCTATCTGAGAGTACTCATGAGAAGGACTTACCCACTGAAAATAATTGTTAGCCTATCGCTAAGGTTGAAAATAAAGAACGCACTCATCAGCTGCAGTTTGAAAGCTTCACCAAGAAGATCTAATTCAAAAGCATCAGAATTATGACACAGATGCTGAGTCGATACCAATACCTCTGGCGGTCTTGTCATCCACTGCACGGGTGATAGGTGCCAGAATCCAGATGCAGTCGCACTTCTTCATGTAGTCCTTTGCGATGCTATTCCTTGCCGCGTTAGCATCGGCAACACCAGGCAAATCAACTAGAATGGCGCCTGTGGAAAGAGCTTGGGCGTTACACCGCACATTGACTTGACGAATGAGGGGCCATAGAGCCGGGCCGTGGTCTTTCTTTTTCGTCTCTTTGTTCTTGTCCTTGGTAAGGATACTCATGAGTGAGTTATCAGAAACTTTGGTCTTATCCTTCTTGCCGCTTCGTTTCTGGTCCTTAGAATCAATATATTTAGCGATCTCCTGAGCGAATATCGTCGAATTCTTCGCCGATATTGTTTTCGTAGTGCCTAAGACATTGGCAATATCTATGTGGAGCGTCAGCATTATTTGGCGTTCGCGTCCATGTTGAGAATGATTACTTTTATCGCGGGCCAAAATTTGGTCGACCGTCAGGTGAATGAGTTGCTCTTGGACAATTGACGGATAGACAGCATGAACCTGACAATGAATCAGATCCCGGCGTACTTAGAAGCTCCGATTGCCCATACCTTGTGCCAAGCAACACCCGAATCACTTCGAAGGTCAGTAGTACGTTTCAAATTACCGTCCTGGTCCACAAGGTCATCGAGTAGAACAGCGAGTTCTGCTCTCCATTCAGCTTCAGAAAGGAATGAGACGTCCGCATTGATAGTAGGTGCGGCATGATATGCGATTTCCGTGACCACGGCTGTGCATGCTACAAGTGGGTTTAGCAACCATGATTTCCAATAGTGAAAGGTCTCGCTTCACCTCTCATACCGCTCGTTGGGACAATATTGTCTACAAATAATTTAGTATAAAGAGTCATAAACACCAATTTAGCTTACCGTCCAAGATCGCGTTTAGTATCGAAGACTTTCCTGCCCCGGTCGCTAAAGAAGACTTCGGTGGATGTGCATATTGGGACTCATGATTACGCACCTCCACAAACAGCTATCATTGTTGTAGGAGCACCCTGATTAAGGAGACTACGATAGAGTTGTCATTGCTGTCTTCGGGCACGGCTAATTACCTACTTATCGATTTCACGCAGCCAAACATCCTTTCGAAGCTTGCTGCCAAGCTCGAGTTTGTTAATTCTGGCCTTTAGAGTCTTCACCATGCCAAGACCAGCTTGAAGAGCAGCTTCAGGGGTGTATGAAATATTGTCGGCAGAGTCATAGAGTTGATATAACATTGGCTCGTGCACCGTTTGTCGGTGTGGCGGTTCTGGTTCCGGTTTGAAGTTCTTAACGTCAGGAGCTGAAGAAAGGTTATGTTGACTATTCAGAGCAATATTGCTTGGGGCTGTGATGCCCCTATCTGACAGCTGGAAGTTTTCGACAACGTCAATTCTCCGCGTTCGTGGGTGTTCTAGATGCCACTTACAACAGGTTTCGAATCACTTGGCTCGGCCTTGATGGTTGGGATGGGGGTCAATTTTTTCGGATTGTAGCGCGCAGACTCAGAAGACGGAACTGCACGCAGTTCTTCTGGTTCTGGTTTGATGAAAACTCCAGGTGCAGACTGATCATATGCGAATCGCGACGAAGAGGGGCTAAATGGCAAAACCAAAGGATAGAAGAATCCTGGACTCACCAACGCGCTTCCCATCGTTCTATTTTCTTTCGAGCTCATCTTTTGATCAGCTACGCGATAATGAGGACCACGCTCTGTTTTGGGTGAGAAGAAAAGCGAGGATTTCACAGCGCTAAACGCCTGTACGTGAGGAGCGGAGTTTTATTTCCGCGGTCACGCGTGACATTTCGCGTTCGTGACATGTTACATAATCACTCCCTCAAATGAAATACTATTGCGCACACAAGTGAAAAACTATCTGCTCAACCATCAAGTGGGTCTGATCTATCATAATCTATGCGGCCGCCAATGATCTTTCAAGCGTTCTGCAACATCCACTTCAGCTGACAACAAACCACTCCCAAATTTCGTGTCTTCAGGGTTATGCGGGTCATGCCAAGGCGGAACGTACGGGGGAATGCCAAGTAGCATCGCACGACCTTGCAAGAACGGGCGCAGTGAACAGGAGTTACCGTCGCATGCCTCGGCTGTCGCGTGAGAGCGGGTTGGTGACGAGAAAGAACCATGTAATGAAGATCGTTCGAGCACGAGGTCTGAGTGTTCGTAGTCGTCCACCTCTTGTGTATCCTCGATGACTTTCCTAGGACCTTCACGTGATTCGTCAAGTATGGCCATGTCATCCGCTGAGATATCGTGCAGCCCGTCGCTTGAGTAAGCATGCAGCAGAGGGTAGAAGCTAGGCTCATTGACAAGATGTGGAGGTTCCAAAATAAGCAGGTCTTGGTCTCGAAGATTATAACAGTCAGAGTCCCCTTCAAAGAAGCTGGTGGTACATGCGCCTGGAGCATACCATGCCGAGATGTCATCCTCGTTTGAGTGACTATACTGTGTGATAGGGTGACCTCGATAAGTTGGCATAAGGTTGTCAGTTGAGGGAAGAAAATGCTCCTCGGGGATGCCATGGATGCGTAAAGGGCTGCTGTCGGCCATGTACATTCAAAGGAGCAGCGCGACGCGTGGTGCTTGTGTCGTGCGGGTGGGAAACGGAGAGGAGATATGCGTCACGCGGATTGCAGTCCGATATCACACCAGAAGAGTTAGCTATAGGGTGTCGTGGATCGAACGTCGGTGATACACGTTCCGCATCATGATCATCATGCACAGCAAAACACTTTGAAGTGAGAAGCTCGACAGAAGGGTTTAGATGATCAAGTCGTTTGAGACCAATCTGAGATGCGGAATGAGAAGGATGGATAGATGATTCACCGTCAAGGTCATAGATGGTCGCGATGACAGATGCCGGAACTGATGACAAGATTTCGTTGGGCATGCAGTCATAAGACGTTTCTTTCACGGGAGTTATTATGAGGGAAGAGTGTATCACCTGGCCCTCAGATGGCAGATCCTGATCGTGCCAACTGGCCATGCGGGGATCGAGTACTGGCATTCCGGCTACGGGTTTGCCTGACTGAGGACGGAAACCGTCTGAAGACGGATATTTGCTTTGAAGCTCGATATCCCACGGCTCTGACACGGCTGTACTTCCCCTAGGAAGGTCCGGAGTCGTAAAATGGTGGCTGGTCGATCGAGTCGATTTCTTGTCTTTGTGATGATTCGCGACCTTGATCTTCTTCACAGTAGATGGTGGTTGAGAGGAAGAGTCATGTGCAATCGACTCATCCACCAGTGACTCGTGTTGCTTAGTTGTCTTGTTGAGAAACGCTATTTCTGAAAATAACTTCTGGGCTGGACTATGATCAGTGCTTGAAGAGTAGAGAACGTGTATTTTATCTTACCTGGCTCCTTCGCTTTGTATACCTTGGTCTTGGCAGATGCTTTCCCCTTGCTAAACACTCCAAGAGAAGCCAACGGCTTCAACTAAGGTCACGGTGAAACCCACGTGCCAGATAGACCAGACCAGCAGTACTCACCGTGAGGCGGTTTTTACCGACATTAGTCGCTGAAAATCCGTGCAAGAGTGCAAGACCTGCAGCGCCCGAGTGTTTCTGTCCCCTTTTACGAGTAACCTTCTTATCTTCCCTTTCACTTGCTGGTGGGCTAATATGCACTGCAATATTGGTATCTGGTTTCACAATATCGCGCTTTACGCGTTTCCGTTCTCGACGCTCGCTCAGTCCTTTGCAAAATTGTTGAGAGAGATAAATAAATTCATGAGGATATTAACGAGAACTCACTAGCCTCGTGTTCTTCGTCGGAACCAAACGGGACTTCTGTCTTCTTGCGCTTCCGCTTGGATGGATCACGTTGAGCAGTGATGGGCGGTGCACGCACTGATCCATTGTTTTCCTTTGTAGAGGTCTCAGTATCAAGTGCCTTCCGGATCTTTCTGGCCTTTTGCGTTGCCTTGGCGGGAAGCTCTACGACCGAGCGTTTGTCTGTCCTATTAGACCCGGTTACACGGGGGACGAGTATAGGTGTGTCGAATCCAAATTTCAGCTTTCTCGTTTCTTCATGCCGCATCCTTGTCGGTGTCCCATTGGATATTTTTGACGGGTGATGAAGATCGATTCCCTCAGAAGAATAGGAATGTACATAGACTTTCTGGCGGTCGAGGTACGCTTGGATATAATCATTCTTTAATGACTTATCCATGGTGCACGATGTTTCGCCTATGACATAGACTCAAGCGCTGCAAGCCTTCGGATTCGGAACTCGAGCTGGAGGATTTGATGTGGTAACTTCAACTTCAAAGTTACGTACAAGTACCACCTTTTAACGTTTAACCGGGAATTTCGGAACGAGTGATTGAGTCCGACTTAATTGAAATGCATGATTCAACTGGCGCGACTCGGACGCGGGCGTCGCGGGGACCTACCATTTATTATGTACGGGACTATTCAACGCCGCTTGGTTCTATTCAAGCCAGTCACCACCGCTGTTTGCTTGTCTTCAAGAGGTATGTCTTTTTTTATTTTATTTGTTTTCGAGTTGGCGAGCCGATTCATGGACACTAACCTATAGTCCACTCGTTCTTCGTTTAAAGATGGGTTCCAGCCGGAAACGAACAGCAGAAAAGAATGCTTCGGACAAATGTCCAAAACGTTCAAAACTTCACCAGTCAGATGCAATGTCACCGCCTTTGACCGTCACTGTACGAGGCCGGACTTTCGAGCCGACACCTGTGTTCGATACGTTTTGGCGTTTCGCGGCAGAAAGACACGCTATAACCGAAAAGCGTTTCAAAGACCTTCCCGCTCCGTATGTACACACCCCTTCCTCCTCAGTGGACCCCAACTCAATGTATTTGGCAGATGGACGGACGACCCTATTTTACGAGCTTATCCATTCTGTAATACGTACCGGGTTCTAGACCGGGTGAGCCAATACATAATCACAGAAGTCATCGAAAAAGGTTCTCAAGATCCCACCGAACTTGTGTTTCGAATTCTGCTTTTCAACACTTTCACGAGCATTAATACGTATGAAACCCTGCGACGCGCGATCGCACCTTTCACTTGGGCCACCTACGAACGAGCCGATTACGAACGCGTCTTGCGTCGTTTGTACGACGACAGAGTCTCGATATACACTGGGGCTTTTCAAAAGCCTGCACCTAGTCTAGGCTTCGTGGAAAACTTCATGAATCATCTCGCTCTCATGGAGGTCTTGATGAAAGACTTGCCCATGCGGTGCGTAAAGGCCAAGTACATCGCGGACATCTTTGAATGGCTGTGCACCTTTAAGAGCATGGGAGACTTCACTGCGTACCAGCTGGTGTTGAACCTCTCCTATTCAAGTGTTTTGAACTTCTCGGACTACGATTTTGTGGTGGTCGGGGTGGGTTCACGTCGAGGCCTTCAACGCTGTTTCAAAGGTCTCATTCCTCACAAATGCGAGATTGACATAATCCGATGGATGCAACTCACGCAGAGGGATCATTTCTCGCGTCTCGACCTGAAGTTTAATGGCTTGGGACCCCGGGCTCGTCCTATTATGCTGTGCGATGTCGAGCACATCTTATGCGAGGTCGATAAATACGTCAGGAAGCTCGGCACACCAGCCCGTCGCACCTTTCAGCCATCTGGCGCACTTCCAAAGATGCGTCTTCCCAAGGCATGGACGCTTCCTGCGCGGCTATCACTCCGTATCAAATGCCAGAAGGAAGCAGAAGTCGAGTTCATCGAGAAGTTTGTTGTGTCATCAATTCAATCGCACCGAGGAGTGGAAGGCGAAAGAGAATTTTTAGTTTATTGGGAGGGGTACAGCTCCGATGATGCTTCATGGGAACCCGAAGACGTGCTTGTCGATGATGCACCCAATGCCATTAGGGAATATTGGGAGCGTGTACAAGGTACGTGCTATCTCATCTGCGACCGTGCACATACTGACGTTTTCACAGCCTGAAAGGCATATCTTCTTTAACGCTTTGTAAATGTTGTGTTGCCGTGTGCTTTACCATCACTGCGACCGCTCATACGACATGATCAGCATATTTGGCGGTGCCAGCATTTAGGCACGCTCAATTCTAAAGGTTCGAATTTAACTTACTTCACGGTTCTTCTTGCGTAAGTTACATCCACGGATCTTTTCCGCTGCTTAATCCGCTTACTGCCGTCGGATAAACCTCTTTGGCTTTGTGGAGAAGTTCAAAGTCTCTTTGATAATGTAGACACAGACGGTCCATATACTCAGAAATACATTGACAGATTTATACACTTATTAACATATGTATGTGAAGAAAATGTTCTGCCTATCAGTGAGGTCAGCAAATGCGTGACGCTCTCTTTCCTTTTGCACATCATCATCAGTCCAACCTCGGCGCGCCTTTTCTTCCGCCAGCTGGGCTTTCCGCTTTCTGTTCAATCGGACATTGATCCAGCGTAGTAAAAACGAAATGAACAATTGAACGATCAACAAGACCATGATCGCTGTCTTTCCTGGAATATAGGCTGGCGCATCTTTAGGCTGGAATATCTCGGTCCCGATAATATTGCCAATGCTGAAAGTGGCCATCGTCATTGCATTAATCGTCACCTAAGCACATGAATAAACTGAGGAAATAAAGGAGGACAAGTAACATCAAACGTACCTTCTTGGTATGGCCACTGGTGTTACTTGCGTTGTATGCGTAAATCGTGGAGAGAGCGCTGCCAAAGGTACCGATGATGTATGTCGCTGCCGCGAAAATCAGATTTCATGAAAACATCAAATGGTGACAACTGGACGGACCAAAGAGCAGAACACCCTTGTTGGAGGATCCGTTCAGGCCAATAAGGATGGCTAATTCTCATTTTCAACCGACGTTCCTTCTAAAATTTACCAACAGCATACCTGCGCCGACAATTGTAGGAATCAATGCAAACACGATGGGGATCATCCGCTCGCCCTAAAGGTGGTTGAGAGAATTAATTGTCGAGGTGATATTAGGCCCTCTACCTTCTTGTCAGAATACCATCCACAGAAAATCACCATCGCGGAACCAATAACTCCCCCAGGAGTGGAAAGAATCAGGGTTTGCTTTGATCTAGGAGAAACGCATATTAGTGAGAAGCAAAGACAGCATGGTTCACGCACGTATATCCGAAGCTTTTGATGATAATGTTGCTGACTGCAGTCAAAAATTAACTTCCACTGGGCTAATTTTTGTCGATGCGACTTACAGTTACTCAAAGCTCCGTTGGGGATACTCGCTATATAAAATCTGTGTCAGCTGCCTTTTATGCAGATTCAAGTAAAAGGTTTACTCAATATCGTTGACAAAACAACTAGCCATGTGCGAGGGTCCGTGAGGGCTTCGATGACCTGGTCCTTCTTGAATTTCTTGTTCTCCGTACCTCCTTGATCGTTCCGAACACGTTCAAGAGCAGCAATACGCTCCTCCCTCGTCAGCATGGAAGCGTTGACTGGGGAGTCTGGTAGCCATATCAAGACGACTATGCCAATAACGATCGCAAGAGCACCAAGTAGTATATAAATGATTTTGTAGGGTGGTAAAACCTTGCCGCTATCGAATGAGATACCCTGGAAGAGTATAAATTATTCATGCATCCCCTAGTAGCATTGAGCGCCACTCACGTATGCCACGAAACCACCGAACACTTGGGTTAGGCCATTCTAAGACAAAGTCAGGGGCAATGCAAATTTAGAAATGTAAGATAGTCGCACCATGATGTAGAACCATGAAATACGTTTAGCCTTATGATCGTCAGTCAAAAGGTACTGTATGTCACACGAAAATTCTCGCATACCTGTTCATCCTTCTTGTAGAACATCGAGATGATGAGAATGAGACACGGTGTGACACAAGACTCGCACATTCCTGACCATTTAGAGTTTGTGTTTTGTTTCTTTGAAACGCGAAGAGGCTTACCCAGAAGGAATCTGAGAGCAAAGAAGGCTCCGAAGTTGTTTGTGGAGGCATGCAACATGAGGATTATTCCCCACACAACAATGTTGCCGCCTTCAATGGGTCAGTTGATTTGCAGCTGATGCTATGGTTCGTTAATTTCGCTCTCACCGAGATATTTGGCCAATCGAAGTTTCTGAGAGATATAGACGGTCGGAAACTCCCAAAAAAGGTAACCTGTAGTTGAACAGTTCGTAAGATCTATGCGGGCTTGCAGAAAAATCTTACCCAGGTAGAAAGCCATGGATACCAAGTTGTAGTTCTAGAGTCATATTAGCACGTGCTAGATGTTACAAATATTATAACTTGCCTGGCCAACGATCGGGAAGCCCATGATACTGTGACATTGTCAATATTCATGTTACCCAACATCTCTGCGAACAACACTCGCCTCGCATAGTTCAGTGAGGTCTTGTCCCTGTTTAAGGGTAAGCACAATAGATCGTTTTGCACATCAAATGACGAACAAATATTGACTGAAATAGACAGCCGCTGAAATGGTGGGGATGACCAGGTCCTGTAGATCCGTCGATGTTTAAGTCAAAATCGCCAAAGTGCAGGAAATAAGAAATACCAGCTTGCGCCTGAGCTTTCGGTTATACTCCTCACTGAAGTGTGCCGTTGCTCGTGCGCCGACGAGCTGAAGAGCCGCATCACCGTCAGAAGTATCGAGTGCGTCTAACCCGAGCTTTTCGTCGTAGGTCTCGAGCTGCGAGTTCTTCTCGACTTCGTCCAGAGTCTTCACCGCACTAGTTTCGGAAGACATTGCACTAGTGCGTGATCAAGGCGCTTGAACATTGCACTTCTTATCCTCTGAAGCATCTCCCAAAAAGAAATGCATCCGCGACAGCTTGGTGTTATTACTGTGCCTGCAAGATAAGTGACAAACTACAATTATAGCTCCAACAACCTGTGCTGTAATTGAGGGAACAGATAAGCAAGCCAACATGTTCCACGAGGAAAACGAGAGATAAGTTACCCGACAAGACAAGGACGGACTCACGGCAAGCCGACGAGACCGTTTTGTTCAAGGTCTTCTCACGAACGCTGCGCAGAGACTTTGGTGATTTCTATCGAGAAAAAATAGGGCACAGATGAGTATATGGTATGAAAATTTGTAAGATAATCCAGCAAGTAAAGCAAAACGACTATAGTTTCTGAAGAACGATAGCTGAAGCTGCCCCACCCTAGAAAGCTACCGTGTGAGTGACATAACACACGGAATTGCAAGCTACTCACCCCATTGCAGATGCCTGCTGCACCATACTCCCCGGACTTCAGGGCGTGAACCAGGGATACCACGATGCGAGAACCCGAACTTCCGATTGCATGGCCAAGTGCAACAGCACCACTGTTAAATGACGTTAGCAGATGTAGTGTCTACGTGAAGTCATAATACTTGCCCATTAACATTAACTTTTGCAGGGTCAATTTCCAGGAGCTTTTCGGCGATACGGACAACAACCGAGAAGGCTTCATTGATCTCGAAGTGTGCAATGTCATCGACAGTCAAGTTTGCTCTCTTTAGTGCTTCCGGGAGAGCAACAGTAGGAGCCATAGGGAAGTCGATGGGCTCAACACCCGCATCCGCATATGCTGGGGAAAATGCCATCAGATAAGGAATAGTGGCGTGATAGGCCCTGGTGGACTCACAAATGACTTTGGCAAGCGGTTTCACGCCAAGCTCCTTTGCTTTCTCTGCAGACATTAATATCAGGGCAGAGGCACCATCATTGAGATTTGAAGAGTTGGCAGCAGTGATCTGTCCACCTGCTTTGAAGGCTGACTTTAGGGAGGGGACCTTCTCAAACATGACTTTCTTATACTCCTCATCTTCCTTAATAACGGTGTCGCCCTTCCTGCCCTTGACAGTGACAGGCGCTATCTCAGCATTGAAAATACCCTCTTTCCACGCACGATCAGCACGTTTGTACGACTCGATTGCGTGCTCGTCAAGAGAAACTCGGCTGATGTCGTACTTCTCTGCAGCGATTTCACCGCAATTACCCATGGCGAAGTTGTTGTAGACATCCCAGAGACCGTCATTCTCAACAGAGTCCTTGGTCTCGAATTTGCCGAACAATGGGTTCGTGCGGGGAAGTAGGAAACTTGAGGTTATGTCAATCTCACGAACAAATGGGGAATCGAAGATTGAATCACTTACGGAGCGTTGCTCATACTCTCCATACCACCAGCGGCAACCACGTTCTTATAACCACACTCTATGCTCTGGGCAGCAATCATAATTGACTTCATACCACTAGCACAAACTTTATTGACGGTTGTAGCATCAGATGCAGATTTCATGCCGGCGGCAAGTGCTACTTGACGTGCGGGTGATTGACCGACACCAGCTTGAACGACATTGCCGAAGTAGATCTCTTCGACGACTGCGGGATCAACTTTCGACTGCTCGAAAGCATGCTTGAGGGCGACAGCACCAAGTTGGGGTGCAGTCAAACTCTTGAGTGATCCGTATAGAGATCCGACAGGAGTACGTGATGCAGCAACAATAACAGCTTCATGGGAGGACTGGAAAAATATGAGCTCTATAATTATTAATCATAACAAAAAGATAATATACCATTTTGCGAGCAAAAGATGAGATATTAGAGCGGGATGACTTAGATAGGGACGTAAGACGCGCTGCAAGCATCATGATGGGCTGGTTGTTATTTGACAAGCGTGATTACTCGGAATTGAGTCGTACGACGGTGACTGAATAGGCGTGTGGTCTGTCACTGTGGTACGATATGTCTAACCTTTGAGCTCGACGTGGTTGATAAACACAAGACAAGACTCAACATCAGCACCCATATATAAGTACGTCCTTTGCACGTAAGATCCGGTACGTTACATATAGTTGATTTCGTCACATGTGAGGAACCGAAACCTTTCGTCAGGTCTTCCAAATGCCCTTCCATATACAAATCCCGACCCAAGCCTGAGAACACCATCCCAAAATAATGTGGATATTACTGCATGTCAACGGCTGTGCTCAACACTGTGAACCAAGCCTCCATCCAACTCAGTGGTCTCCTACTATTTCCCTCTGATTCCTTGAGAATCTCCTGAACTGCACTGGCAGTTTCGCATGGGTGAAAGTACCAACAGGGTGTACCTAGCGTCGGGTGTTCTCCTTGCGATAAGAGGGGGAAGTTCATTGTCGGATGCGATACAGCGAATGTTGAAGCGACTGTTCCTTCGCACACATCCTCACGTAGGAGAGAAGTTTGCATGATATCAATCAGCTGTAGTGGAGAACCGCCTGCACTATCAAGTTGAGTGGATCTCATTCATGTGGGGCATATCCTAGTTGCACGTACTCGAACCATAGATGGAAAAGTAAAATGCTGGTACACGGAAAGTGGCCGATAACACCACATACTGATGACAAGTCAACGAATCAGGAGAGTCGCGGGAAGCAGTTGTGCCATCGTCGACGAAGTCCAAACTATCGTCAATCTCAAGGAATGCATCAACTGACGCTGGGTGACGCCAGTTTAAAGTAATAATCCGGTGCATGTAACCGAAGCCTGGCAGTGTCTGTATATTTCGAGATCCATGAACAGAAGCAAATTATATAATGCTGGCGTACATGATGCTCTTTCCAAGACCATCCCGAAAGCCTAGCTTCACACGAAGAAGATATGGACTGATGAGCATGAATAAATTGCCCGCATGCCTCGTCAAATTGCTGTCGGGTGAACATTGCGGTCATTAGCAATGTGGCGTGAGAATGTACTGTACAATCATCAAAATAAGGTTCAAGCCACCATTTCAAGGAGCACAACAAGACCAAATTCTATAGCCGTTACACACACCTAAACTCTGTAGCTCGTCCAAGTGCCGGCTTATAACGACTAGCGGTCCCCTCCCCACCGCCAGCGCACGAATTCAACATGGCTGTAGGAAAAGTATGTATCAATTTGCTTGCACCAGAAGGGATAACTCATCAACTTTATAGAACAAACGTCTGTCCAAGGGTAAGAAGGGTATCAAGAAGAAGGTTGTTGACCCTTTCTCGCGCAAGGGTGAATCGTATTCTACATTGCCTGTGCCTTGTCGGGCTAATATTATCATCATCAAGAGTGGTATGATGTCAAAGCGCCCTCCACATTTGAGGTCCGAAATGTTGGCAAGACCCTTGTCAACCGATCACAGGGTTTGAGTGCGTATAAGATCCCGTTTATCAAATACACAACCTGATTTTTCATTAGAAAATGCCAGCGACTCTCTTAAGGGCCGTATTATCGAGGTATCCCTCGCCGACCTTAACAAGGACGAGGAACAATCGTTCCGTAAAATCAAACTACGGATCGATGAGGTGCAGGGAAAGAACTGTCTCACAAATTTCCACGGCATGGACTTCACTTCGGACAAGCTACGCTCTCTTGTCCGCAAGTGGCAAACTCTTATCGAGGCACACGTCGACGTGAAGACGACCGACGGTTACCTCATCCGCCTCTTTGCTATTGGTTTCACCAAGCGTCGCCCAAACCAGGTCCGCAAGACCACCTACGCACAGACAAGTCAAATTCGCGAAATCCGGAAGAAGATGTTTGAGATCATGACTCGGGAAGCGTCGAGCTGTGACTTGAAGGAGTTGGTGCAGAAGTTTGTGCCAGAGGCTATTGGACGGGAGATAGAGAAGCACACCCGCAACATTTACCCTCTACAAAATGTCTACGTCCGCAAGGCTAAAATTCTCAAGGCACCGAAGTTCGATGTCTCGAAACTGCTTGAGCTTCACGGCGAGTCGACAGACGTAAGCAACTACCATACTTGTGTTAGCTGACTAGAACTGATGCCAATGTTGCAGGAGACTGGCACCCGCGTAGCGAAGGACTTCAAGGAGCCCGAGATTCTCGAGTCTGTTTAAAACTCTTTTTTTTTACTCGTCGTCTACCTTTGTATCTCTTCATATGACCACTCGCAAGTACTTATGCTACAAGGGTATCGATCAATCTATGAGCATCATGATAACATGCATCAATCAGTTGCGAAATGAGTTTCAATAGCATCAAGAAGGCTCTGTATCTTGCGCCGACTCGCAGTGCCATTTGTGATGTCAAGACGGAGTTCGCGCGGGCTCAACCAACTCGAAACGGTTCGCTTCTGATATCCGCCCGGTTATATAAAACCTCACCCTTCGTTCTGTCTCTCTGGTTAGTAACCACTCTTTTGCAATCTTAGACTGTTTTATAGTACACCATGGCCGACATCGAATACCTGCAAAGTATCATTCGACCCCATCCCGATTTTCCAAAGAAGGTTTGTCAAAGCTCTACTGCAGTTGCGGAGGAAAGTTCAACATAGTTACATTCCAGGGAATCAGCTTTCTCGACATTTTCCCCATACTCCGTGATCCGATCGCATTCGAGACACTCATAACCCACTTTGTTCATCACATCACGTCGCAAACTATACCAAAATCACTACGCAAAAAGGTTGATGTTGTAGTTGGCCTAGATGCCCGAGGATTCCTCCTCGGGCCTATCATTGCGCTGCGATTGGGAGCATCTTTCGTGCCTGTTCGCAAACGTGGCAAGCTCCCAGGCGAGTGCGTCTCAGCGAACTACGAGAAGGAATATGGTGCTGTGAGTTTTCTTTATACTACTCAGGCGTCAAATACGTTCCAACTAACATCGCACAGGACACCTTCGAAATGCAATCAGACGCGATCCTACCTGGGCAGTCCGTGATTATTGTAGATGATCTAATTGCCACCGGTGAGTCCAGGCTCTCATCATCTGATGCTGAATTTCACACCTTTTTTAGGGGGCTCAGCTAAGGCAGCTGGTGAGCTTGTCAAGAAGCTAGGCGGGGTGACAGTGGAATATCTCTTCATCATCGAGATAATGTTTCTTAAGGGATACCAGTGTTTGGATGCTCCTGCCTACTCCGTTATTCAACACTTAGATTGAGTTGCGGGGCACGTTCTCTTTATTAATATTTTTATGTCGGAGACAGATACCCGTTTCTATGAATCTTAGTGCTGTGGATTAGACTTGGGTCAATTGTATATATGCGTGCATCTCTGTCACGGCAACATAGGCATGTTGCCCACGAAATTGAGGCAACAGTGCATCCAATAGCGTTGTCTTGAACTCATGCATGAAAGTGTGCTATCTGGGCTAACACTGCAGGCTCTGTCAGTGACTAGTAGTCTGCCCTAGTAAGGCCTTTAGAAGGTCGCAAAGGCATCGACTGGAGCTCAAGTGGCACTTCATATCATTAGTCTAGTATTTAGTAGAGGGTGTCCGTTGATGTACAGAATTTTCCCAGATTCTTCTGGCGTAGGATCTATCACTCCCTCTGTCCATGCTTGTGCCTCGGCATCAACAGCGAACATGACATGTCCGTAGCCAAACATCCCAGCAGCGTCTACCATGGCAGTAATAGATTTGCCAACCGTATACGGCAGCAGCACCAAAGCGACGTTGCTGATGTCGCCCGCAGCGGCGATCTCTGCGGGTGAAGCAGAAGGATTAATAGGAGCATCCTCGTCGCTGACAACAATGACTCCTGAAGCGCCCGCATCCTGCGCATAGACCAGCTTCTCTATGAACGTGCATTCACCACGATGCACGAGGACAGCATTTCCGTTGAAGTCAGTTTCATAAGGTTTGCATCCGAGGGGGTTGCTTTTGTCCCGCTGCACCTCTGTGCCCTCCCAATAACCGAAGCGAAGGGCGTCGGAAGCGTCAAGTGCAGCCAAGTCTCCACCAAACTGGGCAGTGTAAGCCTTGACGTACGTCTCCCCGTTAAAACTTGAAGCACCTGGTTGTGCTGCGAGTGCTGGGTCAAACGTGTCGAGAAAGATGCGAAGTTGAACGTCCTGGCTACGGTAAGTTGGGTGAGGATCTGGAAGGGTATCCCAGAGTGCGGAATCGTCAACATAAACCATTTGCCCGGTGCGGACAGCATGCGGCCCAACTAGTGCGATGTTCCACGAATGAGTTCAGTAGTCAGTTAGGGGAAATAAAGCCTCACGCTTCGTGATGTCGTAACCTTTACGATCCAATCGACTGACAATGTGGGCCCGGATGCCCGTCACATTGTGGAGAATAAAACCATCTTCTACTGCCTTGAGTTTGAGGGGGCCAGGGTTAGGGTCCTCGGGTACCATCTTGCCACCGGGTGACATGATGAAATCAAAAGACTGCTGAAGGATGTCACTGCGACAGTAGAGTGTCATGAAATTTCCTTACATATAAATCAACTTCAGGGATCGTGCACCAGCCATCAGGGGACCAGTGGTGCTCATCCAGAGCCTGGGATCGCAATCCGATCAGGTATCTGGCATAATCAACGTCTGCTCTAGATCCGACACCTCGGATGAGGCCGTTGATGGTCCCATCAGGCGACAAGTCCTGTACAGGTTCATACAGAGGGCACTGGTGGTTCTCTTCGCCACGCATCTTTCGTCGAATACGGGACATGGGCTTCAACACTTCCTTCGGAAGTGATAGAATGTGCCCTTCGGTGGTGAAAACGTAGTGTGAATCATCTTTGTGTAGCGGATTGTCCTCGTCGAACAAAAGGTACAGATACTGGATAAATTATGATTGGTACCAAGCGGCGCTTCGGCGTGGCCCGATTTTTATGACGGACCTTGAGTGTTTCTGATAGTGTGAACGACTCCATCCTGTTATCTCTGACATTGGTCCGCAAATCTTGGATACCAGTCAATCCACAATCCACCTTGGCGCGGACAATTAGGTCTCTCAAAATACGTTCACCAACATCAAGATAATACGGATCTCGGGTGGCCTGTCTAATGATGAGCTACAGTATATGAGAAGGAACAGAAGCCGACCCTATAGAGATACCATGTCGATTCGACGAACTCCGGTCGAAGCGGGTATTGAAAAGAGGTCGCCTGCAGAAACTGAGCATCCCATACTTCAGGAAGACCAGAATGTCGCCTCCAGATGTTCCAGTCTGTCCCATATCAGGGATTATGAAAATGGTCAACTGAAGATCACGGGAAATACTTACAAGTCATGTGAGATTTGATGGCATTTTGTACATCACCACCCAGGACTTGCAAACCAGGCCAGAAAGCAGACAGGGAATCAATTGTGGCATACGCTTGATCACCCGTATGTATGTTGATATTGCGAAACTACAGACGAACTTGAGGGAACCATCGAGACAAGAAAGGCTATCACTGCTGACCCAATGGCCGTCCGGAGAACGGGAGTATCTCATCACGGCGGCGTAACCTTCATGCCATACGTCAAGAAACTCTACTTCACCTGTAGGATACCCGCGGGTGATGTCAGAGCATGGAATATATACCAACTACTCGACGAACGCACCACTCATAACATACCACTTCAAGGCATATTCATAGAAAGAATCAACGCCTGCGCCGATTCCTGTTACTTCTGGTAGCGTCCACGTCTTGTAAAATCCAGTTAGAAGCGGGGAGGAATGTAACCAGGCTGAGCTCACTCCTGTCCAGATATTAATTGTATTGCCGACTAAACCAATATCAGATCTCCTGTTCCATAGTGCGAAGAAAGCTTTATATGCTGCCTTCTCGAAGCGATCATCTCCAGTGAGACGACTAAGGGTGGCCAATTCTAGTATCAGAGAACCAGCGCCAGCGGTGCCTACAGTGACTTCAGTCTTAAAAATAACGTGTCCAATTGCCAGTAACAAACAGGTTTCAAGGGATTCTCCCCGCTGAACTCCATGTCGTAAGTTAACCTGCAGATCGTTGATGCTGAGGACCACAAAGACACAAGGAGATGCGCACCCTCGCGAAAGGCAGACCAGTAGGAGTGGAAAATGCAGGTAATAGTCTATTCCCAAGATCATACGCCATTGTCAGAAGCTGACCGCGATACCAAGGGAGATAAAAAGGTTGGTCAGGTCGACTCGCAAATATATGGCCAGATAAAAGTCCCCCCAGCACCCGTATAGTGGTCTCAAATACTTGTGGTTTTGTGTTGACATCGAACGACACCCAGTCAAGGACATTTTGGACTGCGTTCTGAAACCCTGGAGGATCGTCCAGCACAACCAACGTGTCTAGAACATCAATGAGAGTCAGGGAGTAGTTTCCTGAAACATCATTATATGCTATATTTGCGCTGTTAGGTGCGTCAAGCAGGTCAAAAGCAGGTCAAAAGCGAGACCCTTACGGATTTTCCCAATCTGGACCTCTGCCGGTGCAAGACAATGGAGACAACTGAAAACAAATTGAAGCACAGAAAGAGTACTAGCTCAGGATAGGCAAACCTCGTCCAGCGGAAAAGCTGGTAACAGGTGGGCGACATACGTGAATCATTTGGACAAGGCTTACCGTGGGACATGTAATGGTCGAAACCATGGTACCATAAGTCTTTTGTAGTTGCCCTGGAAAGTTATTTACGAAGATTGAAAGCAAATCAGCAAGAGCGTACACACCTGAATGATCTCTTGCGCTCAGAAGTCCAAGCAGTTTCCTGGTGAGGGCTTGTGTTCGTGCTTTGCCGCGCGTCAGCTCCGGTATTTAGAGCAATCAATATGGCGAATGCAAATGTACAATGGTAACCTTTGTCCCATTTCATGCTGCAGAGGAAAATCAATACCGGTCACAAATTTGGATCGGTAGACGTGGAACGGTTGCGGAAGAACTCACTTTCGCGCCGTTGATCACGTGGTCGTCAGACCGAAAGTCTGAAGAGCGGCTAACTTGAATATTCTTAGCTTCCTCGAAATCTTGCAACTACAGCCCTGCAGTAGCAATTTAAAGATGAGTGCAAGTATCGTCGACGTATCTAGCACACTTGGAGAATACATGATAAAAGGCTGGGTCAGGTGGTTTCTTTTTCTTGTATCAGCCGCCTATCTCACTCTCATATGATTACTCATAGGTGTTGACAGACACGACATGCCCGTCCCCAGCGTGTCGCGGCGTTCCTCTCATGAGGTCACCTAGTAATGGATCGCCGGTAACTCATATTTGCGTTAATTGCAATGGTCCTCAACAATGTAAGAAACCGCCTAACCATCATATTCTAGCTCGATGATACATCCTGCCTCATTCACAGCCACATCGACGCAGTCTAATTCATCATCAACAGATTCATCATCAACTTATGAGTCTAGTTCGCGACCATCAACTCCTCCTACAGAGCTATCTAGCGCTTTAAGCTCCCCGACGTTTGCCCCTCCCATTGACACTGAAGAGACAATCCGCAGGCGGCAACAATCAGACCAAGCATCTGCAGAGATTGGAAAGCGTCTTTTGAAAGGATGGGCAATGCTTGGTGAAGAATGTCCGAACATCAGGTGTTACGGTGTACCTCTTGTTAGACCTCCAAAAAGCGGAGAGGAGAGAGATCCTCGCAAGGCGAGCTATTCTTAACAGTTCTTTTATACGGAAATTGTTTATTTGGGTCCAGGAATGCGTTATTTGCGGGACGGTCTACGTTACTGATGTCTCTGAAGGGTGGCGGCGCCTTATCCCAGCTCTACCTACAATTGAAGTAGGATCCAGCTCGGGGGCTGGCAATTCTCTGTCAAGTGCTCCGATGACATTGGACTCTCGTGACAAAGGAAAGGCAGTGATGCGCAGTATACCTTCACAGGTGCCCCAAAAGTTATTTTACCTGCCCAGGTCAAGTTGACATAGATTCTAGTCTTCGCCATTACTTCCTGCGTCAGAGTCGTCAAAGGTAACTGTCTTTCGAAATAATCAGTTGTCAACTAAGCTGATCTATCATCAGTTGACGATCAATATTTCGAAACCCACTGGAAACTTGGCTAACAATAGCGAACGCCTGGTTAGTACGGTGCTCACAATTGTTTTATGCTGCTCTGATGATCTGGCGCAGCATGCAAGTGTCTCGTCTATCAGTGCAATTACGGCGCATTCCCCTGCTCATGCACTCAAGCTGTCTTTGGATGCTATGTCACAAAGACTTGCGCAGATCTGCGAGACCGCAAATCAAATGGACGTGGCATCTATTGCATCAGCTGCAGATGCCATCAACAAGGTTGCACAGGCTCTGTCCCAAGTAAGGCAGTTAGGAGAACATTAGATTTATCTGGTCACCCCTGTTTGATGGTAGACCTGTTTCACCTATTACTGTGACTTTTGCCATGGCGTGTCGTTCCCAACACTATTTAGTGCAAATGAGAATCTTTCCCTTCCTTCAGACGATTTCAGGCAGTGGTTTGTGTATATGTATGTTAGTTCAACGTTCTAAGGTCTCCTTCCGAAAGCTCATATATAGTTAATTACCCATTACCGCGGTTTTCTCACCATCCCCCGTGTTATCATTGGATATTACTTCTAAACACAGTACAAGGATCTGGCATGCTGTAGAAGCACCGAAGATGCTCGTTTACTCATTGCGGCCTCGTGTGCCAGCATGCTGCCATAAATTCCCAAGGCTTTGTCCGTCCTAACATCGCAGCTCTCAAACATATCTGTCACGATGCGGCCATTCAACATGTTCAAGGCATTCGGGGGCTCTTCTCGCAATCCAAATAATCATCGCCCTGATCGCGCAGTCTACAATGACTACAGCGAGGAATTTCCAAAACCCGATTATCATCAACCCATTCCTCAACCACAACTGAGAAGGCATGAGACACTGCTAAGAAAAGTAAGCATATCAATCTGTTACAAGATTTAGGCTGATTTCGCACCTCTCTCGATAGAGGATGGAGCCAGTAAGCTCTGCATTCCATTGTATAGCTACCTAAAGCTCAACTTCAATGGGGACAGGTATTCACTCCTGTTCCATCACGTGCACCTACTGACGGAGATGAATACTACGATGGCTACGTTCGGGTGGACAACCCTCAGACTATCCTAGGGGGAACTCTCAACGCCCGCCCCACAAGGCCAGAAAATCCGTTGAGCCCTGTTCCGTCCGTCGAGCGAGACGATGGCGACAGTCGATTTTCAGAAACATTTTCTGAGCAAGGACATATTATACATAGCTCCCCAAGGATGCCAGATCAGCCTGCATCTCTACATCGCCATATGCGAGATGGAGCCACTCGGGCTGATTCTTTTAGCCACGGCAACGTTTCGGGTCGTCACATGCCTGACGACCCTGCTATCACCCACATCAACAGATCTAATGACTCAGGAAGCGATCATACTGTTGAGGCGCCCAGGACGCCAATGTCTAGTCACTCTCATGCGAGAACGGTGTGTTATAATTTCATCTGTTTATCTTTCCGTTTTCTGACAGCCACCTTTCAGGCTTCTATACACACTCCCGGTGGTTACCCGGGGAAGACTCCTACTAATATATATGGAGACGGCCACGAGGTTTGCCATTGATACACGTTTTCCGACAACTATAATGATTGCATATAGGCCCATCCGATGCGACACGATGAAATCCACCCAGGTGGGCACGGCCGGGCTCCTCACTCAGGTAGTCATGGTCCTATTTATTACATCATCCCTGGCGGGGTGAGTGTTATATTCCAAGACGAATACGGGAATGAAGTCGCAAGGTAAGTTCTAGTATTACTGTTCCTTGACTTGCATTCAAGTTGATCGAAGAGTTGGTGATTTTAGCGGGCGCCCAGCAGCACGTTCTGCACCCTTTGTTGTGCAGGATAATCATGGGCGTGAGCTTTACAGGTGCGAAAGTGTGATGCTGGTTCTGTAGATTGACTCAAGTGTTAAGTATAGACATGATGACCGTGATCACGAGAGGGGCTACCGTCCCAGAGATCCACGAGTGGTTATGATAGATCCCAATCAACATAGTTCAAAACGCCCAAGGTCTGCCTTCGAACTATGGATAAGAGATTCGTGATGCTGAACTTGATGATGATTTATAGTAGTAGCAGGAGTTACTCGTCCCAGAACTATCACCCCGATCCCTCTTATAGGTACCACAATGACTACTCGTCCCACAAATACCCCTCCGATCCCTCGCACAGGCACCACGATGACTACTCGTCTCATAGATATCACTCCAGTCCATCGTACCGGCACTACGATGACTACTATCATGAGAACAGGGGTAGGGGCTACAGGGATAGAGAATACCACAGAGACCCCTACCGGGATAGGGAATACAGAGACCCCTACCGGGACAGGGAATACAGAGACAAGGAATACAAAACACGTGATCGCCGAGACAGACAGCCGCGAGATAGAGGTTACCATGGAAGGGATGATTGGCAGCCCGAGGACCAGCCACGAGGATCGCACCCATTGATGCATAGAGAAAACAGTCACCACAGCCATACTTCCTCGAACAGGTCCGAGAGGCAATTTTCACAGTGAGTGGCCAAGCAAATCAATGAGGGGTCAGCCTCTGACGATCAGCAGGACTCTTCCGGATGACCGACAATCTAATTCCAGCCGACTGCATGACAGGTCTCATCCCTCAGATATGCACCCCATCGAGGAGATCGCTGATGGGATTCAATCTCTCGAAATTTGATATTTCCATGGGAGAACACGCCTACTATGCATGATGGATAATTATCGTAATCCTATCACTGACATCATCTCCGACCACGACTTGTATTGTGCCCATGCCTGGCTGCGCCATGTACCCCACGACCGGTCACCGAATTTATTTCCTGTTTACTAAGCTTCAGCGTGCCCCCACTAAACCTACCCACTCCCATCCCGAGACCTCTAACTCGTCTTTGACGGTCTGACGACCCAGATGATGTATCAAACAATTTTTTAAGAGTGGGGTGGTAGTTTCCCAAGTTTTTGGCCTAAAAGCAAACCACTGTTAAGATATGATTGAATGGCAGGACGTGGTGAAACGAACCTCCTCCAGCTGCTGCTTTTCTCGCTCATCTTTCTTCCTTAGCAGTCCTTCTCGCACTCGCTTGGAAGCCTTATTTCGTTCCGCAGCGCGAATGGCAACTTCTCCCTTACCAAGTTTGGTTTTCCCTGCAAGTTCCAAGACACGGCCGGACAGTGCTTTATCTCGTTGTGCATGCGTCAAGTTGAGTGCAGGGTTCAAAGACCCGGACAGCAATTTCGTGTGAACCAAGCGATGGAGAAGAGCATCGTTCTGGGCATTCGAACTACAAAAATCCGTAAGAAAACAACTTTACGATGCTGAGGACTCACGTATCCTCGTGATCATTTTGTGTGTCATCCTCGTCTCGGTGTGGGGCCCCATCGGTTTCCGTTATAGATGTAAGTTTAGCTACTTTTGAAGACTATTCACTCCTGTATCAGTATACGAAGGTGGCAATACATAAGACTTGCCATGAAAGCTTTTTTCTGAGCTTTCGAGAACTGTTCTGAAGGCCTCTGCCTTGAGTCTGAGAACACCACCACATCTGGCATCTTAGTAGAGGAACTGGCGGTAAAGCCGTCATCATATTCATAGGGAGTATCTGATGATACAGCCATTATAGTGAAAAAATAGCCGCCTGGATGACCACAAACCGTCGTCGTTGTTTTCTTCGGATGGGTAAGTTGAGACGGTTGCATTGCTGAAGCCTCTCCACTCCTCAAAATCTTTGTTCTCAGGCTCTTCGGGGGAGTCTTCTAATCTCTGCTTCTTCCGAGGAGGTTGACTGAGATCAAAAGAGTTTAAGAATTGTTGGCCATGTGCTTGTAGGAGATCGAGCAATCTGGCTCCTTCGTCCTCCATCGTCGACTAAGAAGACTTGTGGGAAACCCTTTGAAATGGAAGACCCTAAATGGTAATTCCAGCGGCAAAGCACACATAAGGACTTGGTAACTCAAATTCACGACTTTAATGGCTAAGAAGCGCCAGACAACACAGGCAGCGCAGACAACGCCTGTACAGAAGCCTTTAGTCGAGATATCCGAAGACGAACAATGGCGCTTGATAGAACAAACTGGTGTTCTCAGGAAGATATCTGACACACAAAAACCTGGGGAGACTACAGGCAATGTCGAATCACTCCCACTTGCTGACGAGATCTTCAACGCGGTCGCATACATTATACCGTTGACCTCCTTTCTCATCATGATGGACATGTGAGCTTATACCTGGTGCTTGCTTCCCACCTTACCTCCTGTTGTTTTGGACAGCCTCATACATCAGCAGTATGCAAAGCAGCCAACCGCTGGTGAGGTTGCTGGACGGCTTTTCACAAACTTCCCCAGTACGTTCGAAATTTGCTTGGAGAATCTTTGATGCTCAAATCCATGCAGTTTTGTCGATATTTGTGTTCTACAGTGAGCATCATGGGTTTGTATCAGTTTGGAGTACCTTTTGACCAATTGCCTCTAGCCACGCGACACAAGGCTAACCCTCGTATGCAACTCGCTCTTTTCATACTCTCCCTCGGTGTAGGGCCCCGAATGATATGGCTTATCAATCATGGATCATGGCTCGTCAATATACGACAGGTGTGTTACATTCCGTTTCGGCAAGATGCCTTGTTCACAGGCCATCCTTAAGTGTCCGCAATTCGCAACAATATGGCTGTATACAGTCATACAGTTAAACTTAAATTGGGCCGTTCTCACCTTAGTGATGATAGGAGCTTGGGCATGGTTCACAGGAATGAAACTCGTTCCGTGATTCTGATCACATCGACGGACCGCACGCACCATGGTAATTGCGTGAATAGTTACTAGCATCGGACAGATTCTCTTCAATAGTTTTCCATAGCTAAACATGATTAATATTTCAGCAATGTTGTTCGCCGTGGACAATAACAACACATATCCCGGAAGTAGGTGTAAGTAACCCTAGGAATATGCGCTGCGGTCCTACACAGTAGTATGGGAAGGATAGGCATCTGATGAACAGAACACAGGGTTCATGTCTTCATATTTGCTCGACGATACGCCCCAACCAGGATGTGGTCTTGTATCCCGAGGGCACCTTGTACGAGCAGAGAGCATTGAGAAAACTGCGGAATGTTCACTAGCAGCACATTGCACATAACAAGATAGACGCGAATGCTAAATGAAACAATACCTGAATGTAGAGTGTAATCAAGTTCATGTCCGTCCGCAGAAACTACACCCCGTCTCCATCATCCAATTCTTCAGTCAGAATTTCAACTTTTCTCTGCGACAGAAGCTCTGGGTAAGTTGCATGGCACGAGGTATACCTTACTCACTCGATAAGTTGTATTTCTCCCTTCTAGCACATTTTGCAGCACGCGGAATTGCCACTTCAGGCGCCGACCCAGTGCGCGACGAATGGTAGCTTGGTGAGTATTTACTCTGTCCATGAAAGCCTTAAAAACTCTGTCATCTCGTGCAAAATAATAGACCTATAAAGAAGAGCAGTTGTGAGCTACTGGCAACATTCGACTCCATTGCTTACCGGTATTGGTTCCCCTTCGATAGATTCCAATGCGATCGCCCAAGCTCCGAGAAGTAGAAGGTCAGTTGTAGCATTTGCCACACTTCAGAGTTTGTTCATTGAACGAAGCAATACCGGATCGAAAATGACGTACTAATCCTCCAAGGCAGCGATTGCATCTGCTTTGCTTAGTTCTTTGGTGGCAAACTTTCGCACCGCCGCCTCAGCAGTGGAAACAGGTTTTCCAGCATTACCAGATCTCAAGGCCAGAGACGCCGATGATACCTGAGCACGAATCCACTTTTCTCCTTCGCTCATTATCAGAGTTTGCATAAAAGATGCTACAAGATCGCTCTGAGATTTATAAAGACCATAATCTATGCCGAGTTTGAGATTTGTTCCTGCCACAGGGTTAGCCACTCATCAAGACTGCTTGAAGTGGGACTAACGTAAAGCCTTCAGGATTACTCTTGTCCGTGGGAGACCAATTTCGCTGTCTTCTAGATGGTTGATCCAACGAGAGAAAGCTCCGAGTAATAGGATAGCAACGTCACGGTGAGACTGCCCGATACGCATAGCGTGAAGGAGAGGGGTAGCATCCCCGGTTTTGCGGAGTAGTAGCTGGGGGATCATTAGTACGAGGAAGAAGATACAAGGTATTTGAACTACTGGGAAAGCACGATCACGAACTTCCATCAGAAACATGATATCCTTGTGCTCGATAGCGCGAAAGACTTCAAATGGCTAGCGAAATATAATATATGAACACCGTGCACTAATAAGGATGAGTGGTAACAACGTACCTGAGGCTCTTTCCAACCCCGTGAGGGTTGGTTCCTGGAAAACGTAAACAAAGATTGTGTCGGAGAGCTTTGCTCTGAGGTTGACGAGACACTGCCCCTTCTCCCGACATGAGGTGGGGTATCCTCTGTCAGATCATGGTATTCGGTGGTTGGACTAGGTGGTGTTGGACTGCGTCGTAACTGCCTCAACACCGCCTTTGGTGCGTTCTGTTCGGCCTCTCGCTGCAGAAAGCCTTAGGATATGTTGGATATGATGTGAAGAAGATGATGCTACGACGTACCTGTCGCAGGCAAACGCGCAGGCAGGCATGGATCAGGGGAAATTCGGACTCTTGTCACCGATCGTTGTGCAAAATCGGGGCTCAAGCGATCTAGTATAGAAAGGATGATCGATGCATTGTTTACCATCGCTCCTGCGGAAGCCTATGCAGAGCAGCCGTCCGCTGATAGCAGACCAGTAATTGTCATGGGTTGAGCGTTGTAGAGCGCTAGATTACTCATGTGCATGCCAGTTCAACATTGAACCCAAGTGGTCACAGTACCGAAGTCACGCCAGAGTCACGCCAGAGTCACGCCAGAGTCACGCCAGCCGAGCGACTTCAGTTGACCTTGCCAAAGGACTTCCTTCTGTTACCGTCCCTGTTGCGTCGTTATATTCGCGTGTTTCTTTTGGTCTCTGTGGCTATCTCACTGCTCATCTGCAGAAGAAGTCGCGATGTTGAGAATCTGGGAAGAAACATCTGGTGCTAGATATCCAGATCCTAACTTGAAGTGCGACATGAATCAGGACACCCAGTCGTGTGAGGCTGGTGGTGACCGGCCTGGTTTAAATAATAGCGCATTGGCACCCTTAGCCACCGATGGTGTTGTCCTGAATCGTGCCATGCTTCAGGATCCTTCTCTAACTTCGAAACCCGTGCTTTGTGCGTCTGGCATTCGTCCTGTTGAGGCCGTCATTCTCTATGATGCACTTTTGCCAAACGCAGAATCCAAACTGATGGAGGCTCTCCACGAGATCGATCCAGAAGAATCTTCTTTTACAAATACGTTTCGCGCTGCCCGCTATGCTTTGGCCGAGGTCGGCTTATGTGCCAGTGATCTCGTCTGGCGCAGGGCCATCAGAGAATATGCTGCCAACAGGAATGACGATGACGATCCCGTTTTTGAGATCGCCAACAAAATCCGCGATCTGGTCAAAAACTGGGTGTTCGCCATGCCGAACTTAAACATTTCTTCCAGAGGCTTCAATGTGACGCCCAAGTTCGTGCAGTTGATTCATGTTCTCAAATCATGTGGAGCTTACGGGGACAAGTTCCGTGGAATTGTCTTGGGTTCGTATGAGGAAACCTGTCTTGATAACGGTTGATAAATGGTTTACACTATAGTCCAACGGTCCGAAGTTGCGACAATTATGGTGAATATCATGAGAACCATGATTGATGAATTGGCCTTCGTTCGACCTTATGCTTTGTCCAGCGAACTCTTTGTCACTGATGGTAACCAGCAGGTATGTGAAGTTTCGTTACTTGCAACATGGTTGGCTGAAACATATTATGACAGCGTGAATTACTTGACAACTTCGCGAGTGGAAAGCATAACCTTCTTATTCTAATTAAAACTCTGGAAGATATTGACCTTCCACGTGTCAATGTCTTTATACGGTGCATGTCACTCTTACTGCTAGTTGTGGTTCGCTCATATGTGCTCTAGATACGACTTGTTCGAGAGCCAACTTTCCTATGCATTTGCTTGCGCGCATACAATGGTGCCTGATGGACATCTCATACATATGGTGGAGAAAGGGAGCGACCTACATCGCCGAATTCTTCAAGAGTATAGCGGTCCAGCACTTGACGATAGGTGGATCAAGGTGGTCTTACAAGGGGGGAATTCCCCAGTTCCATCCTGTCCATTGAAGGAAACCGGAAACCCTTACCGCTCGGACGAAGAGATGGCCTCCAGGCCAGAGATCTCGATAGGAGACTCGATCAACGGTGGTCGATTACTTGAAGACGATGCCTTGCTTGCTGTCTTCCGCATCGCTGCGAACCTTCAGTGCAGCATTATAACTCCATTTCTTCATCCTCTGTTTGTTGTCCATCCCACACCCATACCAAGCATGGGTGGGGTTCAACAATTCGTGTGCACTGTGACACTCCCGCCTGGACTGCCTTTGCAGACGATTCAAGGTCCTCCATGTTTTACACCCGTCCATGCGCGTCGCTCAGGAGCCTACCGATTTTGCCTACGATTATTTGAGTTCAGCGGCCTGGACTACCGCCTGATCTATACCCCAGACCGATCTGACGACAATGCTTACGCGAATCCTTCCCTATTGAAATCAGATCTAGTTTCTGGAAATAGTTGCTACATGCGAAAAAGGCCAAACTTCTGGGTCAACTCATTACGAATTTCTGAAGAACGCCTCTTTCCTGTCGTCATTTCCGTAGGCAATCCAGAAGGCCCATCTGAACCTTATGCACCTATCGTTATTCTAACACGTCAACCATTACCTCATCTAGAACCCTTCAAATTGTTTTTCTATGGCGTTTTTGCCACTGTCAAGAATGCACGAGGTCCCGCCCTCATCTTTGATGGCGAGCGTCTCAATGACCTTCACTCCTATACACTCAGAATTTGCCGCACGATTGCCAACAAAGCATTTGTATGTTCGTTGGAAAAAATGGCATACTTCATCGCACCTCTACTTCCTTCCCAAGCCAAGGATTTCTCGTGTTCCAACACGACCAACTTACAAGATGCCATCGACTGGGAAGCTGTGGCACGAGCCAACAGCAACTATGTCACGCGTTTTAGTTCCGATAACTTACGAGACCTAAGCGAATTTGAGGATGCAGTCATCCAAGATAGATTAGTCGAATTCACTCGACGATGCTATGTTGTCCGTTTACGACCGGATCTGTCACCAATGAGCAAACCCTCAGACAGCCCAGTAAGTGACCATCATTGATGGTCAATCTACGAATTCTTGATCTATCTCATTCCAGCGCGAGGCAGAATATGCGAACATTCTGGAGTACTGCAGAGCGCGTCGCAAGGGTTTCCAGGGCCTCCAAGATAACAATCAGCCTCTAATCGAGGTATCCAAGGCTGCTGCCGTGCTGAACCGCCTGAATCCCGTCCACAAGCCCCTTATAGAGACGAACAAGACAAGTCCAAAATGTAAGCTGCTCATGTATGTAACTTTGGTAAACCACGTAGCTGACACTAGGTAGATCTTATACCTGAGCTCTGTGGCAAGTGCACGATTCCAGCGAGGTGAGTGTTCTTAGCAGGAGACCACCACTATCCTCATACAAAACTCTGTCAATTAGCATATACCGCACTGCGTTACTTTTACCATCTATTACTCGACGAATCGATGATTTCTTGATTGTAAAGGAGCTCAATGCACAGTTCTTTGCAAATATGATCCTGGAACAACATTTGTTGTCTGCCGTCTTCGCTCCCTCTGCGACCTTCGAAACGGATTACGAAAGGCTGGAGCTCCTTGGTGAGGTTTACCCGACCCTTATTTTTCGCAATGCTCATACTATAATGCAAGGCGATTCATTCCTGAAATATTTCAGTTCTGTTTATGTGTTCGTTTTTAACCCTGCTTTGAGTGAGGGCGCATTGCACAAGGCACGGCAGCACATAATCAGTAACAAGGTGCTCACGCAGTGTGGTCTTTCCATTGGTCTGCCATCATACATACAAGGAAAGACGTTCAGCTACAAATTATGGCAACCTCCAAACTTCACAGTTCAGGACGTATCTATGCAGCATCTGGGGAGGTCTAACGATTTCACGTCGTCCAGTGGCAATGGCGGGATGACAATTGATACCCAAACACAGGCTCCCGTCAATGATACCAATGCCTCCACTATGCTTTCGACCTCACAGTCAAAGACGAAACACAAGGCCCCCGACGATAACATAACACAGTGGCTCGGAGACAAGGTGGCAAGGGTATATTATGAGTTGGAATTATCTCATATACTTTTGCAGACGATCGCCGATGTCGCAGAGGCTATCATAGGAGCGGCTTATCTTTCTGGAGGCCGCAACGTTGCGCTCAGAGCGATAAAGGCCCTCCGATTACCTGTTGCTGACGTCGAACAATGGGAAGATTTCCGCCGGAAAGCTCTTGCTCCCCCTTCAAATGTCACGCCAAGGCTCCGCGGTGGCACTCTTTCAGCAGTGGAAGAGATTATCGGAGCTAGTTTCAAGTACCCACACTTGCTCTCTCAAGCTCTTGTATGTGTCATCTCTCTTCGACTACCATCAGCTGACCCTCTTCTAGACTCATGGTTCAATTCATGGATACGAAAATACATGCTATGAGCGGCTTGAATTCCTGGGAGATGCAGTGCTGGATTTTTGTACGTGGTTCCTCCTCTTCGTGGCAATGGTGTAACATGCATTCTCAGTGGTAGTACGACATGTCTTTAACAGGGATGACCATATGTCCCCTGGAGCAATGACACTATTGAAGGTGAGTATGCGCTGCTTACCTTGTGATTTTATCAGACACCTTTAGTCCGCTATGGTGTCGAATTCAGCCCTGGCAGCGGTCTGCGTTCGGACTGGATTACATGCGTATCTTCTTTATGAGTCGTATGCTCTCGGAAATAGCATTCAGTCATATGCTGAGCAGCTGGAGACAAGGCGCCAGGAAGAACATCAAAAGGCGGTCAGGGATGGAAGGCCTCCAGGGCAATACTGGCTTGATATGGAGCCACCCAAGGTATGTTTATAGCTGGTCTCCGAGCAGAATGAACCGACACATGACTATAGATCCTTTCTGATGTCGTAGAATCGATCATCGGTGCACTTTACATCTCAGACGGTTTCACATCTGACGGTGTGGAATCCATGTTCGAGAAAATCCTCGAACCTTTTTACGACCAACATGTCACAGTCAAGACCCTTTCGCATCACCCCACCAAAATCCTTTTCGAGATCATGCAGACTCAGGGTTGCCAACAGTTCTCCATTGAGAAAGAAAAACTTGGCGAGACTCACGGAACTCGCTGTGATGGTAGGATTCAAATTGTGTCCATGTGGAATGTACTGATGAGCCTTCCAGTTATTGTTCACGACATTATCCTAGCGAGCGCCACAGAGTCGACGGGATATATCGCAGGGCGCATGGCGTCAACTGCCGCCCTCGATGCACTGGAAGGGGACCCCAGCTTTATGGCTCACAACTGCAGCTGCAGAAACCGAATACAAATGGGAAAGAAAGACTACAAGAATAGGCTGGAAAAAATGTTGGCTGATCTTGAGGAGGGGCAGAACGTCACAACTGAAGAGGATCACAATAACGGCATGGGAATCGAGTAACAGCTGGTCAAACTTTTGGTTTGAGCTCAGATTCGAGATATAGGTATTGAAAAGACAAAAAATTGTTGTGTCGAACACCCTAGACACGTCTATGCTGCGCCAGACTTGATCCTGTTAGCATGTGTCAGAGTGTGGTTTTACTGATGCTATTGAGTAATCGCGTACAATTGAAATTTGGCAGCTGCGAAAGGAATGCTGAATCCTGATACCAGGAAAGCAGTGAGCTTGATACCGAACGATAATCGTTTCTTTCCAGGCCACTCGAATGGCAAGTGCTAAGGAGGGAATATATGCGGTGCTGAACGAGTGGAAGACGAAGAACACGTACATGATATTCACCGTGGCCATGCACAAAGCGTGCAGAAGGGGCAACGCGAATACGCACAACTTGTGCACGCAAGGAGTGTGGTGCACGGGCGAGCATTGAAGATCTGAGGGCAGTAATGTTGTTGAGACAAAGAGCTCAAGTTAGAACTTGGAAGGTTTGCCGGAACCACCCGCAGTTCTTCCCACGTCGCTCCTCCCATTTCCGCGGAAAGACATGTTCGGACTGTTCGCAGTCGGGCTCTCGATGTTTATTCCATATAGCACGGAGCATTTTGTCTCAGCAAGTGCTCTAGCTGACATTAATAGCGAACTCACCTCACCCTCACTCGCTGGACTACCAGGATCATTTCGGATGCAGTCACGAACTTCTTAGAGAATTGACGATGCAGTAAGTAGGAACTAATGTTTGTGGCAATCCTGCCCAGGAACAACAAGCAAGGTAAAGGTTAGACCAATGACCAGCTTGAGACTCTAGGCGTAGGCGATAATAGTACGCTCTTTTAGGCATCGCTCCATCACCGAACTGCTCGCTCGCTCCTTCACCAGTTGTGCACTCGATTCCTCAATTTTAGGCGGCCAGGATTATGGTCAGGTTGCGTGCATGTAACCGAACGATAGGGCTAGGCCTGGCTAGACGCCGTTGATAATTTAGGTAGAGTTCTGTGGCATAATTCGCGCAGGATTATCTAGAGCTTGTGAGTCGGACAATCGAATGGTTAGCAAGAGATTACAACTAATTATTGCTGTGTTTACAGGGCCGTGTTCGTAAGAGCGCATCTCTTCGCAGGCTAGAGAATTCCGGTCTCTCAATTTGCTGCGAAGTATCGATAGTAACATGTTCGTAACAGACGAGAATGCTGGCATGCTTGAGTCAGAAGTACAAGATTAATTTCCACTCATGCCTTCCAGTTGCCTCGTGTTTATTGTTCTGTAAGATAGGCACCTGTCAGCAGACTCAGCACGACCTACTTCCCCACCATAAACGGTATGCTCGGGTATGTTGGGAACATCATGATCGAGATAGCAAGGTTACGTTACTTGACGGATCACTGGAGGGTGTCATACGACGAGGATGTACAGCAAGCCCTGAGATGAAAAGGGGACTTATCGCAGCGTATGTGTATGTCATCATGATACCAATACTCTGTGTCGTTAACTGTTTATTGTGTATATGGCATACTAAACGAGTTTCATGTGCAGGAATATCAATGGCGGAAATAACATGAACCTAATAGAATGTACAGCCATCAATCAACATGCGCAGCCTTCGTCATGTGCGCACAGGAACGTTCGTATGTGGGTCACTCCAGAGAGCAACCTACTAGTACTGTTTCTGCATAGAGTGGCGTAAAGCTTCTTACGTGGGTCGAAGCTACGTATCAGATAATACAAACCGGCTCCCTACCACCGGTAGCATCCCGATGAATCTCAAAATCACCCATGCCAAGGTCCTCGAGTGTTGTGCCTCGGAGATGGCGCATACGTATCCCATAATAGCACCCCGAAAGGTCGTAGAGACTTGTTGCTTCACCTCGGCCACCATGTTTTATGCCTTCCATTGGAAGTTGTTGATTCATCTAACCTAAACAGGTACTCGATGACTACGAGAGACTGCTGGGATGTTGCCAGTCTAGTACTGGCAATGACATGCTGGTGGGTGACGGTACTTGTGGTTTTCTTGAAGTACAAAGATTTGATCGAGCTTAGTATCGGTTTGCTAGGTGTGCACCCAAATGAAAGCCAACACGTCCTTGTGGCACTCGAACCATGGAAACTATATGATGCAGCTCTTCGTGCGTCAATGACGTGACGGCTGTCGCGACTGAAACTACGAATGTACATTTCACCATGATGGTGGAGCTTCGTAACTTCTGGTTCTGCGGCAGATTCGCCTGCCAGTGCACCGCAGCACAATTCAATGTTGCGCATGTTCCACGTCTTGAAGAGTCTTGATAGAGCTCTCGCCTACCCAGTGGTAAATGTACCTGTCATGAGAGCATACAGGAGCATACCCGTTGTCGGTCCCGAAGATGTTTTTTGCTGAGTAGCTCAGGACCACGAGTGTTTATTACTTCGTTTCTCATGCCTTTTTTCTTCTCGTTCTTGTTCTCAGATGCATCCCAAAGGGAAAGAACATTCATTATAATACTTCGCAGGAAATCAACGGGCCGGTTATTTACATTTCTGGGGAAGTGGCTTTTAAAAGGCTTTTTGTTTCATGAGTTCATAAGGCATCAGGTGGGAAGTTGCTGTACATGGCTGTAGCACGATGGTGGATGGTTTTTTTTCGCAGTGCAACACACCCGGCGAGAAGCAAAACGGTGGGGCTGTACAGCACGGTGTAACGAAATACCATTTTAGAACCAGTGCTGCGCCCGCAGCCCCTTTGACAGAGTAAGCAGCTGGGGTCCAAGCCTTCCGTATACCCCAGGTTCAAAGATCTGGTATGTACACACGTGTTAGTATTCGACTTCACATGAAAAACATGCGGCGTTATCTTATCTACGGATGTGATACAGACCTGTATTATAAGTCTAGATGGCGGCTAAAAGTATTCACACCAAGTTATTCGGTCGAGCGTTGTTATCGTTCCCTTCACGGACGCTCTATCGCTCTTCACATACACCTTCCACCATGACATCCCTATCAGCCCGCATTGTCATACGTGCTGCGAATCGCGAACTCGAGGTTCCGACTGGCCTGTTCATCAACAACGAGTTTGTTCCCTCCGCGGATTCCCCTAATGATCTCATCCAGTACGATCATTCATATCTATCTGATAAGGATTGCGACTTATTTGAATGCGTACAGCCTAGTCAACCCTGCAACAGAGGAAAATATATGCTCCGTGGCAGCTGGTGAACCTCATCACTCTCATCTACGCTAAAAAATCAAGAATATTGATGAAGTTCAGGCTCAGTGAAGGACATAGACATAGCGGTCACGGCGGCTCGCAAAGCTTTCAATACCACATGGGGGAAAAATGTGACTGGTTTCGAAAGGTCTAAGCTCCTGAATAAGCTGGCAGATCTTATAGAGAGGGATCAGGATATACTCGCAGAGGTCGAATCTTTGAATAACGGCAAGCCATTCAAAATCGCGAGGTACGCAAATACGTCTTCTTTACGTTTTATCTCTCAATGGGCGTTGATCATATCAGGGATTTTGATATCGGGGACAGTATCCAGTGCTTGCGGTACTATGCGGGGTGGGCTGATAAAATAACCGGACAAGTATATCCAGGGGCATCTCGAAAGGACGAATCTGTATTCATACTTCCTATTCTCAGACTATCGAAGTCGACAACAAAACCAAGCTTGCTTTCACTAGGCACGATCCTATCGGGGTTTGCGGACAAATGTGGGTGGTTTCCATGCGTTACTTTGCACATGTTCACAGACACGGTATAGTATTCCATGGAATTACCCAATCAATATGTGGTATGTATTTAACTGCGTAGATCTTGGAGATCGAAACATGACGTCTTCATTAGGGCATGGAAAGTTGCCCCTGCCCTTGCATGCGGGTGTACCATCGTTATGAAACCTTCCGAACTTACCCCTTTGACGGCTCTTATGCTATCGAAGCTTATCGTTGAAGCCGGGTACGCGATACGTTCATCTTTAGTATTTTTCTGACCCCAATTTTGAACTAGTTTTCCACCAGGCGTGGTGAACACGATTCCTTCCCTGGGATCTGTTGGCGGTGCGGCCTTATCAATGCATATGGATGTAGATAAGGTTGCGTTCACCGGGTCTACAGTAACTGGCCGCAAGGTCATGGAAGCCGCGGCTAAAAGCAATCTGAAGAAGGTGAAGTGAATTTTAAGGAATCAACTCGGTTAAGTCAATTAATATGATAATATTATGTGTCTGAAGGTGTCTCTGGAGTTGGGTGGCAAGTCACCCCAGTTAGTTTTCGAGTCCGCGGATCTGGAGCAAGCCGCAAACTGGGCTTGCCTCGGTATTTTATACAATACCGGCCAGGATTGCACGGCAGGATCTCGTTTGTATGTTCAGGACACAATTTACAATAAGTTTGTCTCCCTCCTCGTCTCTAAAGCCAAGGAGCTCGTGATCGGCGATGGCTTCGACGAGAAGAGCGGTGGTGGGCCCTTGGTCGGTTAATCGTACGAGATCGCACCATCCACAGCTCACACCCTTTGCCAGGTGTCCAAAACTCAATTCGACAAGGTTTGGCGATATATTGAGAGCGGTCAGGCTCAAGGCGCAAAGGTGGCTCTGGGTGGCCAAAAGCGTCCTGGCAAGGGTTTCTTTGTTGACCCTACGAGTAAGTATCCGTAGCTTTCGGAATAGCACCATCACCGCTGATCGACCCCCAGTTTTCACGGACATTAATGCGAACATGGATATCGTAAGTGCTAAAGCTGTCCCCCAGAATACTCCGGGCTCACGTTCATGCGAATCAGGTCCGAGATGAGGTATACTTCTGATGCTGGCAGGATGCACACTTCCTGCAGCACAACCCTGAATATCTAATAGTAATGTTAACTAACAGATCTTTGGGCCGGTTCTGGCGGTGGGCCGGTTCAAAACTGAAGAGGAAGCCGTTTCACTGGCCAATGACACATCTTACGGCCTCGGTGCTGGTTTACACTCCAGTGGGTAGTCCCCCGGGTATTTGATTCAAGCTGAAATGCCTTTGAAACATCAGATGATGCAAATCAGTGCATGCGTGTCTCGTCTGCTCTTGAAGCTGGAACGGTATGCCCTATATCGCTCTGGCATATTCCATAATTGATGGTATCCAAAGGTTTGGATCAATCAGTACAATTTGTTGAATAACAATGTCCCGTTCGGCGGGAAAAAGCAGAGTGGTATCGGTGAGCAATTATTATTGAGTACGAAGTACGTCCAATATGTCTGACTTCGCGAGCAGGCCGTGAACTTGGAAGTTATGCCCTCGAGGAGTACACTTCGGTCAAGGCTATTCACTGGAACTTTGGAGAGAAACTCGATTGGCCGCTGTAGTGGCAAAACTGACACCACCGAACTTGAGTACCGTCAACAATTGTATTTTTACTTGTATAATATTGTAGCTGACCGCCATTCAAACAATGTCCGACTGTAATGATGTTGATGTTGATGTTCTTGAGAGTTTCCACAACTTCGTCACCGCATACAATACTTGTCAAGCCACAAGGAATGTACGCGCTTCAGACGAAACCGCGCCGTGACGACACAGATAACAACAAACAAAGAGTTCAGACAACTCATCTTCGATGGACTGCACATCTAAAATGGGCGGCAGGAACGACGGACCGACGGGGGCAATCTCACGCTGGGGTCGCGAGTCCAAAGGTGTGAAGGGTCAGGGGCCTCATAGACTATATATAGTATTGATGGTCTTAAATAAATCACAAAAGTAACAAGGAATCAGGTAAGAGCCCGAGGGCCAAAAGGAAGGCGATCATTTGAAGTCAGAATTTTCATTCTTACTGACTCTAGACCATAAGGTTTGATGATTTAAAAAGGGGAAACATTGTTCAAATCTTAGCTAGGGAATCATACAACAATGAGGTAAATGGGTACATAACTCGAAACTCTCCATCTGATCGAATAACACTCTTACAACAGTCACGAAAGTCCGCATCATATCTACACGGTTATAGCACTAACCAAGGAAGGTATCATCAGCGTGCCAACCGCCCGGCTGCTGTTAATTCTGTCCGCCAGGGTGGGTTGATGGGTAAGCAGTCATGTCCCCACTCCCTGGACCCATATCAACCGTGTGGCTTCAATTGGACGTTCAGCACAGGAAGGCGGAAAGAAAAGCATACTAACACATTTGGCTGACCATATCCATCCAACCAGTTGGCAGGATCCAAGTACAAGGGATTGCCCTGTTGGAGCGAGGCATTCAGGTGACCAGAAGCCTCTGTGGAGGGATGTAAGTGCCGCGCAAGAAACATAAGTCTCACTCGCGTACCAGCATTCGTGGACATGGTGAATGTATTGTGATGGACGACAGCGACGGAATCATCATGCGGAGCGGTGGAATTGACCTCAGCGTACACGCATGGTTTATTGGTCTCGGAGCACCGGTTGCAGATGCCCAATGTTGGGTTAAAGACGCACTGACAAGCGTTAAGAGGTTGAGAATGCAAAAGGTCGGAAAGTTACTGACTTTCCTCTTGAGCTTCCTGCATGATTTACAGGCTTGAGGGGCTCGATGCTGCATCGCAATTGCACTTGCGCTCATCGCTGGATCCATGAAGATACGGACGATGTCCGCACCTCTTATATGGCAACAGAAAAGTGACAAAGCCATGCTTGCATGACTTGATTGGAACCGGCAAAGGTGTGGTTTCAGCGAGGTAGAGGAGTGGGTGGCCGGATCTATCATATTTCCGCTTCCGGAATGGTTGCTCATTGTCAGGTCGTGAAACGAACCAAGGTTGAATTTCATCTATTCTTGCCACCAGGACATGCTGGACAGACGCTTGTCGCCTGGCAGACCCTGTGGAATTCCATGGTCTTGTCCATTAAGTTGAGATCGTTAATGATAGGATTATACACTCTCGCAACGACCACCAGTGACCCAGCTTCTTGTCGTGTTTGAGGAGGGGCGAGGAAGATGAACAAGTGGCAGCAACCTCAATTTCCAGAGGCTCTGGGGCAGAGATGCCAAATCAGTCCATGGGACCCTGCACCAACGTTAACCCTGCAGGCTTACTTATTCAGCTCGACAGGAGTAAAATTGACGTATGCGCTGGGTATTGCAGGGCCGGTAACATGCATTTTTGGCGATCGAAGGAGATACGGTTCGGCCACGAAACACCGTCCACACGAGGTCATTGAAAATCGAGGCTTATTTGAGCTTTAGAACATTACCACAAATGTGATATTCGCGCCTCGTATAGGCGCTGGCAACAGCAGGTCTTCATGAGCACTGCTGCTGGCAATGCTGCATGTCGACCTGCGCACATGGCAGAATGGGTCTTCCTAGTTGGACAACTAGTCATCATAAAATTTTGCAACAGAAGGCCGACCGCGGGTTTCTGGTGCTTCGATCATGAACGCTAGCATGAATAACGATGAATGAATTCCACCTCAAGCCCACTCGGAACAAATGAACAATCCTAATTGGCTGACTCAAAGCACAGCCCCATGAATTTTACGTATACGGTGATGATCGAGGTTGCCGCCGGTGTGATGAAAAAGGCACAGGCAATTTCGACCGGGGTACAAATCAAACTCTGATTTCTCCAAACCACATGAGACAGTAGAACAGGCTAATATTTCCTGTCCCTGAGCCACTCCACCCGTATGCTCTACGAAGTCGGTCATCGGTCATGTATCAAAAGATAAGCGAAATGACTTGGGCATACCTATTGCATAGGACCACCCTGTAAGTAGCCCCAGTTGTCGGAAAAGCCGAGAGCTTGAGAGGCCCCGCAGTCGCGGGTTGCGGTTGAACCGCGGAGGTCGTGAGGCTGCACTCGACTCCTCGTTTCGCGCACAGTGCGCAGGGCTGAGCTGGACGGTCCCTGTCGTATTCACACTTTGATAGTGATTAGCTAGATTGCAAGCGATGCAAGGAACAAAAAATTGCCAACCCTTTTCCTGGCGATGCGACACACCTCGCACGCATGAGTTGCCTTTGGACGCATCACGATAGGCTTGGATGGCTTTTCATCCATATTGACAGTGAGGTGATTATTCGATGGGTTGAATTTAGTGCGTTTGCGTATTTTGATGAGTTAAATTTAGCGAGTTCGCTGGTATTTTATACCAAGGACGTTACGGTCATCTGCTAACTTGGAAAGTTGGTGCCAAAGGAAGCAAAGAACACGACTTTACATGCCGCGAATAGAGGAAATGGCTGCCAAGATCAGTTGCCAGTGGAGCATGAGACACTTGAGAATGGTAGTCTGTCCCTGGAATACACTTCCGGTGGGCCGGTGGGCCACTGGTACCGGTCTCCTAAAAGACAGGATACCGGTCTGCATGCAATCCGTTTCTTATTGCAGATTGGCGCACATCGATCCACACGGCTGCGGGCTGCTCATCAAGCAACCCCATCACGACCCTGTCATCCCAACCCTGTCAGAACTTGCTTGATGTGTATAAATGCTACCTTGAGATATGCCACAAAGTTTACCAAGATAACTTAATTTAAAGTGGTGGCCGTGTTCAACGGACTCATCTACGATGCATCTCCAGGAATCAAAATATCTACTATTACAATGCGATGCAACGCACGTGGAGTTAATTCTATAGCGCCAAATAATCTCTGACTTCCTCCTCGCTGAGTTTGCGGAAAGTTGGTTTAGGCCGGCCTGTTTCGCCGCCGATTTTCCCAGCTTCGAGCTCCTCAAGTGTTGGGACAGTGACAACACCAATCTCTATCGTTTTCTCGGTCATCTGACCTTCAAAGCCCTCTTTCAGCGTCAATAGAGCGGTGTGAATTGCGTCCTCTAGACTTATGTCGTCGTTATACCTAAGAATGATCGCGAGCTCAGCGGAAGATACACAGATGCGCCACATAAGCCTCACCGCTTCTCCAAGAACGTTTTAGCATTGACCATGTTTTTTCCGATAGCACTGGCTTTCCACGCCCAGAAAGATCCCGAAGGATCAACCTGGTATAAACTTGGGCCACGGTTGATGTCCCACCCTGCGACAAGTAATGACACACCGAAAGGCCGTACCCCTCTGAACAAGAGAATTAAAAACACGCGTGATCAGTTGTGCACACAACAAGGCAAATCTTCTTACCCAGATTGAGTTGCCTTCTGCATGACAGTGGCAATCTCCTGCGTTAAAACCTTCGTGGGTGGATACTCCCCATATATTTTCCAATATGCCTGCGCGCTCTTCCGCGCCCTTGCGATCAAAACGCGGAAGTCAGGACCCATGCCTGAATACACGATCCCAATATTGGGGCACACCACTGCCACTTTCTCGATCATGGAGTCGTCTATCAAAATGGAGGACGACTTCTTCTCGGTGGCGATGACAATTCCATTGGACGCTGCGAGGCAGAATTAGCATGTGGTGTGCAACAAAAGTAGACAGGGTACCTTTGATTCCAAGACTCGTTGTTCCCTGGGAGACAGCAGCCAATGCGTGTTCGATCTGAACAAGTTTACCACTTGGTGAGAATACTGTAAGAGAGTAGCTAACCACTAAATGTCAGAGAAGCAGCGAGATTGGCGGAAGGGAGTATGAACCTGTAAGCGCCTCCATCTGCATTGGCCATTATGATCCGTCAGAATGAGTATAGCAGATAAAGAATGTCGACGATGTGGGAGGTGATAAAGCTAAGCTTGATGAACGCGTTATGATACCGTCACTAGTACACGCGTCGTTCAGCCTTAGAATTCAACAGACACAAACAACCATAGGGCCAGGAATTTCGGCTATATTGACCCTAGATAAGGCAAGCACTATTTATGTACATGAGACCTTGTTCTAGTCTTCCGCAGCTCACGTACAAGACATACGTGTAGGCTTTAAGCTCCTCATGGACTTGTTGAAATACCACTAGCGGGCCCAATGTATCACAGGACTCAGCTTTAGTCCTTCTTATGGCATCTCTCGTCCGTCTCGTAAGCGCAGAGTCGGCTGATCCACCAGCACAACAAATTCCTGTTGCATGTATGTAATACAAATACAATATATATTGACTATCTGTTTTAGTCCGCCTCGAATATCTCATTATCTGATCATGGAACTTGGATTGATGTCGCGTATAGACATCACACTTCGTCCGGCATCTTACCTTTATTCGCTAACCTTGAGGGGTGTTGTGCGTAGGTAGGGTTGCTAATAGAGGATATCAATATTTAGCAACGGGTTTTATATCAGACAATTGTACCTTGTGGAAGGTGACCTCAGGGAAGAGCACCTTGGCCTCGTCATTAGCAACGGAAGGATGGACAATGACATCGTCACCCTTGTTCCAGTTGACTGGCGTAGTTATACGGTGTCTATCGCCAAGCTGCAAAGCTGGATGGGCTGAGCGAGTGCGTGCAAAACAGTCATATCATGATGCTCACAATCTACAACACTGGAAACAGTTATTAATGTCAGATCGTCACTCCAAAAGTTTGACAGACTTACCGGAGAATCTCATCAAAGTTTCGTCCGGTAGAAGCCGGATAAGCAATGGTCAAGCGAATGACTTTCTTGGGATCAATCACGAATACAGTACGGATCTTCAAGTGGGTTAGATTGCGGTAGAGACTCAACTGATGTTTGAGCATACCGTAAAGGGAAGGCCCTTTGCATCACGATTGGTCGCATCTTGCTCATCAAGCATATCATAGAGTGTGGAGATTTTCCTGTCCTCGTCGGCAATCTACACGGCAATATTAAAAACTATACCAATCAGAATACAGCTATACATGCTATGGGGAACTCCACGTTGGTTGGTCCGTATCTCGCGCCGAAGTCGCTGATATCTTCAACCCACTTGTTGTGGTCTTTGAGGCCATTGGCAGAAATTCCAATGAGTTTAACATTGCGCTTAGCAAAGTCATCAGCACGGCGAGCGACCTCGCCGAGCTCAGTGGTGCAGACGGGTGTAAAGTCTCCAGGATGCGAGAAGAGAATCGCCTACATGGCTACTTGTCAACATCCCGAGGTTCATCATCCACGTCGTAAATGCGCTCACCCAAGAGTTGCCGATCCATTCGTGGAACTTGATAGGTCCAGCAGTAGTCTCTGCCTCAAAATCGGGGGCAATATTTCCGAGGCGAAGGGAAGGCATTGTATGGTATACGACTGATAAAGGACCGCGTAGATCAATATTCAAATACTCAAACCCCTTTATAATATGGGAGGAGAACCAGGATTGCGTCTTTATTTCCCACGACTGATAGAAGTGAGGTGAGATGATGAAAGGATGGCGGTGGTAACAAGATAAATCACCCTATCATGTGATGACTTCGAGCATTATAAAGGCAGTATTATGATAGTCACCAGTGCCTGACCTAATCCACACATGACCATATGAAAAGCCAATATTTTGTTTACAAGGGCCCATGAGGGTCCCATGATGCGAATCTTTTTTACTAGTAAAAAGCTATGGCGTGTAAAAGACTGTGGGGGTGGCGCTCCTGTTGCACCTGCAGTATCCTATCAATATCTTCATCAATATCTTGGGAGATTTCGATCTAAGATATTGTGACAAATGAGTACAGAACCGCGATCCGTGGAAAGATACAGAAGCAAACGTACAGCAGCGGCCAAATCCAGCATCGCCTTTCCAGCAATGAGTGCTTCCTCATGGTTGTCTTTAATCTCGATATTGATGACATGAACGGGCTTATTGAATTCGCCGCCGCGACTGAGCAAGTCTGGGAGAACATATCAGTGAGCTATGAATTCAGCAACTGGTGCCAACGGCACCCACCATCACAAACAGCATCAAAGCAACGTTCTTCACATGTAATAACTACATCTGCAACTGTCTTGCTGTCCTGCCACCGTTCTGGAGCTAGCTTTATCCGCCTATTGCGATCAAGCATCTGGAGAAGTCCATTTGCGGTGTACCTGGAATGTGTTTGTCAGACTAACGTCATAAGGCGATATGACGGACTTGCAATCTCGGGTCTTTTGCATTAAGTTCCTCGTATATTGAGTTATATGGTGTACCAAACGAATAAATGTTAGGCTTGTCTATTGATGGTCCAGGTAGGCGCACAGCGGAGCCCGTGCCGTAAGAAATCACTCGGTACCCAGCTTTTCTTCATGTTTTTGGCATCAGATATAATGAATGACGTTAAAAACGTGTTGTGATACAGACTGCAAGACATGATGACCTTCCATGGAACGGTTCTGCAAATGTCATGTGAGACTTCTTCGTGATTGTCGTTGAGAGGAACGCAAACCCACTTGGTTACTTGCACACACAACGCAAAAGAGTGGTCTAGGCTTGTATGTGGAGGATCCCACATTGTTTGCAGGAGTCGAGGGGCCAGCAATGGCATTCTCAGAAGCTGTGTCAGCTTGCTGCACGAGAATATTGGGAACCGTGGACTGTGAAGCCATATATGCTCCATTCGCAGTCCATTGTGTCGTGCTTTGTCCTGACCCACTTTGTTGTTGGGGCGAGGGAGTGGGCAACGCAGATGGTCCTCGCTGCAAACGCGGGTCCACACGTGCCAAGCGCGGATCGCGAGCTCGACGTGGATCCATGGGTAGTTCTGGACACAATATTGTCAGCCTTAGTATGATATCAGTTGACTGGCAGTAAAAGCGTCAGCAGTATCTAGAACACTTGCTAGTCTCCAACTCGACCCAGCAACTTTAATGAGCTGTGCGGGTCGATGAAGATTCCACTCTGAATCATCATAGCGTACTAAACATGCGTTATTTGCTCACCTTCCGAGGCTTGGCTGGGTGGAATGGCGACTATGGTCGAGTGCAAGTGGTCAGAAAAACAACAACAAACAAGTTGAGGGCAATTAGACTTACAACGTAACGCTTTATGGCCGCCGATATTTCGACATATAGACGGTCTGCTTGAGAACCTGGGTAGGCCTGGGGTTATCAGATGTGTATGGATCATCGCTTGTATCACGATATCGACGTGTTACCGTGCGTTGCAAATGTATTCGAGCCGGGACGTCGCACTCACTCTTGAACTTGCAGGACGCCTCTAATTTCCGTGATGGATCGCATATCATGTATTCGCGAACCCACGGAAGACGATATTATTTTGATCCATCAGACAATGATGGCTGATGAGGAGGCCATCCAGGAACTGAATAGCGAAATGTCCATTCTGTTCTGGAGCGCCTTCGCTTACAGAGGGACAAGCACCGGGAGAATATACATCGGGCCCGTTCATTATTGACTCTTGCTCGCCGCCTACCTCCTGAGCTGCTAGCTCGCATATTTGAGATATGTGCCAAAAGCTGGACGCGTGCTCCGGTGGTTGTTTCTCAAGTATGCTCGGCTTGGAGGAAAGCCGCAGCATTTCTTCGTGTATGGTCACATCTCTTTCTTGACTTGAGATCGGGAAACTCGACCGGCAAAGCGGAGTTTTGGTTGAGTAAAGTTCAACACGCGCCATTGCATATAACTTTGGATATCCCTCTCGAGTCGCCGTCCTTGGAGGAGGTTTTGGGTTTACTTATTCCTCGCTCTAAGCAATGGTACACCCTTATCGTCAAATCTGTAGACTCGACAATAATGAATCACGTCCTTCGCCGCTGCAGTTCTCCGTTGCCTAATTTAAGGCAACTCAATGTCATCACTGAAATGGAGGGTTCTCAGGGAGATCCTGTGAATATGTCATCTCTTCAAGACGCTCCGCGCCTATCTCGATTGCTCATTGAACAACCGAATCTTCCGCAATGGAGCAACTTTGTGGGAGTAACGAAACTGCACGTTGTGCTCTCCTCTTCAATGCTGTCCATACCTTCCATAAATGCCACCGACTGGATCGAAATGTTGCAGGTCTTACCAGAGTTAAGGGACCTCACACTTGAGCTCTCTAAACCAGGAACACGCACATACAACGATGCCCAACGCTCTGTGGATCTTCCTCATCTGGAATCACTGACACTTCACGTCTCTCCCGAAGTGAACGGAATTCTTTTGACAATGCGCGCACCTGCGTTGCGTCAGCTCCACCTGCGCTGCTCATCCGATCCCCTTGCACGCCCCCACGTGTCTTCTGGCACCCATTTATGCCGGTTCCTCGAGTCTTCCCCTCGTGTACAGCTTCTAGAACTCTATGATATCGACGTGGAGCGCATCGACTTTGTGCAATGTTTCGAACTCCTTCCTAAACTAGAGGAACTTCGTCTGCACGACAGTGACATTGCTGATGAACAACTGCGGCTGTTGCAAGGGGACAACGGGCATTGCCCAAACCTTGCTCGTCTTGACTTCCGCTGGTGCAATTATCTAACTGGCAGTGCGCTCGTGAACCTTACCCAGAGCCGGCTACCACAATATGAAAGCGAGGGTGGAGTGCCACCCATAGTGCCACAAGCGAGGCGGATTAATGAAGTGGCTGTTATCAACTGCCTACACGTCAAAGAACAGGATGTTCTTGATCTAGCGGAAATGACACTTTGTAGGCTCCTGATGAGGTCGGACGAGGATCACTGTTGTGAGCATATACATATCGGTCTCGGTCTCTTGAAAATAATACTAACATGATCGTCAGCCAGAAGGGGTTGCTGCAACAACGAGAGGTATAGACAACGACTGCGACTACGCCACAACAATAAGCTGCCTGAAAGAGTCATCCTTTGATCATGGATCAAACTTAAGCTTGAGAGTTTGTACAATCGGACTAGAATACTAGAATTAGGACTGCAAATGGACAATGTAATACTAATACGCTTGATCCCCGACTCCACAAAGTGGGGAGGGTTCTGTTAGATCTAAACGGGACTATTTTCGTATGTGCGTGAACTGCTTTAGGACCTTTTTCTGTCAAGGTTCGGGGCCTAGACCATCGTGCGCTATACACCTTGTGTGTGTGGTCCGTTATGCATTTATGAGGGACACTTGCCTTCCGAGTGTTGTTCTGAGTGATGTTCTGCAGACCATGGGATACCACTGACGGCTCTTGTTTCATGTTGGACATTTTTCAAAGAGAGCGGGTCACAGCTTGTTCAGGGTACATCGCAACAAAAACAATTGGAAGTTTGCACCAGGCAAATGGGGGCACCTGTCCACTCATAGGCTGCTCGAGAAGCGTTGGACGAACTCAACAACGCGGCGCCAATCGTCACATGATTTCAATAACATTCCACCCCAGTGACCTCACACATAGCACCATCATCTTGAAGGCACACTCGCATAAATCCACCTCCACCTCTGTCACTGTGCAACTTCATGAGAGAACGTATGCATTACGGAGATTGAAGCTGTCCGGGTAATGCGATCCTCGAACAGCCGTGCCCGAGGTAGACAGCGTGGTTGTTGATAATATCTGTCGACTTGTGGGTCCTGCCCCTCTCGGAGCCTCTCCCCAGAATGGGTTTGAAAGGCCGAGATTGACATGAAGAGTGCGCATGCATATTGTACTTGACCGACGAGACACTTGTAGTGTCAAACCAGGGTAAGCATAGAACCATCTGGCCACTGCATTGTCAACATCCAATGGATTGAACGCGGAACAAAGACATATGCATATGTTGGAACACAGATAAAATCAGGTGTCAGGAGGAAAACGGCATTTGAATTGTCAAGTTAAATTTGTCAGGAAAGAGCAGATGGATTGGGGGATTGGCGGCGAGCCGCCGCTACGATATAAGTACTGTTAGTCTCAAACTATGGCAAGCAGTAGTAAGCCAGTGTACCATTCGCCTCAAACAAGGACTAGTTTGATATTCCACGCATTTGAGAACCCCTTCCATTGAAGCTACAAGTAAAAGCAGCGCTGGACTGAGCCTATATAACTTTGTCGTGGTCAATAGAAAAAAAAACCGCAAGGTTTCCACCATTTATATTAATTGACTTTGACACGTGACTATCGGCAACATGCGGCCAGCGCATGTGGAGAACGCGAACAGGTCAACGTCAGTCACGGTTGTGCTCATCTTCCGTCACCCATTACTAGTACTGTCGTTGTACAGCGATTATTTAATTATGGGTTTCGTCGACCGCACCGCAGACTTCAAAGATGTCCTTCAAGCAAAAAGTGCTGTTTCGCAGGGCAAACGACGCAAGGCGTCTCCTCCATGTGATGTCCCTAACACGAATGTATTTGGAAAACAATATTTAGAGGAAGCCTATACGATTGTATGTCGCAACAATATGTCTTGCGTCGAGGTTATCTTCTAACCTGATTGCACAGCTCAATCATATTAGCACTCTCACGCGTATGCTTTCTAGCGTACGGAAGCCTTACCTGAGTGTAGACGCACACGCTGTGCCACTCTCGCGACATGGTTCTCATGCCATCGATTTGAGCGACCCTACAAAATCATGGTCGGGAATACGTTACCTTACAGACGAGGAGCGGGACCAGGTTGACCTGCAGGCACGTGTCGTTCTCAGCAGGTGCGCAGACAGAGTCAGGGAAATGGAGACACTCGAAAAGCGTGCGGTCTGTTTCTCGCCGTTGTTCCTGAAACGACTACTGAAAATCAATCATTTTCTACAGGTCGTGCTGAGCTTGCCGCAAGTAACGTGAATCCCTTGACACGCTTTCTGCCCGCCCGTCTGAAGAGCAACAATTCAACAATACTTTCGGATTTCACAGCGGCGCATCATTCCAGTATAACGTGGTATCTCAGCAGGCGTCTTGCAGAAGCCAGTCAGAATCAAAAAGAAATGCAGGAGGAACGTGTCAAACGTCAACTTGAACGCACGCGAACTCTAGGGTCCAGTGCAGCGCAAGAGGCAATGAATATTGTCTCCAAGGGGCCTGCGCAACATCACCAGCGCGTTGGCGGAGGGGGCGACAGCTGGTTGGGAGGTGCTTCATCAGCACTCGTCTCAGGGATTGCCGCTACCATCGGGAGCAGCCGCCCTGCTGCTCAACCGAGAACGCTTACTCCCACTTCATCATTAGGTGACCTGGACGGTGACGACGATGATATTGAGCTTTCGCAGTCTCAGATACTTCAATTCGAGACAGAGAATGCAAATATTCTCCGATCCGTCCAGGACACGCTCGAGTCCGTACAACAAGCCGAAGCACGATTGATGGATATCAGTAACCTCCAAATGGAACTGATGACACATCTTACACAGCAAACGGAGTTGACTGACCAACTATACGAGGACGCGATTGCGACGACATCTACCGTAGAGAAGGGTAACGTGCAGCTGAGAGAGGCACGTAGACGTGCCAAGGACAGTCGAATATTTATTCTTGTTTTCCTGATTGGAGCCAGCTTCTCCTTGCTTTTCCTTCACTTTTACTAGCGACTTATTATTCGTGCATGCATGACTTTCTATAGTTATAGATGTGTGGCGACCATAAAGCTAGCTTAGTTCGATGTTCCGTAATTGATGACATTCTGTTGCAGTAAGCTCACCAAGGAAGTGGGTGTCAAACTTTACGCGGAACTCAAAGAGTCAGATCCCAACAAAGGCGCTTCCTCTGCTGCCTCGAGTGTCCCTGCAGCGAGTTCGTCATCCTCTGACGGGCTGTCATGTAGACGCTTGATCTCCTTCTGCATGAGATGATAGACCAGCCTGTATAGGGTAAGTAGAACTCTGTTATTGGTGGCGGTGACCTGGACACGAACGAGCTGGCTAAAACAGATATCAAGACACCGCCAACAACTAGAAGGCTGTTGACAATTTTTGTTTCTGTGAGCCATGAATCAATGAAATTGGAATGCCATGACATGACATATATTCTTACGAGTATCCATATGATTTCTCTGTTCGCCGTCTGAGAGTCTAGCAATGCGAGATCCGACGAACGCATAAATCATAACCTTTGGGAGAATAAACAAAGTCGCTATGAAGAACTGGAACAATGACACCGGCGCTATGCTCTAATATGAAGGAGTTAAATCCAAACCAGTAAACAGCTCGAAAAGCTTACTGCGAATAGCGAGTTTGACCAAGCCCACGGCGGGAATGAGGAGATACGGATGAGAATGATCAAGGGCATGCCTCTTGATCGCTGTAAGCGTCTTCCACTAAGCAGGTATGCTGAGACTAATGAAACACACTGACTATCACAGCTTCCAAAGCCTGCCATTTCTCATTAGTAGAAGTCCATGAACGCAGCCTCTTGCTGAACATGATCCGAAGGGTTACAAAAACAATGGCAGAGCCTGCTAGTGATGCAAATGCTGCAGGGAAGAAACCTTGTAAACCATATGTGAAACCGAATAAGTTAAGGAGCGTGGTATGTCCAATGAAGGGGGGGAAGGATACAGCGACTGAGGGGAATTAGCATGTTCGAATTCGTCTGATGAAAGTGTACAAAACACGCTTACTCGTGACAGCGATAAGAATTGTATACCCATATGGAAGATGTCGGATGTCTTGAGCGAGGTCGTACATGAGTTGAGCAATGTGAGCCGGAGTGACCACAAAAATAAATGCGGCTAAGCAGAAATAGAAGAATAGAATGAACCATATCAAAGCCTGCAGCAGCATCGTAAGTTGACAAGAGAACTATGCAACACTGTCTGACGTCACCTTTCCGACTAGACTGAGTTTTTGATATCTCGACCAAGCCGACTGTAGGAGAACCTTGACAAAACGAGCTATCCTCGCGAGTGCGACCAACATATTTGAGCGAAAGAAGGCTTTGGTGATTGCAAGGTTTAGGGAACAGAGGGGATTAACTTGAAGCGATTAAGTACTCAAGTAGTACCAAATATGGCAAAGCCGGCGAGTCTGGACCCTGATACCTACTATAGTCACCAACGTCCACACGGTGCACCTCCAAAATTACCAGTGGTAGAGTAGCAGCTGTAGCTGGATGGAGAAATTCTCTTCCTTCCGGGTATTTAATTCAACTATCGGGCTTGCTTCGTGCTTACCTTTTGTTTCATAGGATCCTGGAACTGGTATTCAGGCTAGTACTTGCACAGACAAAACCTATCAGTAGTGGCTCACTCTTGTACTCAGCCCTTCCTTGCGCCAGTTCCACCACAGGAACGTGACCTCCTTGTCACTATTCTGACGCCCATTAGAGCGGTTGTTGCTGTAACACGAACTGCTGTGATTGTCGTGCTTATTTCAATCCATTTTGTCTTAGTTCATGTGATCGGCTTTATCTGTGTGAGTGGCTGCAAAGTTCACAGTTACAATTTTGCTCAAGGAAACAGCGTCCTGTTCCGCCATTACAAGATGTGATCTCATGGCTAGGCACCGCCCTGCTTGCACGCTTGGCACTCTACGTGATGGGATTTTGGTCGGTGCCGACAGAGCTTATTGTTCGAAAAAGAGGGTCAGCTTTATGTTGGATCAATTTTTGAGATGGGTGCTTACAGGAAATTTCAGAAAAATTCCTGAGAACAAGTGGAATCCAAGGGCAGGGGACCTTGTAGTGTCAAACTGGTCTTCCTGGATAGAAGTCCTTTGGCTAGCATACAAGTGAGATGCTCGATTGTGTTTACAATCTTTTCTGACGAGTCATGCAAGATACAACCCATTGTTTGTGTTACCTGTTGCAAATGCACCCGCAGCGTCCTCCGCCAGAGATGCATCGTCAGTATCGTACACCCCAGGACGAAAGACAGGGACCGGATCCGCAGCTATATCTTCTTTTAACCGCGCGTTGAGCTCACCGGAAGTCATTCGCGGCTTTCGTCAGGTGTCTTTATTGGAAATAATATCTTCGACTGGCAATACACCATCGGCCCCTTCCTCTGTGCCTTTGCGTAGTCTTGATGATATTCGCCGTTCAGCGCGTAGTCCCGTTGTAGTATTTCCTGAATGCACAACCAGCAACGGCAGGGGCCTGCTTCGATTCGCTGATGTCTTTGATGGCGCAAGTGTTCCTACAAAGGGCTACAACATCTTCTTGATGTGTGTCAGGTAACTCACATTCCAACACTCATAGCTTGTTGTATCTAATTAATTCTAGATACGATCCTCCGACACCGTCGCAACCCTCTTTGTCGCACTCGGTCCCGGGTACTACACTCAACCCCCTGCGACATCTGTTCCAAATCTGCACCAGTCTTTCTCCACAATCTATCACAATCCGCCAACTTCCGCTCTCAGAATCACCTAGTTCTCAGCTCTTCATAGTCAATGAGGTGGTTGCTGAACCACGTTCTGATATGCTTGCCGAAGTCTGCGCTGTGCTTATAGCGAGAATGGGCAAGATGAAAAGGGTCGGTTTTGGATGGGAGGACAAATACGCCTTTTTGAACTTCTATCGTGGAAGGCGATGATGATCTGAGACGAGCTGTTCAGCTATTTGGTTATGTGGAAAACTCAGCGATCGTCTTCATAAGGTCGCGGAGAAGTGCAGTACTAACTTACTTACCCATGATTTGCGGTCAAATGAACTCTCCTAATTGTATATCCCTTGCAAATCATTCGGTGTTTTATGGACTAAGAATTACTACAAGAGTGGACCTAAATGAAAACTACAGAGTAGGGAGCCGGAGTCGCCTGAATAATATGAGGTTTCAAAAATGTAATAACTTAAGAACTGAATCAACGAGGAAGAAGGAAACTCCTAGATATCTGTCATGGGGTCATAACTTTGAGACCCGTCCCAAATCCCAGAATCCCGCATGAATGATTTCCATCGTTCATCCATACCGGACTCTCCAGAAAGGAAAAGGTCGGCAAGAACATCGTCAGCTCTGACGCTCGTTGGATCAAACAAATTGGATTGTGGAAGGGAGTTTTGAAAAGATGAGACTCTCTGGGATGTCTGGGGGATGGGGGTGGGATATATGGCGGGCGTGGGGCCTGGTGTCATGGATTCGAGTGGATGAGGCAGGGAAAATGCATCCCACTGATTTTGGAAGGTTGTAGATGCATCTCCTGTGCCTAATGTGGAATCTGGCATCGATGAGGGAGGAAGCATTTTCAGAAATTCCACAAGCATGGGGTGGACCTCAGGGATGGAATCTGAAGATGAATTGCCGTCGTCAGATGCCGAGGGGGTACTCGTGGTGGATTGCGATGGATCCGCAGTTGACAGAGGAACAGACGATGTTACTTTCTTGCGGTTCTGCCGCGAAAGGATCTTGGTGACGAGGACACGAGTCTGTCCACCAAACATGGTAAGTTCATCATCACCGCCCACCTCCGGGAGGAGGGAGGATAGACTGCTCTGGTTGTTAAATGTCGCTCCACTGCGATATTTTTCAAGTGCTTGATAGGCTTTCAGCTTGAGTTTGTCTAGGATAGCCTGAGAAATCGCATGAATAAGATACTTTAAGACAGTAAATTTTGAATGATGCGCACCCAACCATGACGAGCGCGACTTGATGTCTCTGATCCCCGTGAAAACATTTCCACTGCAAGGTTTAACTCCTGCCATGCAGCAGGCGCCATAGTCGTCGATGGTGCTCGAGTAACAATGGATCCGACAATTACCTGTGCCTGCTTGAGTATCACGTCATGTACTAAGTCAACTACGTACAGCTGCAGATAACAGATGGCTCCAGATAGGCCACCAACGCATGAAGAGGTCCGGGAACACTTGGAAGTTAAGGACAGTAGTCTTGATCGTTGCCGACGCACAACGATATGCAGCGAGGAATGATGGAGCGTAGGGACTGCGGAGAGGATTTGTGGGAAAGTCAAGCAAGGCTTGTGCAAAAAAACTACGATGGATGAACAACATCGCTGCGAAGAGACGTCAGGTAGGGCCGAAGGTCATTGCGTCCAGGGGGCTCACTCGTTGTTCTAAATTGGAAAAGGATGCGGCCACGAATATAAGCTGATGGCGTGGTGTAGTCGTCTTGGACGCTAGAACGATAAAGGTTTAAAGGCGGAGGTAAGACTTGCTCGCGAACTTTTCTGTCAAGTTCTAAGATAGTATCGTAACTTGGAAGTTCTGCGCTGAGCGTTAATTCTATGATCTGTGAGACCACGTCTCTTGTGAATGTATACTTCCATCGCCAAACTGCCAAAAGTAGAATGATTCAGCGAAATAGGAGGGGCAATAGTCAGAACTCACACCCAATCTCGACCTCTCCTTGATTACTCATGGTTGTCGTCTCGTCTTCAGGAAACTCACAGTCTACGTACGATAACCTGTTCGACGGAGGACGACCCAGAGCGAGACTCTAACCAAATTGTCAAAACCATGTAAAATTGCAAGAAATATCACCCACGTGAAAGAGATCCGCAGAATATATTTCCCAGAATAGAGTACGTCGACGCTGAACAGCCTTCGGGCTCATATTAAATCGAGAAGGGTCCCGGTCTACGTAAGGAATGAAGGCTGATGAAAATGAGCTCATAGACAAATACTCACGAAGACCCATCTGAAAAAAGACACAGTCAATGACATGCCCAAGAAGATTAAATCATATACATACGCTCTGAGCTAATTTACTGGCAAGTGCAATGACAGACCACGCGCTGCTTAATGCATATTGCTTGCCTCTGTTGCTGTAATAGTATCCCATCACGGCCAGAGCTTGGACAGTGTGAATAGTTGGTGATTCGAAGACAGAACGGAGTGATAATGCCACACGGCCAAGATGGAAGTAGTCCTCTGCTTCCTGGTTACACAGTGGCAACGTCAAGTCCATGAGAGCGCCCTGGGCAAAGACCATATAGAGCACGGCGATAGTGTGTTCAGGACATTCTGCCTTAGATTCAGATGTGTTACTTCGTCTCTTCTGAGCAAGGGCGTAAACAGGTGACAGAATATCATCAATTAGCTCTTCTCGTCGGATTGGTCGAAATATCCAAGCAGCGTGCTCCATATATGTCTCGCAGAGTGCACTAGCCCGCGGGTATGGTGGTAAAAGGCCTAACAATGAGCCCAGGATACTTTGACACTGATCATGGTCAGGAATACCAGTCAAACTGAAGGGGAGACTTGACTCCAATCGAGATACGTCCGCAGACATGCTCGGAAGCTCATCTGCTTGCCAGGATGAAGTGCCATCGAGTTCAGCGCCAGCCTGCCAGGATGCGATAAAATTAACTGTCTCTAGTTTTTTTTGAGCCAACATACCATGAACAAAGTCTGTTGGGTTCAAGTTACCGTGACTAAGCGTTCACGAGAGGAAGCAGAAGAATGGGCATTACCTCTGAACCTGCAGAAAGCCCGAAGTAATTCGACTCTCCTCCATCGTTGATAGTTAAAGTACCGACTGAATTTATGGGGACATTGCTGCCTTCATGTATAGCATCGTTGCTAGACTTTGGAGCTTCTGGTCCAAATTTTATGGAAAGTAGATCTTCGGTAAGAAGGGGATGGACATCCTCAGACACACCGGCTTGAAAAATGGATAGTGCATCCTCGAGTTGTCGAATTCGCTGGCCCATCTCCACAATCTTGCGATGCAGGTGTTCTGTATCAGCAAGGACGAAACTAATAATGACTCAGCATGATCGAATGTACAGGAAGAAAATGCTATATACCGAGTACCCTGCCCAGTAGAAAGACTACCTGTAGGTGTCATAATGATGTTAGGGGCTGACTGATTGCATGATAACTGGACACGACCATTTGGACAGATGGTTGGGCAGCCTCGACGAACACAAGAGCCACATGGCACTTTCTTGTCGCATTTTAGTTTCAATCTTCAAGCAATAGCATCAGGGAAAGTTCAACATTCGAAAGACGGGAAAACCTTCTGCACTCTGCGCACGAGATTTCACCACGAGCGCGCTTGAGTTCCGTTTCCTCCTCATTCGCTACTTTGCGAGATGTGCGACGGGGAACATTCAGAGAATTCTTCGATGTGTCCGCCGGCATAGATATGATTCCAAAGTTAGAAGTCCGTTGTCACCGAAGAATGGTGAAAGGGAACAACTTTAACTGATTTGATAGAGCAAAGGGGCCGAGGTTGAGCCAATGAGAGTCTGTAGGCACATAGCCATCACGGATGAGAAATCAAAAGTCACGTGATCAAAAGCGCGTCCGCCGAGAAGTTCGAGTTCGAGCGACTTTTAGCAAATCGACATCGCAGAAGACATCACGACTGCCCGCCCATATATCTGTAGCCTTTTATTCACTCATATTACTATAGACATGCGCTGGCTTGCAACCGCTTTCACAATCCAGGTCCTTGCTTCGCTGGTCGAAGCAGCCATCATGAATATTACAGACACGCGGAACATACGAGACAACCGATACGCTAAAGCACACTACCTACCTGAATCACACTCCTTCGACCCAAGAGACGGATGGGAACCTGTCAATATCTCCAATCTGAACTACAAGTATCTCGCGTCAAGTCACAAGGATCACTCCTTCCATAGAGCACTGCGCAGGTCGTCCCAAAACAACACGTCTGCCGGTACCAGAACATCGAAATACGAAGAAAAGCACGAAAAAACCTCAAATGCAACCACGACCACTGGATTTTTAGGAACCGTGGTCTCAAGCCTTACTTCTATCTTTGCGGGATGTATGGGCAAGGGACCCTCGGAGGGCGTCACCGTAACTTGGTATGTGATCTCGCCTACACTCCGGTTGATATGACCCGGTCAATTGTGCTTGTCAGGTATACTGGCCATGACCTAGAGAATCCCAGTTGTTGGAGTAACGGAGGATGGGCACCAACAGTGAGCATGCATGTGTATGCAGCCGTGATTGAGTCTGAGGATAACTCTCAACAGGACAAGTCTTTCGTGGGCGCCGTCACCTTGGATGGTTGGACGACAAAGCCACAATGCTTCGCGTTCATCGAACGTGAGTTGCAAACTTGTCCTGAGTTTGATGTCACGGTACATTCGATTGTGATTTTAGTTTGCAACGGCAAGACGTGTATATTTATTCGTGTCGTGGACACTTGTGCTGGGTGCACCAAAGGATCTCGTCACGTCGATCTCACCAAGGCGGCATTCAGCGAACTGGCGAGTCTGGATGAAGGCGTACTGACCGTGCAGATGCGACAAGCAACAGACCCCGATAACTGGTAAGTAAGATACATCCGAAGGGGCTGCACAACTGAACAGCCACGGCAGGGACAATGACTTGTGGGGGCCACGGACCGCCAAATCCTGATCCGCTCAGCACTGCGCAGAAAACTGTTGGTCTAACGCTTGTACCGCTAGATACTTACAAGTACGACATTAGAACTATTCCTACCAATTAAACTTTGATGGAAACCCTCTTTCTCTTCTTGCCTTCTGCGATCTTCGCGCGAACTTTCTTCTCGTCGAAGTCTTCCTCTTCATAGAACTGGGCAGTCCTCTCTGCTTCTGTTCTTCGGCGAAGATGCTGTAACGCAACCAAATTATATCCAATAGCATCTTTCTCGCGGCGCAATGCCTTGCGCAGGTGAACGCGTAACGGGATCAACGCAGTGCGCATGACACGATTAGCTACGATTTGGTGGTGATGGATCTTCAAGAGGAAAAATAATATGCGAGAGATGAGGGAAATATTCCACCCCTTCGTAATGCATCAAAAGGAGTATCTGGAGAGAAATCCAAAGAAAAGCCTACTTTCTGTGCCCATAGGTCCAAGTAGTGCATCAACGAAATTACCCTTGTCAAATGGTAGCACCAAAAGGGCATCATGCAAAGCAGCACTAGATATTTTCTCGACAACTTGTAGGACGTATGCCTCAGGTTCCAAGTCATATGCTGCGAGAATGGGATTTCGAGGCGGTGGCTGCATACCTGCGGCCTCTAGAGAACCCGCGTGAGCAACCTTTCCTTCATACTCCTGGAAAGCAGTCCGCTCGGCATCAGCGAGATCCAACGCCTCCATAATACGTTCGCCCGCCATGAGTGTCTCCGAGGTATGCTTGGTGACCGCAGCTGCTTCCCCAGAGGGTTGCGCATCGGCTTCGTTGTTGTTGACGATGGATATGTCAGGACGGTTAAGTGCGTTTGCAATCCCGTCTTCATAGATTTGTTCAAGCTCCCGCTCGCGTTCTTCCTCGAGGAAAAGCTAGATTCACGGTCACGTATGCTACCAAATAGATCACCGCAGTACAGCTCACTGGTTCGTCGAGTTTCTCCCAGACTCTGATAGACTTGTCGTGCGAGCCCGTCACTACAAATTTGGCATGGTTGCTCACAGCCAATGCCCAAATTTCGCTGTGATGACCATCGAGTTTCTGAATGTTCTCGAACTACGGGAGACTTGAGATGATTCTCTCAAAGGGCAAGAAGGGGTCTCACCTTATCCCCATCCCAGTACTTGAGCATTTTATCCTTGCCAACGGTCCAGAAGAAATGCGACTTTCGTTCAAAGAGCACCTGCATGACACTCTCCTCGTGAGCAAATATTGACTTGTGGCAGTCACCAAAGTCGAGGCCCCAAATCTTCACGTTTTTGTCCGCGGAGCACGTGACGATGAGCTTGGAATCATGCGAAATATCCATTGCTAAGACAGGTAGCTGAAAAAGCGTTGAAACTTCGTGTTCACAGGGGACTCTAGAATTTACCTTGTGACCGTATAGAGAAAGGAAGAACTTTAGGGTGTCTTGATAGAAAATCTTGACCGTGGAGTCCAGTAGGGCTACTGCCAATAGCTTCCCATTCGGGCTGTATCTGACAAACAGGACTTCATCCGACATCTTCAGCGTTCGTGTATGATTTAACGTCATCGACTTTTTGGCCTGCATATGTTGGTTCGTGATTGAATTACAGAATGCATATTCGAACAGCGAAACACCAACCTCGTCATTATAAGAAACGTTACGCTCGAACTCCCAAAATTTGACTTCTTTATCAGCACTACCGCTGATCAAAACTTGCTCGTCTGGGCGAACATGCAGCGACCAAACAGTAGAGCTATGAGCTTTCACGGTCTCCATGAGTGTCGAAGATGCCAAATCATATATTAGAATCTCCCCTGACTTCGTCCCAATAGCGATCTTGAAGAAACCTGATAAGCGTGACATTTAATAAAAAAATTAAAAAAATTACATGTCTGTCTCCAGGAAGGAATGTGCTGCAAATAGCGTAGCCGCAGTCTATTGTGCGTATGCACGCTGTCGTTTTCAGGTTCCATAGTTTCAAGGAACCTTCCACACACATATAAGTGAAGCGCTGAAATTACTGACGCTAACGTACCATTAGATGCTGACGCAAGTACCTGGTCATCTGCACTCAAACACAAAGTCCTCACATCTGTCCGATGCCCAGGAAGATCAACCGAAAACATCCGAGTGGCTTCAGGTGTCTCTTCCTTGGACTTTGTAGGGGGTGGGATATTATAAACTTCAAGGGCGTTTGATGACAATGCCACAAAGAGCTGCGACATGACAAGTCAGAGTCATACAGTGTTTGAAGAAGTTCATACGGACATGAACACCAGGTTTCGATACAGCTTCCTTGGAGCCAAAATCGAAGGATCGAACTTTTGCGCTTGCTCGAACCACAAGGTAAGGAGTGAAAAGATCAATCACGTTGATCTCCTGGTCAACATCCATAGCATCCTCCACGGCGTCCTCCGCGGTGTCGTGGACATCTTTCCCTTTCTTTTTACTTTTCCCCTTCTCTTTTGCACGCTTTATCCGTCTAGCTTGCTTCTTTCTGATTTCCTCCTCAGTTCGGATACGAAAGACTTCAATGGATCGGTCGTGTGACTGAACAGCAAGGTATGGCTGTGACGGGTGGAATAAAATCTGGGATATGCGGTGACGTGACGAGAGCGGGAGGCTGGTGACAGGATGGATCATCTTTGCAACCTACACACAAAATGAAGTTCTGGATTAATGATTGCAATATCGTCACTTGCCTCGCCTGCCTCATTTTCTACTAAACCTTGCGATAGAGACTCGTGGTCAATTTTCCATGCTTTAACTTCACCATCACTACTTCCGGTGAAGATAAAGTTCTCTTCTGGATCGATATCCAGGGAAGAAACTTCGGAGCGGTGAGCAACGATTGTCTGAACACAATGTTGAGTAGAAGTGTCCCATAACTTCATGAACGTGTCTTTTGACGTCGTGAGTAGCATATGAGAACGTGAGCCAGTCGAGGTGGAAGGAAGTTCAGGCTCGGAAAGGAATCGTATGGTTGTAATTTGATTGCGATGGCCTCGTAGACTTATAGAAGGGTAAGAGAAAACTCGTACAACGCTTGATATCACGTACCGGTAGAGACCAGCTTCGGCAACAACATCCCACACGATGATATCTGTATCTTGCGAGCCAGAAGCAAGGCGGGCTCCTTGTGCATCAAATGCGAGGGCAGTGACGGATTTTTGGTGTCCGTTAAATGTTGCAATGACGGAGATAAATGCACTGTTCCAAAGGCGCACTGAACCATCAGCGTAACCCACTGCAAAGATGTTTTCTTGAGGGGAACGGCACATGCAGGTAACCTCAGATCTGTGTCCTGTTTCGTGCCACATCGAGAGCTGGCTGAACATGAGCAGACAGCAAAACTTGAAATACTATCCACGTACCATTTGCCCTTTCTTCATATCCCATACAAGCACGTCCTCGAGTGCTGGGACATATGCTAATTTACCATCATATAGTGAGTTGGAGGTCGAGCTGCATATCAGCCCAAAAGCCTATCTAACTGTGAGCGCGAGTGCAACGAACAGAGACATGCCTACATGCCTGGGTTGGCCCGTGCCGCAGATAGCTTTGCACCATCGCGTATGCTCCACGATGCGTTACGGTTACACATATCCGAAGTGAAACCAAGGCAAGAAAAATATGAGTACCTAAATTTGGCAATTTATTCTCACATCTATGAAGCTTCTCACAGTACAACTATAAAGCTTTAAAGGGCTGACTACTTAATCCAACCTTGTGCGCAACTTGAAGACATCTTGAACGATCCGAGTATCGAAATTTGCGAAAGGCAATCTAATCTCAGATCCAAACTCTTATTAAATCCAAGGAATGATGCTACCAGTTTCTCAGTCGAGCTCTGAGGCAGCCAGACGCTTCATCACTTTCGTGAATGCATCACCAACTCCTTTTCATGCCATACATAATGCATCTATACGACTGGAAGCATCTGGATTCAAGAAGGTGAGTCGGACCACAGACATCGAATTAGTGTTTCGACATAACAGCGTAGATCAGGGAAGCAGACGATTGGGAGAAGAATCTGCAACCACGAGGGAAATACTACTTTACCCGGTCAGTCTACTCGTTAGCTACTCTGCGGTTTCTGATTTGTATTACAGCAATCAGAGTTCCCTAGTTGCTTTTACCATTCCACCGAACTGGAAGGCGGGCGCGGGGTTATCTATTGTGGCTACACACGTTGATAGCCCGAATTTGAGGGTGATCTAGTTACCGCATTTCATCTATAAATATCTAAAGTTCGCACAGGTGCGCCCGATATCCAAGCGGGAGAAGATTGGGTACCTCCAGGTCGGAGTAGAAACTTATGGCGGAGGTATCTGGCACTCCTGGTTCGATCGGGACCTCTCGTTAGCCGGCAGAGTCGTGGTCACGCAGCAAGATGGGACCTTTCAATCAAAGCTCATCAAGGTTGACCGACCTCTCCTGCGTATTCCTACCCTCGCCATCCACCGTCCGTACCTTTCGTGAGTATGTTTGGAGTAGGAACACTAATTTATGGCCAGTGGACAGAAATGTTAACGACAATTTGAAGTTTAACCAAGAGACAGAATTTGTACCCATTCTAGGGCTTGTCGCGGAAACCTTGAACAAGACATCCAAGGATGATAGGGTATCAAACGCGACGGCTGCTAGCATCCAAGGAAATCATCATCCAGCCCTACTCTCTGTCATTGCCAACGAATTGTCAGTTTCTCCTGAGGAGATCCATGATTTTGAATTGTGCGTTCCAGAGCTCCCTAGGCCTGGTTGATTCCTGATGTTTCTGTAGGCATTTATATGATACCCAATCTTCTGTCTTGGGAGGCGTTAACAACGAGTTTATGTTTAGTCCTCGTATGGACAACCAAGTTTGCTCGTGTGTTGCTGAATTTTCTTACCCGTAACGCATCTGATGGCAAACAATTGTAGCTTCTGCGCTGTGGATGCCATCTCCACCTATGCCTCGTCTTCCAATTTCAATCTTCTCGAGGGCAACGTTAATTGCATCGCCCTCTTCAATCATGAGGAAATTGGCAGCGTCTCCACATCTGGGGCAGAGTCTTCCTTGATTCCCTCGCTCCTGCAACGACTATCTCCCACTCCTGCGCTTCACTCACAGTCCGTTGCTCGGTCGTTCCTTGTATCGGCGGATATGGGTCATGCCATTCACCCAAACTATACCTCAAAGCACGAGGACAACCATCAGCCGATTATGAACGGAGGTATTGTCATTAAGACCAATGCGAAACAGAAATACGCCAGCGACGCAATCGGGTCCTTCATTGTGAAGAAACTTGTCGAGCGCAAAGGAGGCAAGGTTCAAGAGTACGAGGTTCGAAACGATATGTAAGTATTCATTTATCTTCACAAGCATGTCTTGACCGTCGACATCCAGGGCGTGCGGTTCGACGGTCGGGCCTATGTTATCGAAGCTTGGCTTGCGCACAGTAGATGTCGGTAATGCCATGTTGTCTATGCACTCCATTCGTGAGACTGCAGGCTCTCATGACGTCCAAAACGCGATCGACTTGTTTACCTCGTTATTTGAAGGGTTTGCTGAGCTGGATAAGACTCTCATTATGGATTAGTTTACATATCTGCAATGAGCTGCACTGTATACGCTATGTATTATACGTCGCTCGTGTGGTTGGGGACTCTCACATACATTGAAGGAAACATGAAAGACATAAATGTACATGCTATCGCTTTTGTCGTTTACTCGATGTCCGATCTGAATCTGCTGTTGAATGTGTTGCAGGTCCCGATAGCAGACTGCGCTTCTTGGCCGTTCTCGCGTAATGTGCCAGTACCCACTCTCTTTCTGCTTCTGTCTGTTCTATAGTGCCCTGCCGTATTTCATACGCTAAAAATTCAAGCAATAAGTTGGCTATCAATAAAGCCAATGAGATGGCGCTCACGTTTCATCTCAAAGCGCGGCCCAACTTCCGCCAGTTGGACATCCCGAACTACTTTTACAAAAACATGATGTCTGCGCGAATTAGTATCCGCTGCATTTCTTCCAAACACACTCACCGGAAGGAAATGAAGTCTCCGTCATTAGAGAACGTCATCACACGCTTGCTGTCTTCTTTCGGTACAGGAAACAGAAATTTTAGCACGTCTCGCACCCGGCAACCGAGTTTAGACGTGAACTCTTCAAAGATGAGGTGTGGGTACTGTTCTGAGACGGTGGAGGACTTGTATGAGCCTATGTCGTGCCGTAGGGCGACGTTGTGCAGGGTAAAGTAAACGGTAGGTCCATGGGGGAAGTGCGAGACAATCATAGCATCTGTACAATGATGAAATTAGCGCATAGATGGATATGACCCTGGTTTGGCGTACCAGGAACACCACGATGTTCATGGAGAACGATGAGATCAGTAACGTCATTAGCACGACAAGCATCCGCCAGCTCTTTTATAACGTAGTTTCCTCGGTTGATTCGATGCGAGTTGGGAAAGACGAGTCGCATTTCCTATGCAAAGTTTTAATAGGAATGGGCGACGAATATTTGCACGACGTACTTTGGCGAATTGTAACAACTTGGAACTTGGGTCTCTTGATGTTGTTACGATAATTTTTGGGTCTTGGATACCAGCCCGCGAGTATTCGCTATCGATATGCGTTGACGGCTCTGATCAAAAGACTTGGTAGATACACAAATCTAGCACCGTAGATGATTGTAACTCACCTTCTTGTGCCTCGTCAAATGCTAGGTCCTTTCCTAGTGTCTTTGCGTCATTCTTGAGCTCGGTAGGCAGTTGTTTGCCCGATGCAAGTGCATCCTTGAGCTGCCGTTTGCGCTCATACGTTTGACGTTCTTGAGCCTCGAGGGATTTAGCGTAGATATATTGTCGTCGCTCGCGTGTTTGTCGCCGAATCTATGATCCTTGTTAACTGCGGAAGCTGGAGAAAGGGAATTGGATGCATTACCATCTTCCAGTCGACAATCAAAGGGCTTACTGAAATCTACAGAGGACTACAAAGTTCCGTTCTCTGAAAATCACCAATCACGTGATTCCTTACGCAGACCATCGACGAATGAAGCTAATGAAGGTCCGATATATAAAAATATGTGAACTGTGAGCTACGGGGAATGCTAAAGACTAAGTAGGGGTTTACAAGCACAGACAGGCATATGGTAGCTGTAGAATAGGATATTAGGTGCGTGATCGAATGGGACATCAATCTATATTATTAATTGAAATCGCAGCACGAGCGACGATAAAAGGGAATTGAAGTTTAGAAATCCTCGTCAATAGAACTAGATTGTTGAATGAGATATGTGTTCTAGAGTAACATAGGGGGAAGACTTACAACACCCTTGAAGATGCCGGAGTATTCGATTGTCTGACATGTGCCTTTGCATAGTCAGACACGCGCCTCTCGAAGAAATTTGCCTTTCCCTGCACGGAAATCATCTCCATAAAATCAAAGGGATTGGTGGAATTGTAGAACTTGTCGTTCCCCAACGATACTAGAAGGCGATCGGCAACAAACTCGATATACTGGCACATTAGGGTTGCGTTCATGCCAATGAGGCTGACTGGGAGAGCATCTGTGGTATACAGTCAATACTAGCCCAAGATAACAACTGAATACATGCCTGCTAAGAACTCTTGTTCGATATGGACACTTTCTGTAATGATTTTCTGTATAACATCCGGTTGTGGTCTTCGCCTGAGATGGGTAAATAAAAGACAAGCGAAGTCGGTGTGCATCCCCTCGTCACGACTGATGAGTTCATTGGAGAAAGTGAGCCCCGGCATCAATCCACGCTTTTTAAGCCAGAATATCGATGCAAACGAGCCGGAAAAGAAAATACCCTCGACCGCAGCAAAGGCAACTAGCCGAGTGGCGAATGTCGCCTCCTTATCAGATATCCATCGTAATGCCCAGTCTGCCTTTCGCTTGACGGCTGGTATTGTCTCTATGGCATCAAAAAGATACTGGCGCTCATTGACGTCCTTGATGAGTGTGTCGATAAGGAGCGAATAGGTTTCGGCATGGACATTTTCGATCATGATTTGGAAACCATAAAAGCATCGAGCTTCTGGGATCTGGACTTCGTTGGAAAAACGCTCGACCAGATTCTCGTTAACTATGCCATCAGACGCAGCAAAAAAAGCTAAAATATGTGAGATGAAGTGGCGTTCATTTGCAGTTAGTCGGGTATTCCAGTGCACAATGTCTGTTGAGAGATCCATTTCTTCGGCAGTCCAAAAAGATGCCTCCGCTTTCTTGTACATGTTCCAGATCTATACGCCATCAGTCAAGTCCACTGTCGTAAATAGACGATAGGCTCACTTCATGGTACTGTATGGGGAAAAGGACAAAGCGCCGTTGAGAAGGCATGAGGAGTGGTTCACATTCTGTGTGTGCTCTGGTAAGACTTGTGGACACGCAGAGCCAAAAAAGCGTACCCCCTTCAGAAACACCATTCTCGTATGATGTACCCGAGCTGTTCATACCATTACATTCTTTAGAGTAGAGAAATGGGTCGCTGAGAGAAAGTTCCTGCCGTGACTCGGATGTCTCCTATCATCGATAACCTCTCATTAAGGCTTGCCTGTGGGCAACAATAAGGTCCACAAACCTCGATTGAAAGTTCCTGGACAGATGTGACAAAGAAACAATCCAGTGGTTGTGTTTCAGACATGGAGATAAAGCTTACACCTAGTGAATACGGTGGTCAGTCCGATCCGAATGGATCCTTTGAGAGGTCACGTAATCATGTGACTGATTTTGTTGGGTCACCACCCGATTATCCGCGCGTTCACTCGCGGGACCAGTAAGTGCTCATGTCCTCATTGACCTGATATTTTAAAAATCTGGTCAGTGCACCACACTAGGGACGATGTGAAACAACGTGAAGACGTGAGAAGTGGTCTAAGTTGATTGGGTTGACTAATAATGGGACTGATGAAACGCGCGTGTCTTGCCACGTCCACAAAAACTAACAACGCGTCGCGTAATGTTGAGTGGAACAAATAACCACAACCACAGTTCGAACATTTAAATTGAACCTCGGTTGGTTCTTTTGCCCCCCAACCCATCTCTTGCGATATCTTCATCTTACTACATATCATCATAAACCTTCAATGGCTTCTACTCTTGCACCAGTTCGTGTATCATCCCCTGCTCCAACACCAAGCAAGAAGGTTCGCTCATTTTTGAGTTAACCGTGTCGTTTTAGCTAATGTGTCTTGGACCATTAGGCTGCTGCAGCCCTGGCAAATATATCACTAGACTCACCAACCAAGCCATCAGAAGACGAGGATACCCTTCCAGTTTTCATCGATGATCGCAAACGTTCAGTCTCGCCGGAATCTCAGAATGCCGAGGAGGACCTTGAAGAACTTCGCAAGAAGTTTGTCGGTGAAATTGATCTACCGGAAAGTCAGTAGTTTAATTTCATTTGTAAACCTGCCTTCAACTTAATTTTTTCATTTCAGGCGAAGAGCCTTTGCTCAAAGAATCCAAGCGCCGTTTCGTTCTTTTTCCTATTCAATACCACGAGGTCCGTTACTATGTCGTGCTATTAAACCCTTTTTAATAATTCACCAGATATGGCAAATGTACAAGAAAGCTGAGGCATCATTCTGGACTGCCGAGGAGATGGACCTCTCAAAGGACATCCATGACTGGACCAACCGTCTTAATGACAACGAACGTCACTTTGTTTCGCATGTCCTCGCCTTTTTCGCTGCATCCGACGGCATTGTTAATGAAAACCTTGTTGAACGCTTCTCTAATGAGGTCCAGGCCGCTGAGGCCCGGTGCTTCTACGGCTTCCAAATCATGATGGAAAACATTCACTCCGAGACCTACTCGCTTCTCATTGACACTTACATCAAGGATTCTGCCCAGCGCGAATACCTATTTGACGCCATGGAAACTATTCCTTGCGTCAAGCGCAAGGCTGACTGGGCACTCAAGTGGATATCTGATCAGCGTTCCACCTTTGGTGAGCGCTTGGTCGCCTTCGCTGCCGTTGAAGGCATCTTCTTCTCTGGTTCCTTCGCATCCATCTTCTGGCTCAAGAAGCGCGGCCTCATGCCCGGTCTCACGTTCTCCAATGAGCTTATCAGCCGTGATGAGGGTATGCATACCGATTTTGCTTGCTTGCTCTTTAGCCACCTCAAGCGTCGCCCGCACCCTGACACTGTCAAGTGTATTATTACTCAAGCTGTCGTCATCGAGCAGGAATTCTTGACTGGTTCGTCATTACCTTCATTTTGTCCATCTTGCGCTGACTGTCTCCAGATGCCCTCCCTGTCGGCCTCATCGGTATGAATGCCAAGCTCATGTGCCAGTACATCGAGTTCGTCGCAGACCGCTTGTTGGTGTCACTAGGCAACGACAAGGTGTACAACGCCACAAACCCATTCGATTTCATGGACATGATCTCGCTACAGGGCAAGACCAACTTCTTCGAAAAGCGTGTGTCGGACTACTCAAAGGCGAACGTCAACCACACGAATGCCAAGACCGATCAGGTGTCGAGCAAGACTTTGTGAGTTTGCTATTTGTCTGGTAGACTTTATCTGACAATGTTTCATCCAGCTCGTTGGAGGAGGACTTCTAGATGTCGTTTTGCGTTCTCTTATTTGCATATACACACTTACCCCATGCACTATACCACACCCATTATGTTCATTGCACTAACCTCTGCATCCGTTTATTCTAGATATGTTATCATTATTGACCCCCTGTAATGTTTAGTGTTCTTAGTAGCCTTGTCTTCAAAATGAATTAATTATCGCCTTCAGCTTAAGCGCCTGCGCCTTTATGCATTTATGTTGGACCTGATTTTGTAGTGCTATAAATGCTTTCAGGACCATAGCCCTCCACAAGCATGGCCATAAATGTCAAATAAATATCGCAAACAGTTCGGCTCGGTATTGACATGGTAGTAGATGACATAATGCGTTGCACGAAGTAACGGCTACTATAGCTTAAGTTGCTTAGACCAGCTTGGTTGTACACTTCGATGAGCGCGGTCAAACAATCCCATAGCTTACCTACTGATGAATGCGGCGACTCACAGAAGCCGCATGCACTGAAATCTACCTCGGCCTGGACGTGGCTGAACTTTCTGGGTGATGTATCACAATCCGAAGTCGATATTTTACTTCTGTCCACTGCATTCAAGTTTCTCTTGTTCCCAGCATAGTAGGCCCTCCTTAAATATGTATCCGCACGCTTACTGATCCATGAAGTCGCTCTACGGATTTCGAGGTCCACCGAAACTGGCTGGCCATAACACATTCACTTCCCATTTCCCAATGGTATCACGACGTGCGTTCTGAAGCTCTCTAGATCCCGTTGCTATGCTTATTGAACACGATGTTGAAGACAACTTCTGAGTGGAGTGAGCCCCTTGAAAGCTTCTGTATTACACCGTCTCATCTAGTCCACCAGCACTGGATTACCCTCCATTCTTTGCGTATTTCGAAAAGTTAATGTCCATACCCGCTTCATTCATCGATCCCAAGATAGTTGACCTCCAAAATCTTCAATATGACGCATGGACGGTCATTGTATTCCAACGTCTGACCGTCATTATTTCTGAGCTCGTCCTTGGTGCGGCACTTCTGAGGTGAATTTCAATTTGTTCATGTCTGTGAAACGCTAATTCTTGGGTGAGGTTTGTCCGTGATTCTGTTGATCTCTCTCGTCAACGAATTCTCTCGGCATCCCTGTTTCTTCACCCCGGGTTCCTTATAATCGACCACATACACTTTCAATACAATGGGTTCATGTTTGGAATATTGCTATGGTCAATCTTAATGGCTCGCGAAGTGAGAGAGTTGTCCTTACCTGAGCAAAGTGTCTCATCACATTTATAGGGCAAAAAGCTTGCAAGCGGCATACTTTTTGCCGTTCTTTTGAACTTCAAACACATCTACATGTATCTAGCGGTATAATTTAATCGCTATGAATCGTGATCCTTGACTTACTGGGTGCCTCTACAGCCTGCATACTTCGTCTACCTTTTGCGGTCTTACTGCATGTCTCCCGCAGGGACGATCATACCCACTCGATTTATCTCGTTAGCGAACTCTGTCCTACTTGTGTTCCTAGCCTCTCTAGGACCATTCGTGTTGATGGGCCAACTCCCGCAACTTCTTTCTCGCTTGTTTCCTTTTACACGTGGGCTGAATCATGCTTATTGGGCACCAAACGTATGGGCCTTGGTCACTGCCGCAGATCGTGTCCTTTTGCAGTGTTCGTGATTCATTAACTACCCTTCCACTACCGAGCTCACGTTGGCCTTCAGTGGTAAAACATCTGAATATCGTGCTCGCAGTAAACGAATCCGGCGTTGCATCGACGTCTCGCGGCCTTGTAGGCGATACGGTCTTTGCGGTGATTCCAAATATCAAGCCCATCCACACGTTCATTATCACAATAATCTTCCAGATGGTGTGAAAAATTGCATGACCAGCGGATCTCTCTGATATTGCAGCTCAGGTTTATCTCATTAAGCTATGGAGAGCGCCAACTTATAAGTCGTTCGTGGCTGCGTTGACGCTTTGTGGCTACGCTTCATATATGTTCGGGTGGCATGTGCATGAGAAGGCTGTTCTGCTCGTATTAGTTCCTCTCACGTGCGTGGTTTTCATTATCCTTTTCAACCTAGTATTTAGTATTGCAGGCTTCTGGCCTCGGAGAACTATGCGTATCACAAGACCTTCGTTATTGCAAGTGTCGCGGGTATCTTCTCGCTCTTCCCCTTGATCTTTACACCAGCAGGTGCGTTCCCGTAATGCCAGCTCGTGTTGGGTATTATTAACGAAGCTGAAGAGATACCCCTAATAATTATCTATTCCCTTATATGGGGAGGAACAGTATTATATCCCCTCCACAAGCAGCTTTACGAGTGAGCACTGACACGGAGATGTTTCTCGCTACTCAAACTTCTAACAGGTTTCCTTCATCACTGCCCTGGGTACTGTTAGATAGTTTCGAGAATGCATACCTATATGGTTTTGCATTCCTCCAGGTTTTCGTCACACTATTCCCTCTCATGACCGGCAGGAACCCAGACACTGGATTTTTACCCCTGATGGCGACAAGTGTTTACTGTGCGGTGGGACTGATATGGTCATTCATCCGGCTCAGTATTCTATACATCACACAGCAGTACTAGTGGATACATTGAGTTGCGCGGAGCGAGTCGTACGTCCATTATGTCAGCTACTTTTTTGCGATATGAACGACTGGAAGACTGTTTGAGATTGCACGCGTGGAAGAAATGAGAATCTCACCGTCCTCGTCTTCTAAGATGTGGTCCAAACCAACCTTTTGACCTCGAGAATGCTTCGCACTCGCACCCCATACAACGGCACTGACCATACAATCAGCTCCGCGAATTAGTAAGGAAAACTCAGTGTTGACACTCACTACTTCATTTGCTTCGCAATTTCCTTATGGATAGCATTACAAAAGTCCTCCACACTACATCTCCCTCTACGAAGGACGACTGGAGCGGAATAGTCGGGTGATTGTCCACGAGGTTTGGTATAAACGCGGACAAGCTCGAGAGCATCCCACATTTTCTCTGAGAGTTCGTCGATATTGAGCCATTCTTTCGATGAAATTGGAACGCTGTGAGGAATTTTGTACCTGAACACTGGTAAGTAATACTCTTCAAGGAAGACGAGAAGTCACGGACAGAAGATCTAATTCCTCTATTGAGATGGCATCGATCTGCATACATAACAAACATGAGTAGCACATAATTTCAAGCAAGTGATAACCAACCTTATTCAAGACCTAAATTTTGAAACGCAAGGAATTAGCGCAGGGCAAAATGTCATTTATGTTGGTCAACACGTACATAAAGCGCAGGAATATAGACTCTGCGAGGTATAAACATCCAACCGTGCAGGCTTCTTATAAATTACACACCTGTTCCCTTCAATGACGTCCACCAGGTCATCTGCCGTCATGTTAGGTTGCCGAATAGTGACGTCCACATTGCTGAGTTTGTACTCGCTGAGAACTGCCTTGATCTCTTCTTGATCGATATTCGTCAGCGGAACGGTATTAGTGATCGCAATGCCGCCCTTGTCCTTCTTGCGAACCAAAATGGCTGGGGGCTTTTTATTCAAGCGAATACCAAAGCCTTCCAACTCGCTCTCGATGATCTTTTTGTCCCCCAACGGCTTGAGGACATCCAAAACAATAAAAATGAGGTTGCATGTCCGAGCGACTGGGGTATGCATTGCTCTCAATCTCGGCTTTCGCATGCGTTAAACTTGGAGGTCATACCGGCAATGACTGCACAATAAAGTGAGTGAGTTGTCTGCAAACGCAGAAAAGCTGTACTTACCTTGTCGACCTCTTCCTCTACCATCATTTGCCCCCTCGATGATTCCAGCTGAGACGAGAATGAAAGTATGATTACCAAAGACAGGATACGTACGCACGTAAATCAAGGATTTGTATAGGTGCACCGTGGACTTTCAGAGTACCAGGGACTGTTGTTAGTGTGGTGAAATCAATCTCCGAGACTTCCGAGTGGGTGCCCGTGAGCTTCGACATAAGAGTTGACTAGATGATCGTTGATTAGGACTATTGGGTGAGAATCAAATACAGAGAACTCGCCTTTCCCACTGACGGGAATCCGACGAAACCGACAGACGCTACACCAGTCCTGGCGACATCAAAACCAATACCAGGCCCGCCTCCGCCTCCTCCAGAGGGCGATATAAGCTCGCGTCGTAGTTTTGCAAGCTTGGCCTTGAGTTGACCCAGATGGTAGCTCGTGGCCTTATTCTTCTGGGCTACAAGCACGAAGTTCATCGGCTGATGAGGCTACTTCATGAAGACAAGGAAACACACTTTTGGCCTGTTAGGAAAGTTAGTAGAAGTTCATGATATCCCATAGATATGACTAGCCATTTCATCTTCAATTTCCTGAATAATAGACGCCTCCGTTAATTAGAAGCAACAAGGATAAATACTGATGCGCACTTTGATCTTTTGTACTGTAGTCATTGGTGGAGAAGTTCCTGATGGTCAGTGGTCAATAATGTTTATTGTAACCGCGTAACGAACAAAAAAAGATTAATCGAAATAGGACTAGTTACATAGCTTTTGGGCCTGGGCATAGCACAACCAAAGCAACCGTTGTTTTCCAGTTTCACGTTTGTTCTTTATATCCTCTCTATCATCCCTCCATCCACAGTCTCTGCACCAGTACTATCCGTCCTCACAGTCTACTAGCAGGGCACTCTTTGGTTTGATTTTTGCCGGATTAGACCTTCTTTTAACGCCTCTCGTTGTCTCAGAACCTGGTCAGGTTCTACATGCGGCTGGCTCGCTCTACGCTCATTCACATATCGACCAAATCCCCCCTTGTCCTTTTTATCGTCTGACTTACTCACTGATTCACATCATCTCTCAACACGATGAGCGGTGGACCAGCATGGAAGCGAGAAATTGTTCCAGATCACAAGGTGAGTTGATCTTCTATCTTGGTTTTTCTCGCATGCCAATAAGCTGTTCA